GGTTGTCTGTAGTGCCATCGAACTTGGGCGCATTTGCAGTGCCGCGGATGGGCATTCTATAAGGCATTGCAGTGTGAAAAAGCGCAGGCGCGCGCGAGGCGTATAACAGGTGCGCGCGTGAGGCGCAGAGGCGTGGGAACTATTGCGCGCACGCAAGGCGCGAGAATGCGTGACTAGAAAATGGTTAGCTTTTGAAATTGCAAAGAAATTGACCTTATATGTGCGAATTGTGCTAAGTGCAAAGGTGCGTGCGCGAGGTGCACAGCGTGGGAAAGCGCGCGCACAAGGCGCGAGAATGCGTGACTAGAAACTGGTTAGCTTTTGAATATGCAAAGAGATTGACCTTTATGTGTTTAAATAGTGTGAAGTGTGAAGATGCGCAAAACTAGATCTTGCTGACTGCTCCCCTCGCGGTGGGCTCCAGTTGTAGAAACAACAATACAATGAGGAACAAGGATGCTCCTAACTGTATCTATAAAATGTTGTGAGGTCGCGCGTTACCTAGTCTGCTATTCTTGAGGAGACAAGTGCGTTCGACCCTAGGGGAAGCGAGTGCTGCGAAGATCTAGAGGTACGCGCTTCAGCGAAGCGTGAGAAAGCGCAAGTGCGCGCAAGGTACGAAGGCGCGGGAACGCGCGCGCGTATTAGCGCGAAGCGCGGGAAAGCGCGCGCGCGTAAGCGGAAATAAAAGAGACTAAGCTTAAGTGATGATATAAAGCAATATAAGAAAAGATAGATGCAAAGTGTAGACCAATAGACTTCTACTATGTACTGCTAAGTAAATAGTGGGTGATAACTAGTAAGTTCAAGGGAAAAGTAGGTAAATAATAGTATGTACTGCTGGCACTTATATAGCGCGCCTAAGCACGCTCATGCGGAGCCGAAGCGCTACCGAGTAGGTATGTAAAAATATATATGAGTGAGAAACTATGATAAAAATAAAGGTGGAACTATGCTAATAAAGGAAATGGAAATATACGCACTAGGGAGCTTGGTGGACAGTGGATGGATGCATCTGGATGGCTGGCGCTATAGGGCGCGCAAGCGCGGGAACGCGCGCGCGCGTATACATCGTGAAGCGCGGGAATGGTGCGCGGGAAAGCTGCGCGTCATATAGGAATCACTGTGGATGGTACACAGAGTGATGCTGCGAGTTGGTGCTGTATACTCCCTAGTGTAAAGCGCCATATCACACTATGAGATGCACGAGTCTCTACACCGTGCTGTTCGAGGGCAGGATGTGCAAGCTCCTGTCGAAAGGGCCAGACCGGAAGGTCATTGCAGAGATCCCCCAGGTTGAAGGCCTGTATAGTGTCGCAGGAGGACAACAATGTCAGCATCATGCCAACATCGCAAAAGGGAAGCTTACCGTCAGCAGCGCCCACAAAGTACTGGGCCACGTGTCCCAGACTGCAGCCGCTGATGCAATCCGGAAGGGCCTAGTCACCGGCCTAGAACTGGATGACGCATCGAAAGCCGAATTTTGCGAAGCCTGTGTGCAAGCTAAGTCAACGAGGAAGCCCTTCCCAGAGGAAAGCATGAGCCGCGCACTTACCTATGGTGAGCTCGTGCACACTGATCTATGGGGCCCTGCCCAAACGGCAAGCATCGCCGGGTGCCTGTACTACGTCACGTTCACGGACGACTACAGCCGGCAGACTAAAGTTCAGTTCCTCAAATTGAAGAGCGAGGCACTTACAGCGTTTAAGGCCTATGAAGCCTGGTTGGCACGTCAGATGCCGGGAGTTAAGCTGCGCAAGGTCCATTCGGACAGAGGGGGAGAATATCTCAGCGCCGAGTTCGACCTGTACCTCCGTCAGCAGGGTATCGAGCGTCAGTTAACCGTCCACGACTCACCTCAGCAGAATGGCGTGGCCGAACGCCTGAACCGGACCCTCGTTGAACATGCTAGGGCCATGCTGATAGGGAGGGATCTCCCTAAGTACCTGTGGGCAGAGGCGGTCAACTATGCAACTTGGTTGAAAAACCGCTTACCATCAAGGTCGACCCCCGGCACTACGCCATACGAGCTCGTACGCAAGTCTAAGCCGGACTTGTCGCGAGCCCATGAGTTCGGGGCGAAAGTCTTCGTCCACGTGCTGGATGCTGGGAAGTTGGAGCCGAAGGCAGAGGAGGCAATCTTTGTGGGGGTAGACGCTGAAAGCAAGGGTTATAGAGTGTACTGGCCGGGGAAACGCCGTGTGTCGGTGGAGAGGAACCTCACCTTTGCACCGGCAGAGATCCTGGTGGATGCACTGGACGAGGGGGAGCCTACTGCTGTTAACGAACATAACAGCGGCAACGGTAATAATAACTCACCTCATAGCGTCCAGCCCATCACCACTACCACGCAACAGCAACCTCAACCATCTACCGCCCAGCAACCTCAACCATCTACTCCTCAGCAACCTCAACCATCTACCGAGCAGCAACCTCAACCATCTACTCCTCCAAGGACGACGAGGGCCAGACCTCCTCCGGGCTACTATGCTAGCCTGAACGAAGGCAGCAATGCAGCGGCCATAGCGATGGAGAACCTGTTGGAAGCGTCAGAGGTAGATTTATTGGATGAAGAAACTCACCTTCACCTTGCCTTGGCAGTCGCCCAACCAGAGCCCACCTTGCAACAGGCGTTAAACGGACCAGATGGAGTAGAGTGGCAGGAAGCTGTTGATTACGAGATAAGTCAGCTTGAGAAGTTGGGGACGTGGGAAGTAGTAGACTTACCTCGCGGCACTAACCTCATCCCCTGCCATTTCGTGTTGGCCACGAAACGTGGACCCGACGGTGAAAAACTCAAACTGCGGGCACGACTCGTTGCCAACGGCCAGAAGCAGCAGTTCGGTGTCGACTACTTCGACATGTTCGCGCCCACAGCCAACATGAGCACCATATGCGCTGTATTGACGATGGCGGCTCAGAACGACTGGGAAATCCACCAAGTCGACATAAAAAGTGCGTACCTCTATGCGAGTATCCAGGAGGAGATTTACATGCGCGCGCCACCCGGCTACCTCACGGAGAGTCAGCGAGGAAAAGTGTTGCGGCTGCGAAGGAGCTTACCTGGTTTGAAGCAGGCCGGTTTTGAGTGGGCTGAGGAGTTAGCAGGAGTTTTTGCGAAGATAGGTTTCGCCCGGTCCAAGGTGGACCAGGCAGTCTACTACAGACGCGCACCGGACGAGCACGTCGTCATCACCGTCTCAGTGGATGACATGGCCGTTACTGCCAACCGGACCTCCCACATCACCCGCTTCAAGTCCCAGCTCCGTAAATTCTTCGAAATCACGGACCTGGGCGAGCTAAACTGGCTGTTAGGGCTAAAGGTAATGCGAGACCGTGGCGCACGTACCTTGACACTCTCCCAGAAAGCCTATGTGGACACGATCGTCGAGCGCTTCTACATGGGAGACGCTAAGAGTGCACAGACGCCGATGGAACCTACACTCACCTTGTCCGTTGACCAGGGACCTGCCATGGTGCAGGAGATCCAGGCCATGCGCGATGTACCGTATCAGCGAGCCATTGGCTCGCTGATGTATGCAGCCACTAGCACCAGGCCGGACATAGCATTCCCTGTCGCGACATTGTCGCAATTCATGCGCAATCCTGGTAGGCCTCACTGGGAGGCCACCAAGAGGGCACTACGCTACCTTAAGGGCACGGGAGACTTCGAGCTAACGCTCGGTTCGACGGACGGAGGTCTTGAAGCCTTCGTGGATGCGGACTGGGCGTCACAACCCCACCGGCACTCTATGTCCGGGTACGTAGTCCTTTTGAACGGAGGTCCCGTTGCATGGAGTGCCCGGAAGCAACCACTGATCGCGCTATCCACGGCAGAGGCTGAGTATATCGCCCTGACCAGTGTGATACGCGAGTTACTTTACCTTAGGTTGCTCCTCGGGGAGCTATACGACCCCGTCCCCAATCCTATCCCCGTGTTCTGCGACAACCAGGCTGCCATCGCATTAGCGTCCAACGGCAAGTTCCAATCACGCACCAAACACATAGACCTTCGATACCATTTCGTCCGCTCCCACGTCAAGAACGGCACATTCAAGCTATTCTACTGCCCCTCCGAGGACAACATCGCCGATGCCTTTACAAAGGCCCTGCCGAGACCGCGACTCCAGAAGTTGCGAACGATGATGAGCGTGGCTTGCGCTCGAGGGGGAGTGTTGGAGTACGAGACCGAGAGATCCGAGGCCAGGGGGAGATCCGAGTCGAGAGAGTCCGAAGGATCCGAGTGATAAGGGGAGAATGGTTCGAGCGCGCGCCAAAACGGACGAAGACGAGCGACGTATGACGTCGGCTCGCGTCCTAGTTTATTTTCAGTCTCTCATTCATATGTTCCAGTACCTGACCAACTTACTATAAGATTACCAGCAGTACCGCAGGTGCATCTCAGTTTTCGTTCGAGACAACTGAGATGTACGTGCCAACAAGTCCCTAGAGTTTACAACGCGTCTAATGTTAGTTATAGCTTGTCTTTGTCGTTCTAGGTAGACGCACCGTTATAGAGTTTTCGTTCGAGACAACTGAGATCTTGTCTTTGTCGTTCTAGACTCCTCGTGACCCTCTTGCTCGTCATAAACGCCTTTATGACCACGGCTTGATATATCAAGAATGGCCGCTGATTCCTCTCTGGTGGTCGTTTATGGCTGAGAAAGTTGGGTGCGGCAGGCCGGGTTGCATGGCTCGGAGCTTTTTTAGAGTATTATTTGGAACAAACAGGGTTTTTAAATGAGGTGAAAGAGTTTGTAACTGGTACCACCAGATGCTGATGTTTACCAACGAATGCGACAGGGGTGTAGAGTCCTAATCAATTATGCTCCTAGTAGGTCCGACCCCGGGCCACCACTAGTGACTCCGTAATACTTCAAGCAGACGTTGTCATCACTCAACAGGAACACGCTGGCTTTCTGCTATTGGGTCTGCATATGCAGGGGAAACTATAAGACCGGCTCCCATGCGGTAGCGGGAATTTTTCATTTGTCACGAGAATGACTGATATCGCGACTGCCGAGTTTCTTAACGAATTAAGGTCCTTGTATCCTGCACAAGCCAAATATGTCGACAGTGGCTGGTACCTAGCCGCCGCAGTAGCATTCAGCTCGAGTAACCGCCCTGAAGCCGTCTCATGTGTCTTCCGCCATGCTCTCGAGGATCTTGAAAAACTCCCTGACACCTCAGATGAAGATCGCAGGTTGCTCGTGCGGAAGATGAGGGAGGGTATCTTCAAATCTGCCTTGCTCTCAGGTTTCGCCAAAGTTAATATGCCTTACTCGTTGAAGTTTAATGATCTTACAATCTTTGAAGGTTATCTACGCTCTCATTTCGTTGTATGAAGCCACCCCCGAAGAGTTTCGAGATACCGAGCCTATGCGGTCAGTGTGCAAGTTATCCTGAATCCCCTCCTCCTGACTTGTCGTGCGATAGCGACTTCACTCGATCGAAAGAGGAAGTTGCTGCTTCTGGTCAGGGATACTTTGATTTACAATATGGTGATACCGCAGCGGAAATTCAGCTCTTGCTTCGGTCCATATATCCAGACCTCGGTATGTTTCAAAAGAGAGATACCTTTGAATCAGCTCCTGAGTTCGATCACTAGAACATGTCATAATGACACTCGGGTACGGGTATGTGTACTCCTTCTTGGAAGTGATCTCATCCAAGGAGACGTCATTCGCCATCATTTCTGCATTGATTGCAACCGACATGCTCAGTCCGGTTGAACGGCAGCTCACTTGCGCTGTTCGCAATGGTGCAACAGTTGAGGAGGTCAGAGGTGTACGGGAAATTGCACTGAGAATTGCGATGGCGGCGGGCGTCTTGAAACATGAAGTTCCTAATATTTGATACGGATCGAGTGAATAGACGTGTATATAGATCACACGCGCTGGTTAGACATGGGCAGTTCTCACCGATGGTGCTACAGCTCGATTCACCATTTGATACACGTAATTGTAGTTGCTCAGAATTTATAAGACAGACCATAATCGCTGGCACCTATTCCTCATTCTTGTAGTTCGACGTAATTTTCTGTGGGGCACGGTCAGCCCATCTTGAGACATACAACGAGTAAGAACATACCAGGGAACATTCCGATATCGCCCTGTGGGTTCTTGCCTTGCCACCACCCTTCACCAACTGCCTCGATTTCAACAATCCTGTCACCCACAAGGAATGATATTTCATTGTCCTCGGTAGCTTCATAGCTGAAAAGAAAAGGGGTTAGACCGTAAAGTCACTTTAAGAAACGGGCCTACTCGTAAAGAGCTACTGCTACAATGCCCTCGTCGGCAGCAGAGACCTCAGGTTCAGGTTCGGGAGCAGGCGGCGCTGCCGGCTATTTTTGTATGAGAACCAAAGTATGTCATTCAACATTGGATTTACTCACAGCTGGCGGTGGTGGCGGCGGCGGCGGCGGCGGTGGTGGTGGAGGAGGAAGAGCATCTTCTTCAGATTGCTCCACAATTTCCACATAATTTGCTATGGTGCACTTGGTATACACCCGGTAAACTGTACAAATGAAACACTCACCAGGGAACAACCCGCTCTTCTCGCCGCCTTGGCTAACACCACTCCACCAACCTTCATCAATCTGTTCGATCTGCTCAATAAGTTCACCTTCCTCCAAGTTCATTTCATTATCTTCCGTAGCCTAGCATGGAAAACAAGATTCGTCAGATTTGTAAAGAACAAGATAGATTCAATCATTAACCTCGTATTCATACAGCACCACGGCACAGAGACCCTGGCCCGCAGGAGCGGGCTCTGGCTCTGGCTCTACACTCAGCGCCTGCATCTGGGCTACAGGTGGCGGAGGTGATGGCGGCGGTGGCGGCTGTAGATATTATGAGTACTGGATCACTTGAAATCATTTTATGCTCACTCCCGCTTCCTCTTCTTCCAACTCGATGGGCGCAGATGCAAATGGTGGTGGTGGTGGTGGTGGTGGTGGTGGTGGAGGTGGCGGCGGCGGCGGCGGCGGCTGTAAATCGAATAAGTACTGAAGCACTTGATATCCTTTGATACTTACTCCCGTTTCCTCTTCTTCCAAGGGTGCAGGTGCAAATGGTGGTGGTGGTGGTGGTGGCGGCGGCGGCGGCGGCGGAGCAGCCTCCTCCTCTACTACTTCCGGCTCTGGTTCTGGCTCGGGAGGCGGAGGCGGCACAAATCGCGGACGTGTCGAAGTAGGGGGAGCCGGTGGGGGCTGCAGTAGCAAAATGTTAAACATATGAGCTTTCTCGCCAATATCAACAAGTCTCACAGGAATCGCAAATTCTGCCCGAGGCTCAGGCTCTGTAGCACTTACTAATGCAGCCCCAGTCGCACCGATAACTGCACCACCTATAGCTGCAGAAGCAACTTTGGCACCAAACCTTCCCTGTGTCTGACTGCTACTTGAGCCTGTAGATGCGGGGCTTTGCCACGAAGCCTGTTTACTTCGTTGCTCATCTAGCTTTGCTTGATTCTTCGCTAGAAGTTGGCGTTCGCTCCAGGGAATTTTCTTTGGTCCACCAGCAATACCTTGCGGTGGAGGAGCTTGCTGCTGTTGCTCGAATTGTGCAAACGGATTTTTCAGCCTACCCGGTGTGAGTTTGACCGGGGTCCACGCGGTACCCTGATATACACATCATAAGAGAACACAGCTGTGGATAACGACACGCTTACTACTGGGGCAATACGATCTTCTTCTGCAGGTTTGACGGGAGCGCTGGAGGAAAGGACGGCAGGCGAGGTAGTAGGAGCTACAGGAGTAGAGCGTGCAGTAGTCGTGCCAGCATAAGACTGCAGATGCACGGTTAACCATGATTTGATATAAAAATCCGAGGCTTACAGAAAAAGCAGGCCTTGAAGCGCTGGGTATGGCCGGCGGACGTGACGCAGCAGGCGGAGGCGGCAAAGGCGCCGATACAGAAGGCACTTCTTCTTCCCAAGCATCAGCGGGGGCTTTCCCTGTACCAGCAGGTCGTACAGAAGCAGCGCTACCAACAACAGGGCGCGGCGCAGTGGGTATCGCAGGCTTAGAGAACGACGATGTCGTAACCGGTCTCGATGCTGAAGGCGCGGACGATGAAACATTCCTCGATGGGGGCTGCGCGTTGCGCATGGCAGTGATATCGGGGCGCCCAACAGGCGTGTAGCTCGTACCTACAGGGGCGATCGGTTCGAACTTACGCGCCTGCTCGTTGTGCGCTGAGTACTTTGCCCCAGATGCAGCCTCGACACGCTTCATTATGAGCGCAGGGGCAACATCGGACTGCAGGAACACTAAGATTATTGATATACGATTATTCAGACGCAGTACGGACCTCGTTGCGAGCACTGATCACAACATGAGAACCGCGAAGAAACTTTGCAACAGCGCTGGAATGAGTGTGGAATAGACCCTTCTTGGCTTCGGGTACACCATCTCCACACCAGTTGATTTGTACAAACTTGGCCAGTTTACTCTGAAGGAGACAAGATCGACTCATCAGGATTATGCCGAAGTGGACATGATGAAAGCATACATTAGGATCTATGACACGTGCGAACGCATACTGCATTCTGCATATAGATCAGAAGGGAAACTGAATGAAGAGACGATGTGCCCATACCGTCCATCTGAGAATTCCTCTTCTAGTTCCTGAAGCCCACCATTGCCAGTGGCCTGCACTTTGAGGTCATTTCCACCCTTGTCGTATGTGTATATTACCCAATCTATATTTCTGCCAGCAACGACATTTTGGTATGCCTCGCTGATCTCTTTGCTAGATAAGTTGACCTGCAAGGACATTGGAGCTGACTGAACAAATGAAGATTGAGCATCACCTAACACACTGACGCGAAAGATCTTACCACTAGTATACTGATCAATGCAGCTCTTCAACCGTGAAGCTTTGAAGGACCAGTTTGCGATGAATTGGTGATGAAGGGACGTTTCAGGTTTCTGGGTTTGTCCCGATTCAGCTCACCGGCAGTGACCCGCAGTTGATTTCCTGGCACGTGACCGAGACGCGTCTATGGTGATCATAAAATATCTTTATCAAGCTATTAATTATTGAATTAGCTGCGTACTTATATCCAATGATATATATATGATGTCGTGGCGGTTTTATTGAATTGTCTGGGTTATCCTAGATCATTTATTCTCATTGAGAAGTCACATATGAAATGTTGTCATACCAGTGTGGGTTATTATATACTGTTAGATGTTGTGTCTCACACTGGGTTATTTCTCCCTACATCCTTCATGCACATGGATGAGTTCTTTGAGCCCGGTACCTCAATTAATGCTACATGCATCATCCCTTCAAACGATTTTCCAATTGAAAAATAGCATCACGTGACTATCGACGAGCGATCTATTGAATTTGTGATGAAAGCGCCTCTGATCAAGATTCAACCAGCACCACTAGTATGGAAATATCACCAGTTACTCTCGACCTTCCAGAATGCGCGCCCAATCTCATGCCATTCCACATCTCTCACTCAGGGCCCGCACCAATATCTACGTATTTTCGCGTCAAGCCCTCGCTTTCTATCCTTTCCCTTACACAGAAAACGTCCAACGAAACACAGCTGTCTACAGACAACAGCCAGAACACCCTCGTTGCTGAAGAGTCTCAATGCTCCATAACCACAATTGCCGAATCACAGTCTACTCCATTAGAGCAGGATTCACAGACATGTCCTGCAAAAGTGGGCGCTATGGTAGTCGACGCTGATTCTGGGACTCAAGCCAGCTCATCAAGTGAAGTTGCTCGCGCACTACCTGAAACACCTCCAGTAGAAGGTAATCTCAGCAACAACTTTATTGCAGCATTCAGAGGGAGGCAGGTACACGGTCGTACCGTGGACCTACCACAGGGATACGGTGGCATAGTCCTTAGTGCACCAAGCGGTGATGCAAAGAGTCAGGGGGATGATACTGGGATGGTTGAAACAATAGCTCAAACAAGAGGCAAGGCTCGAGCAACACGAACATGCAGCCGACAGATGGACATAGATGAAGACGATGCGGTGGATGCAGATCATGACGGCTCATGTGTTGAGATTCGGAGACTAACCCCGGTCTCAAGGTTTTCTTCCTTGACCGTTTGGTCCCCAGACATACCGGTGGATGAGGGCAAAGACGAGTATCTTAGGTCTTTGACGGAGTGGACAAAATTAGCGGCAGAGGTACGTTTTCATGTATATTCCGTGATCGTGTTGTGATTCATCTTCAAAGATTCATGCCTATGACGCATAATATGGAGCCTCAGTGATGGACGGTATGAATGTTGGAACGATATATTACTATACGCGTCAGCTGTTGGCCCTAGTTTGGTAGCCTTGGCTAATATCAAAACTTCATCATGCATAATAACATCCAGTCTTCACGGCTAGATCTCGTCGCTTACTGCGATTGCTGAATACCATCGGAACTTCTGCAGGATACTCAAAGATCATTTTACATCGTTATATCTTTTGAATCATGAACTAATGACTTGAACGTGCTAGTTCTTATGTATAGCGACTTACCTACTCACTTGCGTGGCTCGTCACTCATGGCGAAACACATCGTCACCGACACGGAATGGAATATTTGCATGAGTGAGAGGTCAATTTTAAGATTTAGAAATTAGGTTTGACTCTCAAAACTCGGGATGACATGACACACCGGAGCAGCTTTGCATTTGCAGCTGGATTATTTTGTTCATTATTCAAGGAGTGATAAACATATCCGTCCAGGTTTCGCGTAGCTATTCATCTCTTGATTGAAATGGCAGTGGCAGTAAAACTTCCAGAAGCAGATTCCGGTCTTTTCCTACGATAACAAATAGTAGACACGCTGCTTGGCGTAGAGGAACATTCAACAGGTGCATTTGCGCAAGTGCTTGACAAGATGGTTTTGTAGGTTGTTCACGACCCTGAACTCGAGCACCTGATCATTGATGAGTTATAAGTGTTGCCGCATTGTTTACATTTCCAGTAGTAGCAATTCCAGGTGTTCTCGATTCGTTCCAGGCGCTCGAAATTGCCGTTGATCAGTGACGCGAGGGGGAGTCGTCCACCATGCACCATCTTACTTTAAGGACGTCGGTTTTCATTGTCGTCATGACAGGCGAGCGCATGCAGTGAGAAAGAGAGCTAGTAGAAAATAGATTCTGGCTCAGTACGAAACGAGAGCAAAACAAGTGACTCACATCACCGATCAGTATCGATGTTTGGAAGATGTAGGACGTTCTCTAAACATACGGGTAGTTTAGGAAGAAATGAAAACATTAATGGGAAACATTGACAGCGCTCGATCGGCCTATGTCGACTCGCTGCACTCCTACCTGGTGTGACGTCTGCAGGTGCCTTCGCTCCGTCAGAGCCCAACATTCAAATATTCATGTTCTATCGGATTCAAACTGTATTATCAGACTTGAATTACAATATTTGTGAGTCCTGGAGTCCCACCAGGTCGTGAGTTCTGTCGTTGATCAGGCACAGCCACCGGTTGGCAGTTCTGCCAACAACGCTGACTGATTCTCGGTGTATACCTTGTTAATATCCGGTTGTTACAGTGGTGGGCGCTCACAAGTTGGCTCGACTCACCTCCTTATAATCAATGAACCATTGTCTCCATCGTTACCTACTCCAAATGTCATCGAGAAGCAGTGCGCGGTGGTATCGACGGCGATGTCTGAGATCTGAGTCGCTGTCTATAGCTTCATTGTTTGCTTGTCGTTGGCGAGCAAGGCAGCGGATTCCAGGGAACAGAGTGCCCCATACACGCATGAGGCCCTAGCTAGATGGACTTGGCATCAGTTTTGTGCCTCACTAGTGTGAACTTTTGTGAAGTTGTGAGCGGCCAGTGGGTCACCCAATGATTGGTGTTGGTTATAAGTGCTTGCGGACGGTCCCATAACAGGTACCAGTACCCATCCCCGACCACGGTCCACAATGACTTGGACACGTGCTAGCACTCGTATAGCAGCCCGCTGGCCTCTTGATCGATGGATAAATTTAGTCTGGAGGCTGGCTCTGCCCACAGTGTCGGGTGTACATATGCATCGATCACTTGGCAGGGGGCTGACATGGGCATGTCAACTGGTTGGGTCATTAATACAGCTGCCGGTCTGACGTACGTGGTACAAAAACTTACTTCCGCGAGTTACGATCCTTCACCAACCACAGGCTTGTATCGGCTCCCTCGCACTTCGCCAGTCGCTCCTTTGCTATTTGCTGAGTCTTCCGGGTCGTCTTCGCCATAATCTTTCAGTAAGTCGCATTGTGTTCATTATTGCTGTACCTTAAGTGATGCAATCGCCATCGTTGCGTTTTTTTGTCAACCTCCAGTTTAAAGCACACTCCTTTCATATAAAAAACATGTTTGCGGCCCTCGCGTTGACCATCTTGGCCTCATCTGCTGCTCTATTCGCACATGCCGATCCAGATCCAACCAATCCTGGACCTGGAGATGTCTTCATCGAGGGCCAGGCCTGTTCCATGAGCTGGAACCCGGATACCACTGGCGTGTGGAAGACTATGATCATCCAGTTGAAGACGGGGGACAACTTCGACATGGTCAACTTGACCAGTCCGTTCATATACTCTGTCATGAGATACTGACCTCAACTGTTCATAGCGGTCGGCACTGTTGACGGAACGGACGCGACGAAAACTTCATTCTCTTATCCTTGTCCTCAGGTTGGTGGTGTTTCATTCCACCCTTACATGCCTCGTAATCGTGTTTATCCCCCCAGGTCACACCCCACTCGCCTATTTACTTCTACCAGTTCTCTTCTCCAGCTTCCGCCAACAGTGTCTGGACTGGGCGATTCACGATCACTGACTCCGTAACCGACATCGTCCCCGCAACTGAAAGCACTCAATCCGATGGGTCGGCCATTCCTTGGGGTACCGGTTCGCTCGTCAATTCGACCTCAACTACCACCGTTGGTACCACGAGCCCCGTGTCAGCTACAGCCAGCGCAATTGGAAAACCGAGTGCCACTTCTTCCGTAAGTAACGCTTCAAATAATGCCAGTCTCACTGGCAGCAGAACAGACTCACCCAGCAGTATTATTTAGAGCTCTAGCGTTAGGGCCACAACTGCCAGTGCATCTCCAACTCCGACGCCGTCCTCTGGTTCGCAAGCAACTGGCAGTGGACTCCGCTTAGCCGCGGAAAGCATCGGCTGGAAGACTGCTTTAACCCTGGGCGCCTCGGCACTGGGCTTCACTTTGATGCTTTAGATTCATGATCTCACGATTAGTACAGACCCCACTTCATGTTATCACAGCATGCCGGATGCTCTCTACTCGCGAATTCTCCCAGTCATTTATCTCACTGTACCTTTTTCAACTCTTGGGTCTGCGGCGTGTATGCCCAACAGGGCAAATATATTGTTAATTTAACTGGGTCGTTTCTCTGTCGGTATTCCATTTTTCGTATTTATACCACAGACAATACTACCTTATTGCTAAATTATTGCGATGCTCCAGATGCCTTGCTGTGATCTTCAAGCCAGTGGTGATCCAGTTTGATTGCATGGTACTGGTTACCTGTTAGTTCCAGTAATACTTCACCACTGAACCCATAGGGTGCATCAAATGGGTATGTGGTGTTTACTCGCCTGCCGAGAAAAACCGCATGCCACGGTCCACGGAACAAGGCGAAAGTCAACAGGGCCGAGTTCGAATAATCATATCATTACATCACTGTTTACCGATTAGTAGCGCTGATGGTAACGCACAGGTCTAGCTAGGCCTTAGGCCTTATCTCTCGCGTCCGAGCTAGGCCCCGAGTCGGAGCATGCCCTGATAAATATATAAACTCAGGTCTTGTGGAATCGTTCGAGAGGAACTTTCATTATACCGCCAGAATCGACATCAGTGCTGTATTCAACGCGACGTCATAAATCATCTACAGCAGCTATGTCAGACTCCGTCGCTTCAAACTCTAGCTCCCTATGCACGTATATGAAGGATCAACCTCGTACGCTGGTTGCATATGTCAAATATTTCGGGAAAGTTCAGGACAATGTGGTCAGTGCTGAGATGTCGGGCGTCGACTCAAAGGTCAGTCTAGGACGATAGATTTCTTGTACTTGACTGGTATTGACGAATGTACCCAGGGCATGACACTTTTATACAAGCTCCAATCTGGAGTCTCAAATTCGGTTCGGGTACCATTTAATCCACCGCTTCCAGGATACGATGATGCCAAACCCCGCCTTTTGAGTATGAAGACAGAGGCGCTCGACAGTCTTGGTATGGTACGTGTTCGCAAACAATATTGCTTTCAATCTGTCTTGTGTCTGATGCATACGCGTACTTTAGCTCAAAGTTCCCAAGTTGACCACATTCCGGTTTCCTCCCAAAGCTATCATGACGCCATTCATTTTCCTCGCGTACTTTTATCTTCTTGCACCACCACCCCCTGGCACGACATTGTTCTCTATCCCTGCCGCCACCGTGGATACATTCTTCTCCCCAGCAAACGCGATTAAAAACTTCACCGGTCTCGGTTTTGCTGCTCAGACTCTTGCTACGATACTCGGTGTTATCCACACGGCTGAAGGACTGTATACCTTGTCACTTTGTAGGCGTTCTGTGAAAGGCTTGGCAGTGACGGTGAGTTTGTCTGATGAGTGTTCGAGTCTTGTGCTTAAACTCTTCAGGCTGTTTATGTCGGCTGTTCTATGTTGTTCGGAGTCCACATATGGAAAGACCTCAAAATCCGCATTCAGGAGAAACGCACTGAAGCTGCGACGAAGTTTGAATGATTGACATGGATCCTATGTGCAACTCTGGCCGAAATATATGTTGAAACGTTGAACTGCGATCCGCGGAGTATCGAGCTGTATGTTACAGATCAGTTTTAGGCTCAAGCATTTGAAGTTTAGTTGCTTGGTGGATATGTTTTTCTTGATTATGAGGTTTAGGTACTGATCTGACCCTATGTCAATTTCATATCAGTAGAGTCGTACTGCAGAGCTCGGCTTTACATAAATTGTTTGTGATAGTAGTAAGAACTAGTGTACGGTGACCACTGACCGGTCAGATTTTCAAATTCAAAGTCATACAACTACAGTTTCCGAGTATGGGTATGTCAAGCAAACTCTAGTCTCTTGACCAAGTCGTTCTTTGCAAAGAACACGCGCGACTCAAGCTTCAAGCTACGGCAGAAGAGTCAATTGTCTTGAGTGTTTCGATCTTCTACACTATGTGAGGTTTCAGGCGAACTTTTGGACCACATCATAACAAAGATATATAGGAAGATCCAACGATTATCATCCTTCTCTCTGTTTGGCACCGGGCTGCCTTCTCACATGTCCGAGTCACTAGCACTCTGGAGTAGAGTGGAGGCACGCATCGCTGTATCGACATCTAGCAAGGCTTGTCTTTAAACGCCCGCGAGCCAGCCTTCCACAGGCAATAATGGCCTGGGGTCATGTAGTTCATCAGGGAAACGTAACTCATTACACATGATTACAGAGTGCTACGAAGCGCTCCGTAGCACTCTGTAGCACGATCTAACCCGCTGATGTTTGTTATACATTCTTCGTATATGATATAGCGCCGCATCGCGGTTCTCACCATGTTTCGGACTGAATCACTCACCACATAGAGCACTACATCAACGAATGTAAGTGCGTCAACGTCCTGGTCGAGGACAGTCGCTGGCGACTGTAATGATGGGCGAAGAGCTGACACTTCTATCTCCACAGTATCGGTCAGTCGCGCAATGAGCGGAACGAGAAGGTCCCTCTCAAGGAAATTGGCTGGCGAACTCCGGAACGCACGCACGGTGCGGAGCATAATCCTTTTTGACAGAAAGATCAAAGAGCCTGTCTTCGTCACATTGACTAATAGAACGGAATTGAACTTCAATGCATCGGGAAAAACTTCGGAACGGCCGGCTACATACCTTAACCTGGTAGCGTCCATGCACCCACTTGAGGCCTGCGACGAGTCTCTGCATACAGATCAGATAATATTGACCACCTCAAGCTGAACTACGTTTGGAAAATTAGAATTCAACTCCTCATACCATATCCCCCACAGCTTTATGCATTCCCGACAGAGAAACAAGAGGCATACCCCCACGATCCTCGTTGAGTTGGGCGGACATTTATCACAAACCTTCGTATTGCTGAAGTGATGGTATCGATGGAGTGGAAGTACCATCACCCCTCTTCCGGGAGAAAGAATTTCTGTGAACTCAAGTCTGCATGTCTGGTTAGGTACAGATTAAATTACACTGCGGCAGCTCCGAGTGAACTGTCGATGTGACGTGGAACGGAGTAAGCCATCTTTCCTAGAATCCATTAATAACACAGTAACGCTCGATGAGAGCGGTTGAATCTGTACCCGGAAAACTTCAATCGGTGTTCTGAGTCACTTGTTCTCGGATCGTGGCGCGGAGAATATATTTGATGGTGGCTGTTTCCGACGAGGATTACTGTCAAGGGGTAGCCCCTCGAATTCAATTACATGTCTATACCACGAGTCTCTTGTGTGAGATTCCTGGCGTGCCCATTTGCTTCGGTTTGGACTCTTGAGCACGCAGGGTAAGCTGAATCAAGAGGACCATGAACCCAAGTGCAGTCTTCGCGTCGGGTCGATTATGTGGGAGGAGCCTCGCTTCGTGACCACAGAAATTTGGGTTCGAAGAGAAGGAGAGAATGTTGGTGCGGAGACCTTCCTTTAGTACTTTGGCAACGTTCGGATGGCGCGCTTTGAGTAGCACCGTGGCTTACTCAATCTGCTGAAATCAGCTACAACTATAAACTCAAACCTTTGAATACCCATGCTGATTCCACTACCGCTTGGGTCCTGGGATATATATATATAACGTACAGTAAAAGATGTATCCCACACAAGATCATTTGTAACAACTTGAAATAGGAAGGAAGACGTAGTGACAGTGAACGGTGAAGCTATAGAAACGGAATAAACATCTACTGGACTAAAGGGCCATCAGAAGGACGGAGAAAAATGCGCCGGCTTGACCTGGTCCACATTCGGAACGTGCGATTTCTCCCAGTAAGGTTGGCGAACCCAGATCTCTGCTGCGTTGATCTCTCGGCCACATCGTAAGTCTGGTAGCGAAGATGGAAATTCTTCGCGCTCAAGCGCTGCAATCCGTTTTTAGCATGATGTTCACAGACAAATCAGATTCAACTCACCGCGAGAGTGTGCGTCAGTGAATTCTGACCTGCCGGATCTAGACGCAAACGATCTATGATTTACGACTTCAGCGAACCCAAACCGCGATGACGGGTCGGGTTGCAGCAGCTACCGCGGTGAAGATGAGTGATGGTGCCGGAAAACGAACAAGACAAAACCTTACTCCAGAGATCAAATCCGCGAGATTTCCCTTCAATTCTTCAATGGCAGGGAACCGTTTGGATGCCCTGTCGCGGCTGGAGCACCAAGAAACATAGGAAAATACGTCGTCCTCTGTAACGAAGAGCGACTGACGAGATGATATAAGTAAGATAGCAGCGAAGGAAGATTCGAAACGTACCTCGTGCTCCTTCGACACAAGCTCGTAGAGGACACAACCTAACGACCACCAGTCTGCCGGTGCTCCGTACATCGAAGGACGGCGGTCGGATCCGTTGCGCAGGACCTCCGGTGCCATGATGTGTGTCGTTCCCACCGGTTCCGAAGAATAATTCTGCTGTCGGTCCAAGGGTCCTTCGTCTTTGTTTACATAACTCACGCCAAAGTCGATGATGCGCACGTTCTCTCGAACGTCGATCAGGATGTTTTCGGTTTTGATGTCCCGATGGATAATCCCTATCTCGTGCAGGGCGTTGATCCCAAGGGTCTTCGAGGTCGGAGGAGGCGTGAGTCGTGAGTCGTCGAAGACCAGGACAGACGACTGCTTACCATTTGCGCACCCCACCTGCGAGCATTGCGGACGCAGTACGAAGGATAACGTTGCAGATAATTATACAAGTCGCTCGCCATCAGGTCCTAGAGACGTCAGATGGAGTCAGATGACTGAAACGGGTCGCAGGGGAGGATGGAAAAGGACGCACCATTACAAAACATATCTGATCCTTTGTTTGAAACGACATTTCAAGCCCCATGAGGAAATTAGCCGCGGGACACGGCAATGCGCATGAAAGACGCTTGAACGCTTCGAGTTCGTTCAGAAGAACAGCTTTCCTGGATTTGCGCTCAAGATGGTGCTTTTGAAAGACCTTGAGACACAACAAGCGATTCGACACTATGTCTTCAGCTCCCATCGCCACGCCGTACGTGCCCTCGCCCAACATGCCCCAAACACGAAAGGGGCCATACGTACATGACACCGGTGTAGTTCGGACTACCTCTGCTGGGCCGGAGTGCGTGAAGGTGAAGGCGTGAGCTGGAGGGTCGGCCGGCTCCGAGGCAGAAGGGTATTGAAGATTGGGGAGCTCTGAGCGAGGATTCGCGATGCCAGCATCGACTACGGTAGACATTATGACGGGGGCGTTGAATGCAGCGCTGGAATGATGTTCGGAAGAAGAAGACTGAGCGATCGACTTTTGAGCGACCATGCCTAACAGATAAGAACGAGGAGAGGGGAGTAATTTGACGCGCAAATTTGAGAGTTCCTTGGTAGGACCACAGCATGCTTTCAATAATATCAATGAGTTGTGGAGCGTCGATTTGTGGATTGTCTGAAAACACCCACAGGGTAATCATGGCGACTAGCCACTGTCGATCACCACGAGGGAAATTGTGGAGATGTGCGCTGTAGGACAATCAAACCACGTTGCGACCACAGTTGAGCAGCAAGCGTCGACGCACATCGCTGCCAGCTGCCGAGTGGTCAATATCACTCACGATATCAAAACAATGCGATGCCGCAGAAACGTGCATGTCCAAGTCTAGAACGCGAGCGGTCCTAGCACCGAACGTCAAGCGCTGGCTGGTGCGAGGCATGCTGTTACAGGTGTTTTACTTCTTCTGAATATTTATTTATCCGCGTCGCACGACAGACCACGAATGGGTAGGTATCTTCGGAAGAACCTGTACATTATTCTTCGTATACTTATCTCATGAATGTCAAGTTAATGTCCCTAGCTGTGGAGTCGGTCGCTCAAGATAGTCTCCGCGGCAGCAGTATTGACATTTACAAAGTATAAATGCATGTTAGCAGAAAGATCGGAGTGATGCATGAACTACACCTTTGGACGACAGCATGACAGAGTCATGGAATGAAATGACAGCGTTTGAAGGTAATGACAGGGTTGATGATTCAGATTCAAACTTTACGTGTTCAACGGGCTTGTGCGGACGTGTCGATCACGGCGTGGTCCCATGGAGGTCGCGATTGCGAGTAGGAAAGTAACCGAGTCGGTGAGTTACATTCTGGTTTCGGCTTGATACATAACAAGGTTGATGACGTGAAATACATGTAATAAGAGCAGTAGCTTGATTGGGTGAACAAAACGCTCTTGAACGAAGATTAGCATACACTAACACGCAAAAAAAAACATACGAAGGGTACTGACACAACAGACGCCCGTCACCTGCAAACTCTCGATCTGAAATCACAAGCAACGCAGGAGGTGGTCGAGATGCAGCACAAGCGACGAACCAAAAGCTGTAAGCCTGTAACGGTAAAGACAAGGAAACAAGGGAGCACGATGATCCCAATGAGGTTGCGGCTGACCCGGGCCGGCTGGCTAGAACCGTGAAACCTTTTGCGAAAACTCTTCTGCTAGGTACGGGAATCAAGTCCTGAAGACCACGGAAATGGGTGCCCATGCACGTATATGCATGATATTGTCTTGCACTCATCCAACTGTCTCTCCCGTTCACCTGGTCTACCCAGAGCCTGAGATCGGCGTGCAACTTCTACGGAACACATTGTCGACGACGAACTAGAGTAAGCCCTATCCCCATATTTTTATAGAAACCACCAACTCAAGAAATTCCGTCAGCCCGCTCCTACTCTTAGCTTAAATGTGTGCCAATCAGCTTTTTACTCTAGTAGGGAATCCAGACACACCGGAAGTTGAGAGCGTCTTGGCCGCACTTGCAGTATACAAGCAACGAAATCATTGCATCCCCAAGCAAACTCTAGTCTCGTGACCACGTCGTTCTTTGCAAACAACCACACGCGACTGGTACTCAAGCTTCAAGCTACGGCAGAAGAGTCAATTATCTTGAGTGTTTCGGTCTTTTACATTATGTGACCATGATGTTTCTGGATCTTGTGACGTTTCATGCACCACATCATAACAAAGATCGGAAGGTCCAACGATGATCTTCCTCCTATCACTATTTGGTCTGTGTTATCTTCTAACATGCCACTAGTACTCTAGAGTAGAGTGGAGGCGCCCGTCATTGTATCGAGGTCTGAAAAGGCTTATCTTAAAACACCTGCGAGCCAGCCTTCCCCGGGCAATAATAGCCTGTCAATGGGGTCATGTGGTTTGTTACATGTTCTTCGTATATATAGCGCCGCATTGCAGTTCTCACCCTGAACGACTCCCTGTCGATACCATCTGGACTTCAAGCGATAACCTGCATCTATGACTAGAAAAATTTTCGTTGGATTCGGCGTAGATGTTGATGCTGTGGCTGGCCGGTACGTGGTTTTCCGTTCGTAGATGATGATAAGTGTTAGCAACGGTGATCATGATGCAGGCTTGGGTCCTATGGAGGAGAAGATTCGCCATTGGACATCTCTCGGGTATGCTCGCATTGACGCTATGTGATTATGAGCTTAAATCAGCGCAGGGAATGTACGCGGGAGAAGTCGGAGTGCCTCGCCTTCTAAAGCTGTTTGATAAGTATAAGATCAAAACAACCTGGTTCATTCCTGGTTGGTCCCAAGTTCAATGCTCCCAAGACACAAGGAACTGACGGATAGCATACGTAGGTCATAGCTTGGAGACATTTCCGAAACAGATGGAGGCAGTTCGAGATGCCGGTCATGAAATGTAAGATTCCTTAGGCGAGGATATCTATATCTTTCTCATCTCGTGCGCAGAGGTCTTCATGGATACTCCCACGAGGTAAGTGGTAATCATATCAATATTGGGCAAAGAACTGAATATTTATTTTCAAAGAATCCTGTTACTATGACTCTGGAACAACAGCGAGACATTTTGGACCACACCTTCAACCTTCTTACGGATTTCAATCATGGTGTTCCTCCGAAGGGCAGCGTCGCCCCTTGGTGGGAAACTAGTAAGGAGGGGACGGCGCTGTTACTGGAAAAGGGCATTGAATATGGTCACTATATCACTACTCATTTCAAGCAAGGTACTAACACCTTTCAAAACAGACCACTCCAATATGTGCCACGAGTGAGTCGGCATACCAGTCGTGAAATACTCAGACTGACATTCTTTCAGTTCGCAAATGTATTATCTTCGTGACGAAGATACATGGACAAATATTGATTATCAGGCGAAAGCTCACACGTGGATGAAGCCGCTGCAAAGGGGCAAAGAAACTGGAGTCGTTGAGATTCCAGCTAACTGGTCCGTCAAATACATCGCCAATGTGCGCCTATCTGATTACACGTGTGTTAAGGTACCTTGACGATCTTCCCCCCATGATGTAGGATGCAAGTCGTGCACAAAAGCATCATGCTAACACTAGTCTAGGTTCATCAAATCAAGCTCAAACTCTCATGGCTGGGTATGCCAACACGTTTGAAAACCTTCTCACGTCTATTCATGCATCATCAGGTCAGCGCCCAAGCTGTCGAGCAGCTTTGGAAAGATACATTCACTTACCTGTATAGGTAAGGATAAGATTGCTTGGTTTCAGTTCCCTGTTGATTTATAGCGACCAGAGAAGAGAAGGATTTTGTATTTCCCATTAGCATCCACCCGGACGTTAGCGGGTCAGTCTCCACTTCTTGCCATCATTCGAGTGTTCTGACCTTGGTCTTTGACAGTCGTCCACACGTACTTCTGATGCTGGTATATTTCACTCGACGTCCTCCTTGTTCTCTAACTCATTGGTGGTCATAGGAGAGTTTTATTGAATGGATCAATACTCACGATGACGTCCAGTGGCTAACCTTCTATGACATGGCTCAAGATTTCAGAGCTACACATGACCCAGCACCAGGTGCCATCATGCCCAAAGGCTTCGAGAAGGCCTAAGCTTGTCTTTACAATGCAGTGCGTTTTATACAACATATTTGTGTTGAGACTTCTTCAGGCGCTGTTGAATGTTTACCTAGTCATTTGTATATCAGTATGTCCTATCAACTTGTGACTTATACGTTTCGAAAGCCATGGCAGAATGGGTTCTGATTTATTTGAGTCGGACAGACCTTGAATGAACTTGTGCATGTCATGTACAAGGTCACTGCCAGTGTGATTGTCATGCTTTGGCTGCCATGCATAGCCTTCAAGTTCCTGCAATCATCACTGCTCAATGAGTCATTTGCAATAAAAATATGTACAACTGATACGTCTCAGTAAGCGATCTCGAACACTATAGAAGGTCGATTCGAACAAGCTGATTCAGGTACTCCCAGTGGCTTCTTCATCTTCAAACAACTTGAAATTCATACCCTGCGGAAACCCATCCACAATGTAGTCCAGAAAATTCCTTCTATGCTTCCCCAACCACGCAAGACAACCGACGATGGCCATCTCGTCTATCCACTTTAGGAGGGTTTGGCCCAGAGTACTCCCTCCCGGCGACGGCTCATATCCCGGGAGCAATTTCCACAGTATCATCTTCATATTCGAGAAAAGTAACTCTGAATGCTCTTCTGGCATCTTGTAGAGGAGCCGGGCCTTGGGCCTCTCGCGCGGCTGCGATGAGTACGGTTCTGGCAGGGACCCCAGCATTGTGCGACCGAGACATCGAATTATAGATGCCGTTAACAAGTAATAGCTCAGACTGACAGGATTGGTGGTCGGCCCAGCCATGCCGCATACTCCTCGTAATGAATATGCCATATGAAAACCAGAAGAGAAATCTGACGGCGAAGCGCGCTCATACATGAACCGCGTGAGATCCATAACAAACTTATCTGTTGGGGTATCTTCTTGAATAGCCTTGACAAGATTTCGGGGGCCTTTGGGCTGGTACACAAGAGCGCATGCCACACTCCAGGGCTGCTTGACGCACGTGCAAGAAAGCTCACTACGGCGACTTCATCTTGGAGTTCTTCCAAAATCCCTTCACCTCCAGACATCACTGCGCCCAGTTTGCTCATGCAAGGTATCATGAATTGGAAGAGTTGAGAGGACGACTCGTTGGAAATCGAAGAGAGTAAAGGAGCGAAACTGACACCGTCTGCGAAAGACACTTCATCCTCCGAACATTTGCAGACCTTGAAAGCCTTCTCCACTTCTCGGTTGATTTCGTCTGCAAATGAAGTAGGCTTTGCTTTCTCCATGATTCTAAAGACTAGGTATGCCCTGTCGTATGCCGTTTCGAACCGCCTGCTACCCGTGCATATCTGCATCAGAAGCACATAGAGCACTACATCAACGAGTGTAAGTGCGTCAACGTCCTTGTCGAGGACAGCCGCTGGCGACTGTAATGGTGGGCGAAGAGTTGACACTCCTGTCTCTATAGTATCCGCCAGTCGCGCAATGAGCGGAACGAGAAGCTCGCTCTCAAGAAAATTGGCTGGCACACTCCGGAACGCACGCACGGTGCGGAGCATACTCGTCTTTGACAGGAAGGTCAAAGAGCCTGTCTTCGTCACATTGACTAATAGAACGGAATTGAACTCCAATGTTTGGGGTCGCGACAACTTTGTGATCTTGAACACAAAACTGTCATCCGCCCCTTCCTGGGAGGATCTGTAACGTGCAAGTGACATCGCGGATTGCATATCTACGTGGTTGATGTGTGCACCGCGTTCTCCACTGGCGTAAATTGGAGTGGGTGGTACTGGATTCACGTGAAGCAAAGAGCTCACTAACGAACCCGGCTTGATGTATTCCTTGATTTCTGAACGCAATATCACATGCCGCAGGACAAGGGCAATGCGAGGGCTGACTACAAATATGCGATGCAGGCCAGGGCAGCCACCTCCCAACCCTTCCCACAAACCAAATGTGTTGTGCGTGAGGATGAATTCTTCCCCTTCCGCGGCTTCCCAGATGCTGAAGAAGTAGTTGTCCGCATGAGTATGGTAAGTGTAAGCATCGTGGTTTTCGAGATCAGGTGGGATATGCGATTCAGTCATCATTTTTTGAAGACCTTCTTCGCCGTACTTCTCTATGAGTTCTGCAGCATCTCGCATGATATCTGAATGCGATGTGTCCAGGTAGTATCTGAGGACGTATAGCCAAAATTCGACAGCGGATTGAATACCCTTCGCTTTCATGAAGGACTCAATCCACTGACGGCCCCTTGCGTTCTCCGGGTGATCCGCTTGAAAGTAGGTGTGGGAGCATGTTACCTTGCGATAATGCATGATAAATAGGAACTTCCGCAGGAGCTCTAGCGGCCTCCGCTTCAGAGTGAAAGTTCCCTGAGGAAGCGCTTTGTGCAGGTCCATGATAATGGAGGCTGCATGACGTTCGAGGTCCGCTAATTTCTCCTCTAGCTCGTTGATATTATAGGTGTTTCGGACGTCCTGGTAGAGATTCTGTACGCCGTAAACCTTTCCAATAGGTCGAATGTCAAGGCTACCCGTGGCAATATCATAGTAGTGGACGTATTCAGGATCAACACCAGTGCGTCGAAATTCTTTTTGTCGTTCTGTTTTGGACCTGCAAAGAACATCATTCAGTATTCTGGTCTATTGTCCAACACAGAGTGCTCGAGAGAACTCTGAAAACATACTTCACAGGACCAACTTGGAATCTTCGTAATATGAATCGTGGAATGAAATGCTGGTATTGTGTTGTAGGTGCACACGGACTCGGAGAGCCATCTGTCTTGTGAGCTTGAGCTTCTCCTGCAAGTTCTGTTCTGGCTTGTTGTTTTGGTGCATTCTTGCGACGTCGTGTCATTCTATACTAGTAGAGTTCAACAAACCCAAGAACTGAGCGCTGAGCGCCAGTGAACACGCGATATCCATGCGGCCGCGCTGTCGTCATTCAAGAGTGCTCAGTGCTGAACCCAAATTTAAAGAGCATATTATAAGTGCTATACATGGATCTAGTACCTTATTCAGTCGCGTGGTGCTGTTCGATACGTATGATATTCAGGGCAGGACAATAGCTATCATAAGACTGATAAACTGTGCGATCCCTTTCAACATTGAATATTGAGGATCAATAAGTTGCCTGCATTTTGTTTTCAAACAAAATCGCCAGGCTCAAATTCAGGCTGGCCGTATGTAGAACTCATCATGCATCAAATATTGCTCAAAGGTCATCAACATTCCTAGATTACACGAATGCGAAAATTCAACAATGTTTAAGATTCACCAGGTAAGATCTTTGCAACGTTCATTAACTCGGCCCATCTCTTGTCTTCTGCCCACACGATGCTTTGGTCCTCCTGCATAGTCAGAGCTTCATCAAGTTCATGCATTGGCTTGCCCTGTTGCTCGAGGGCGGCGATCTCCTTGTCGAATGCGTCAAGCCATTCAATCGCCTTCTTCGTCTGTGGATAATTCATGCTCGGGATACGGAGAGCCCAGAAGCAACGGTCAGTTGCATGCGTGACCCACCCTGTTGCACGAGCTTCAGTAATCATCTCACAACTCTATGGATACTCATATACCTTTTGGACGCAGTTGTTCTGGAGTCCAGCGAATCGTATATCTGAGAATTGGGAACCCCGCCTGTTGGAAATCTCTTGCAAACATCCTTACGGGGATGTGCACTTGTCCGTCACTTAGAATATCTCCCATGAGCCTCATCGATTCTTCGACAGTTGCTGTACTTGAAAGCGTCCGATACTTCTTCACGAGCTTCTCAACGACGGGACGTGGGAAGTACCGCAAGATGTTGGGGAACACATCCTGTGGACCTTGAACCGGGTGCGCGATCGCGTAAAGGTACCACTCCTCGCTCAGATCGCCAATAGAAATGCTCTTGACTCCTTTCTCGCGCAGAGCACGAGCAAGGCCTCCCGACCGTTGCCAGGTCATTGGATCGGGTGTGGTAGGGATCCAATTGCCATCAAAACATCCTCGGTACGTGCCGTGCTCTACACCGACTTCGTCTGTCTCTATTACCTTCATCATAGCTTTGATAGGAACTTTGGCAGGGTCTCTCAGAGTCTCCAAAATGTCAGGGGCATTAGGATCGAGATTGAGGGCGCGGCAAAGGGCTTGGAAGGATTGCCTCAGCTCCAACGGGGTTTTAGGGATAGTCCTGCAGGCAATGAGTGAGTTAACGGCAAGTGATAAAAGTGACTCACATCATTGCGTTTGATTGCAAATGGGCGGAGCGGAACGGAGAGTTCTGCCCTGGTGGCAGGTGTGAAAGGTGGTGCAAGATTTGGTGTAAAGCATGGGCACCTATTGCTCGTTAGCAATGATGCGAGTTCAAAGGAAACTTTCACTTACCGGCAGACAGCCCAGAAAGTTGAATATTGTTTGGATCACCTGTACATGATGTCAGGATATCGACAAAATCTGACATGGCGTGCGTTCAAGCTTACCTCCAAATGATGCAATGTTCTCCGAAATCCACAGAAGCGCTAACCATTGATCTTTAAAGCCAAAGTTTCCGTCTACCTTGGGCTCGTCGCACGCAAGGAAACCAAGTACCGAGATCCTATAGCCGATGTTCACATGAATTTCCTTCCTTGCCTCGGCCACATATTGTGACTGGGAGCTCAAGCCATGAGGTGAACCAAACTGAAGAAATCTGCGAAAGGGTCACCGAGAGTTATGATAAGTCTATGCACGACGAACCCTCCATGAATGTAAACCTTGACAGGAATATTTGCCCCAGGTTTTGATGATGAATGGCATGCAATATTGACAAAGAGGCTAAAGAAAGAAACCATAAGATTCAGAGCTGGAAACAACATCCTGAATCGCTTACGGGTCCTCTGACGGCTCTCCGTAGCCCTTACGATCAGCTGGTGCTGTCCCAGCACCCTGTCCATCATTCGAAGGCTGAGCACAGTCTAAGGGATTCCGTCTTGTAGCAATGATTTACGAGAGTTTGATCATTCGACATACGCTTAGTCTCATAAATGTAGTCCTTGTCTTCATATCGATAATCAGGAGGTAGTGGCTTTGGGTCCTGAAAGCGAACGGGTGGCAAGGCGAAGGGAACCTCTAAATACTTGGTTCAACATACGAGTGTAAAGGGTCTGGTCGACAACCTCACCTAAGAACACTGAAGCGCCGTTCGTAGTTCTGCCACCCTTGATGGGACCATACTTCGTCTCGACGACGACACTGACACCCTTCTGTAGTTCATCAGGAATGTGTGGGATAGGTGGAACAGCCATATTTGCTCGAGGTGTAAGTGACAAGACGACTTGAGAAATTCGAGTTGAACTTGGCAGTGGGCCGGGATGGATAATCACAAGTTCTTATAGGATCCATGATATGACGTGCATGTGCCACAGAGACCTAGGCATTACTTATCACGAGGTAGGAGTTATATATTCAGGCTGCATAGATGGATGAGTAAAGCGGGATGTTCGGAACGCCTTCATTAATGTTCTCTTCATTGAAGTGGTAAATACGATAGCACATGTTACATCCTATTTTGAAAACCTCCTATTGGCCGCTTATCTAGATAGCAGTAAGTATGATTCCTGACGACCAGCTATCGTTTGGGGTCCATTCTACTACAGCCGTGCTTTATGTTTCACATATCCCTTTGGCATCATAGCACCCGGAGGAGGATCATTCTTCGCCCTAAACCTTTCTGCCATTTCATGGAACGTAACCCACTTCACGTTGTCATGAGCATTAATCCATTCGATGAACCGTTCCTAGATGCAGGAATGCGTGTCACATAGGCACGTTTGTAGGTCATTAGAGCTACTTACCAGCATGAGTAATACCTGGGGACGTCTAAATCAAATAAGTTGATCATTCTGAATGTGGAAGCAATGTATGAGACGTACCCGCCCACGTCTGGATGGATACTTAACGGGAAAACGAAATCCTTTTCTTCCCTGTAGAGATATGTGAAGGTATCTTTCCAAAGCTGCTCGACAGTTTGAGGGGCCACCTAAGCGTGGTCGAGTCAGTAAACGGTTTGAGGAATTGCACCATGTTTTGCTTGCCCATCCATGAGAATTACTGCTAGCCTTCATGAACCTATGTTTGGCGTTAATGAAGCACGCTTTTCTATGAAGCATAAAACGCACATCATTGGTGTCATATCTTCGAGGTACCTTTGATAGAAAAGTCAGCTATGATCGACCACTCCGGCAAGGGACAGTGTTACCAGCTAGCAGGTATTTCAACGAGACCTGTTTCTTTTCCCCTCACAAGAGGCTTCATCCACGTGCGCGCCTTCTCCTTGTAGTCTATTTTGGTCCACGTATCTTGATCACGAAGGTAGTGTGCCTGGGAGCTGCGAACACAGCAGTCAATATCCAAGTGGAGTATACACATCCCAGATTCTTACTCGCGAGACATGTTCGAATGATCTACACGGAAGTATAAGAGCGACCCAATATCGTGACACAACTCGCAGGCATACCATACTCGATTCCTTTCTCTAGAAGGAGGGCAACCCCTTCCTTGCTTGTTTGCCACCACGGCGCGACACTGCCCTTTGGAGGCACTCCGTGATTGAAGTCCGTGAGTAATCTGTATGTGTAATCAAGAATGTCACGTTGTTGCTCTGGCGTCAATGCATCCGGATTCTGCGAAAAATTAGCTGAGCCATCTGAATCTAGCTTAGTAGGTCAAGTGTGCGCAGGCACCTCATGCGAATAACCGTGCAGTCCGCTAGATAGCTATCAGTCAACGGTCATCATGACGCAGGCACAAGACTAACATTTCGTGACCTGCGTCCCTGACAGCTGCCATCTCTTTTGGAAACGTTTCCAAGCTATGGCCTGCACATGAATGGTATGATAAAGCCTCAGTAACAAAACTCAAACTCACCTGGGATGAACCAAGTAGCCTTGATGTTGTATTTATCAAGTAACTTCAATACTCGCCAAACTCCAACTTCGCCCGCATACATGCCCTAAAAGATCATCAGGTAAAAATACCATAGGTTAGGTTGAAAGCAACTCGATCATACGCGAGATATGTCTAGGGGAGAGTCCTCGCCACCGTACGAGCCTAGCCTGAAGTGGTCGCATAGAATACAGTCATTTCGGAGCTCACAAGGAATTAAACTTACCATCCAGCCACAGCATCCACATCAACACCAAATCCTATGAGGATCTCGCGGGGCATCTTATTGGGTTAGTACTTCTGGTGAAAGAGACTAGAACAGGCTCTTTATATAACCTGTCTTTAGAAAGACAAGGGCCGCAGAAGAGATCTGGTTTTGCACGATCCATGATGTAATATCTCTTGGGGCCTTCTACACGTGTAGATGATCAAACCGAGTTTATGGAACACTGACTCGCGTCATTCAATATTCATCCACGTGAAGAAGTCTTCTACAACACGATGTACAGCATTTCACAAACGTTGTGCGAAGCCTTTAGGCATTACGGCACCCGGTGCTGGTTCTTTACTGGCTCTAAAGTCTTGAGCCATCCCGTGTAAGGTTACCCAGTGTACGTGATCGTGGGTATTGACCCATTCAATGAAACGCTCCTATGTATTGCCAGTTATTTAGAGAGCAAGGAGTATGATGGATGAAACACACCAGCATAAGAAGCACGTGTGGACGACTGTACCAAAATAAAACACTCAGAGACGCTCAAGTATCGAAGAAGGGAGAAAGAGAGACTCACCCGCTGACATCTGGGTGAATCGTGAGAGGGAACACAAAATCTTCCTCTTCTCTAAGTGATGTAATTAGATAGTGTATGGCGACACAATTAGTATTGTTACCTATACAGATAAGTGAAAGTGTCTTTCCAAAGCTGCTCGACATCTCGAGTGTTAACCTGTCGGATGCATAAACGAAACACCCCAGAAATGCTTCAAACGTGATGACACACCCAACCATGCGAGTTTGAGCTCGACTTAATGAACCTAGATTGATGTCAGTAGGTTGAACTTGCACAGAGGTAGCGGGAGCTGACATCATCGGGGGAAGATCGTCAAGGTACCTTTTCAATTGTGTAAGATGCATGGAAGGCAAGACACCAGTGATGTAATTGACGAACCAGTTAGCAGGAATCTCGACGAGTCCTGTTTCCTTACCCCGTTGTAGCGGCTTCATCCATGTGTGAGCTTGCGCCTGGTAGTCAATCTTCGTCCATGTATCTTCATCACGAAGATAATACATCTGCGAACTGAAGGAATGCGAATATTCCTATGAGTAATCACTGGCAGGACAGGTAGACCGCCTTACTCGTGGGACATGTTGGAGTGATCTGTTAAAACGGTGTCAATACTTCACTTAAAACAAGTAGTAATGAATCGTAACCATATTCAATGCCCTTTTCTAACAACAAGGTCGTCCCCTCCTTGCTGGTTTCCCACCAAGGGGCGACGCTGCCCTTCGGAGGAACACCGTGATTGAAATCCGTAAGAAGCTTGTAGGTGTGGTCCAAAATGTCCCGCTGTTGTTCCAGGGTCATAGAGACAGGGTTCTTTAGAAATATTCAGATCTATGTCCAGGATTGATACTATCACCATTTACCTCATGGGAATATCCATGAAGACCTCTGCACATGACATGAGAAAGATAAGGATCTCCACAGTCAAGGAAGCTTACATTTCATGACCGGCATCTCGAACTGCTTCCATTTGCATTGGAAACGTCTCCAAGCTATGTCCTTCATTGCGCCCATCAATTCCACGTGTCTTGAAAACATTGAACTTAGGACTGACCGGGGATGAACCAGGTTGTCTTAATCTTATACTTATCAAATAGCTTCAGAAGGCGGGGTACTCCAACTTCTCCCGCATACATTCCCTGCCTGACTTGAGCTTCCAATGATCATATAAAGATTGTACCATGACCATACTCGTGAAATATCCAACGGAGAATCTTCTCCTCCATAGGACCCAAGCCTGCGTAATAGTCCTCGGCGCTCATTCTTTTCATGATCAGATGGAAAACAACCTACCAACCAGCCACAGCATCGACATCTACGCCAAATCCAATGAGAACTTTTCTGGGCATTAGGTGTTCGTAGCCGAGTCGCAAGAAGATTCAGACAGTGTTGATGGAGAATCTTTGAGTCCTAGTCATGGTGAGAATGATATCACAACGATATATATATGAGGGAACGTACGATGATACAGTCCCATGACCCTTTTCAAGGACCGGTAACGGGAGATGCAGCGAATACTCACTCATAAACGATCTAATATAAGCCTACTAGCAGATAGCGACGCGGTGATGGATTTATTCTAGAGGACTGTTAGCTGAACTCGAGAATTCGCATCGTGCTGCTGCGATCGCACGAATTTCGACCAAAGCTATAAGTAAGTTCGCGAACTCTGAGGGGATTGAGGCATGGACACTGGACCGTCACCACTTTGAAGGTATTTCAAATTTTCTGTTACGGTTGCGGTACTTGAACTTGGCAAGCTCTTACATAAGCACTTCATTGAGTTGCTGTGCCTTCTCGTTCCCCATACACATGGCCCAGCATGACAACACGTCACTGTCAAGAGATAAGGGACATTTTTACCAAGTGTCGCATGTCTTTCCGCAGGGAGGCTCTTTCCCAGATGGCCAGGACACGACCCCAGTAACCAAGCGCCCATGCCCTTATCTCCAACTTGACTGATATATATAAGTACATGGCGTAAAAGAAGCATAAGAACCCCGTGTCGTATCCCAAAATGTCGGTCAGCTCGGAGAAGCAGGCAGAAGTCAGCGTTAACAATACCAGCATCAAGGACTACTCTACTTCACCCCGCAATGCAGACGATACACTACTCGCTGAACTTGGCTACAAAGCCGAATTCAAGCGCGAGTTCTCGGTCAGTGACACTCCTTAACAAGTTGCCGCTCGTATGGAAGCAAATATGATTCCGTCCAGATGATCGAGACAATTGCTTTTGCCTTTTCAATCATGGGTGTGGTGGCCTCGGTATCATCGACATTCTCATTTCCATTGGTCTCAGGTGTGTACCTACTCTTCAATATCAGCCACGTGTGACACCGAGATCCACAGGTGGTCACGTTGGAATGGTCTGGGGATGGCTGATTCCCTGTTTCTTTGTGATGGCGGTGGCATCTTCAATGGCAGAGCTGGTGTCGTCAATGCCGTAAATATCTTTGTCACCTTCCGGCATACTGTAACTTGGGATCTCACATGCGCGTTTTCGCCCAGGACTTCTGCTGGCCTTTATTACTTTTCCGCTAAACTCGCACCTCCGAAATACTCTGCATTAGCGAGCTGGATCACAGGTTGGGAAAATATTTTGTCAAATAGACACATCTCATCATGGGCTTTCCAGGATGGGCCAATATCACGGGCCAAGTCACTCTCGTGTGTTCCATCGACTTTACATGGTTCGTTAAGCAGTCCTATATACTTCCTGTGACTTACTTTGTGTAGTGCACAGATGATCACTACCGCGATTGCGGTGAGCTCTGATGGAGCGACGATAGTGAGCTCTGGTGCCACATACGGCATCTTACTTGCCATTCTATTTGCCCATGGCCTAGTGTGCTCTGCTGCCACGAACGTATTGGCCCGCTTAAATCTGTTTTACGTGATTGTCAACGGCAAGTATTGGTTTACACGAGGTAGATGAACATCTGGATCCCATTTTCTTCCAACAGTTGGTACCACTATAGCCGCCATCATTGCATTACTTGTCTGTTCTGGTGATAACAAAGTATCTACACAAGATGCCTTCACTATGTTCGAGAACAACACGGGGTGGAGCAACAGTGAGCACTGGCCCGTAATCTGATGGCACTGACCGACCGCGTGTATAGATGGATGGGCTTTCCTTCTTGCTTTTACGGCTCCAATGTGGACACTCACGGGCTGTGCGTGGGCAGATCTCATCTGCGGATGTAATATTGACATCATAGAACTCCAGATGACTCCGCTGCGCACATTGCTGAAGAGGTAGCCGGTGCTCAGCGTACAGCACCCATTGCGATCCTCGTGGGTGTGTTCGGGACCCAAGTACTGGGCTGGCTTCTCTTCATCGCGTGCTCCTTTGCAACGGCTTCAGTGGCCGACTTGTTGTCTGGTGCCTTACCACTTCCCATGGGCCAGCTCTTTTTGGATGTACTTGGAAAAAGAGGGATGCTGGCAATATGGAGTCTTATCATTGTTGTCCAGGTACGCTGAAGATTATCATTATTTGTTTTCGCATGAATAATAGGTTGATTAGTTCGTGACGGGAGCTGCACAAGGAGTCGATGCATCTCGTGTCGTTTTTGCTTTTGCGAGAGATAACGCTCTTCCCGGCTCTCGTTGGTGGAAGCGGATCAATCGGCGCACGCAAACTCCTGTAAATGCTGTCTGGTTGGTAATGACTGGTGCCGCCGTTTGTGGCTTGTTAGGTTTCTCCGCTGCCGCACTTTCGTCTCTTGCAGGGTACGTTGGGTTTCACTTCGTCAAGTCCATATCCTTAGGAGTTATCCACATCCCAGGGCCTCCGTCATCGGCTTGTACGTGTCTTATGCAACACCTATCTTCCTTCGTATCACATCGGGCCGTGATAAGCTGGTCCCTGGCACATTCAGCCTGGGAAGGTGGTATATACCTATTGGGATCATAGCGGTCGCATGGGTATCATTCATTGTCGTTTTATTACTCTTTCCCCCAACACAAACAACCACCCCGGCGGGGATGAGTACGTACCCCGACTGGTTCTGATAGCCTTGATTCAGTTGCTGACAAGATGGTACAGACTACGCTGTCGTGATTATCATGGGCGTTTTCGTCTTTGCGTCTATCTCTTGGATCTTTTCAGCGCACAAGTGGTTCCATGGCCCGATCAAGAATATCGATGATCCCAGATCGTCTTTAGAGGGGAAAGAGCTTTGAAGGGTGATATCTGATCCGTTGTCAAAGCACATTTGTAGATGCTAGTGGCGTAGATGCAATCAAATATGGTGCTCTAAATATGGTGCGTTGTACCTGTGGAAGACTACTAGGTTGAAACAGAGAAGCAGTGCAGTACTTCCTGGGCTTGTCTATATGCTGTCACAAATCAAGAATATAGGGTTGCCAGCGTCCGATGAACGGGCCACCGACTCGGAATCCTGCGTTATCCGGTATGCACACTGATTACCAAGATTCAGAGCTGTGAGCCTTGTGCTCGAGACTGAGGTATTACGCGTGCACGCGGCATGTGTACAATGCAAATTTTGTGTTACCTCCATTTTCTTCTTGACGTGTCTCCCGGCAGGGCCCAGGCCCCTAAGTATACAAAAAAGCGATAGTGACGTTTTTAAGCCCGCGCGGTCAGCATGGCCAGTATGTAATCCAACACGTATCGACCAACTCTTCTTCGCATCCATCATGACACATGGAGCATACATCAAAGTATGGCGAAATAATGATGTGACTAGGGGTGCCCTGTCATAGAGCGTCCGCGTCATCTTGTGCCGGTTCAAGATTCTATTATAGATCAAGTACGTTAGCATACGACGTAAAAGAACATGGGGCACGGTAATATACCGAACGTACGCAGGAATGATTCTGGATGCTTGTATAATTAATGTAGCGGAGGAACGACTGTTTTCCTTCTATGATGTACAAGAGCCTGCCTGTGGGAGACTAACTGCTAGTAGATGTCAAAGTTGGATTTCCAAACCGCGCTGAATCCCAACCTTCCTGTTCGGGGTAACGAGCCGTTGATCCTTCGAAAACCATGCGCAATAGGGACAATCGCTCGATGGTGAGCAGCATGTGCTAGATATTTTATATGACTGTGATTGGATATCTGAAACAACGATGTCGTACACTGCGAACGCAAATAGTGACTACTCTGCGGCCAACGGCATTTGAAACAGGACTAAACTAATAATGCATAGATGGAATCTCCAATAGTAAAGGAGGAAATGAATACCAAGAAATTTGTTTTGCTGCCGAGAGGAAAACAGCTAACTTGATCTGAGGTACTAAAATGAATCTTCTCGCTTAATTCGCGACTTTACCCAAGGGGGTTTTGGCCATGACGCTAATGACCTCGAAAAGTACCTGCGAAGCTAGGGTTGAAAACGGTTCGGAAGTTTGATATTTATGACGTACATCGGCTGCGGCCATGGTCGTAAGCTCTGCATTGGTATCATATGCAGGAGCAACTTCAACAATATCGGCCGAAACAATGTGGAGACCATCCAGGCCTCTGATGATGGTGCGTAACTCGCGTGTAGACCAGCCTTGCGGTAATTGAGTTTATCATCTAAAAATGATGTACGAACTTACCACCGGTTTCTGGGGTGCCCGTCGCAGGAGCGAATGCGGGATCGATGGAATCAATCTATAATAAGTTAATTGAATACTCCACAGTAATATGAAATCCCAACATACGTCAATGGACAGATAAACGGGTCGATCGCCGACAGTCTCCCGAATCCTTTTGATAATCCCGTCAGTGCCTACGAGATGTTCAGTTAATGGATAACGATATATCCTCGGCCTTGTTCACCTATGGTGTCGATCTCACGGGCTTCGATTCGTCGGAAGCCAGAGGCGTCGTCATTCGCATAATCGGCTGGTCCTGATAGCGTGGTCCGGATGGCGCCATGCTAGATGAAGTTCAATGATAAACTAGGATCAAAGCATTCGGTAATAGGTGTTGGAAGGCAAGGAAATAAGATACTTGCAATAGAGCTTCCGTTCTTAATCAGACCCTCCTGACTAGCCCAGTAAAAGTATGTGCCGTGGTTAATAGCGGCCTGGTCGGAAGGGGCGCCTCCAAACACAGAGGGCTTCCAGGTATCTAAATGGGAGTCGAAGTGGATGACAGAAATTGGGCCGTATGCAGAGTGAATAGACCTGGGTACGTAACGTTGAGTAACAGTTGCAGATCACCCGCTAGAAGCAAAACGAACCTAAGCAAAGGCAGAACAATCGTGTGGTCACCACCAAGTGTGACTACCCGTGGATGATTCTTTCCGTCGACCGAAATTGGAACGAGGGGCTTGCCGGTGAGAGCATCGTTGCCAAGTGGAGAAAAAGCAGGTCGGTGAAGGAGCTCCCTGTGCCCGCCTTCGATTTGCTGGATGGCGAACTTGTTGTCGTAGGGAGTGACTGGGATGTCACCGCAATCTACAATTTTGAGTCCAGAATGGAATGGGTTGACCTCGAGGGGAACATTGTATCCTCCATACAATGTCAATCGGCGGGATCCGGCACGAATACCAGCAGGTCCGAACCGGGCACCAGGGCGGTAGGATGTCCCGGTATCCTATGCAGAACACTAGAATAAACCTTTTGAATAAACGAAGATGCAATGACGTACAAAAGGTGCGCCGATGAATGCGATGTCAAAGGTAGTATCTCGGTCCTTACCAAGACATTGCACCCATGGTAGCTTCGCAAATGTGGTAATTCCAGAAAAAATAGAGTCCGCGGTCACTACATCGCGGGTGCTCGTGAGCGCAGTCAATAGGAGGAGGGTTTATTGTATACCTTCATTGTCGCCTGGATACACAGCCTGGTAGGGGTATTTGACATAATTCAGAGGAATTTGGTCTTCGTGGTGATGGTCATGGGCGAAGCCTACGGCAGCGAACACCAAAGCGAACAGAGCAACAGTTTGTGATTTCATCTCGGGGGAAAATTCTAGAGGGTAGAACCTGATGAGTTTCAATGAGCGTTAGGCTACTTAAAAAGCTTTTCTGACGGGAAAATTTTCGTATCTCATGACCGCTACCACGCCACGAGTATCACAAAAGATGGTGATTCTGTCTTGATAACATCACAGGTGCAAGACGCTTTCCGCCATGAGGCTGAAAACGCAAGGCCCCATCTGTCAGATGAAGCTTATCAGGGATAGTGAAATGGAAATGAGTCGGAAAAATCGGCTCACAAAAATACTCCACACGAGGTAGGATCAAACACGATGCAAGCCTCACTTTGAGAAGGATACATGCTGTTCCAGAGGGTTTCGGAAGGGCATCGGCATGGGACAATCCGAGGTTCCGTTATATAGTCCGTTGCATCGGAATCAGCTATAAAGACTGTGGAATTGGTAACGGCCATTCACCAAGTCTCGCATCATGTCACGTACTAGATCCATGCATGAAACAGCACCCCTCCTCCACAACGCTCAACGCGCACAGCAACCGAATGAGCATTCCATTCAGAATTTTCCCGAAGTGGCAGGAGAGAACCAAACAATCGGGCCTCGCCTTCTGGCCTCTCTTGTCGTCGATTCAATTCCTGGTAGGCTGGATTTTGTCAGCCTCAAGAAGCATGAACTAACAACCGATGTCAATCAGTCATATTGTCGTACATCTTACAGAATTCTATTCAGACAGTGTCGATCGTGATCACAGGCCGTCTAGGCCCAGAAGAACTTTCTGCGGCGGCATTTTCGATGATGTTGGCCTACGTTACTGGCGAGTAGCCCCATTGATTCTCTTTTGCGAGGATGATCCCACGTCCTGTAGGCTGGTGCATTGCACTGGGAGGGGGATCAGCCCTTGATACCTTAGGCTCTCAGGCATTTACAGGAGGAAGTCGTTCCACCGATCTGGCTGTGCATTTCCAGCGTTGTGTAGTGTTACTCTGGATTCTTCTGATTCCCGTCGGCGTGCTCTGGGCATTCATGGAACCTGCCCTGTTGGCTATCAAAGAGCCCCCTCGCCTTTGCAAAGATGTGCAAGCTATTCTGAGGATCTTGATTTTCGGTGCGCCTGGGTACATCGCTTTCGAATCCCTCAAGAAATACCTGCAATGCCAAGGTCAGTTGTATGCCGAGCATTGGTCCGTTGACTTACAAAATATGCAGGAATTATGAAGGCCGCTACTTGGGTACTGATCATAGTATCGCCAATCAATATCGCCCTCAACATTTTCCTTGTTCATTATACTTCCTTGGGCATGCTCGGCTGCCCTGTCGCGCTTTCCATAACATACTGGTGTGCATTCTTCCTCTTGATTGCAGTAACATCGATGTCTTCCGTGCACAAACAAAACGCTACGTGGGGCGGCTTTCAACCCAAGGCTGTCTTCAACATCGAGAGCTGCGTCGAGTTCCTCAAATTGGCACTCCCGGGTATCTTAATGGTAGGCACAGAATGGTGAGCCACGACTGCCCTCAACTCGGGTATCCCACTTACTGTGAATAGGGCTGCATTCGAAATAGTAGCCCTTGCAGCAGGCCGGCTCGGAGAGCTTCCGCTGGCAGCACAGTCTGTCATTATGACCACCGACCAAAGTATGGATTTCACTAATACGCCTCATAATGTATTAACCGCATCCATAGTCATAAGCACGCTGCCTTTTGGGTTCGGTAAGTGTCCAACGCAACGGACGATTCGTGCGGCTAACATCTCACCAGGGGTCGTCGCCTCAAATCGCATTGGAAACTTGATTGGGGCACGAACAGCCATCGGCGCAAGGAACGCAGCCCATGCTATTGCCCTTATTAGCGTCATCATTGGCTTCGTAGTGATGATGATCATGTTAGCAGTCCGAAACGTACGTCAACGATTGTCTCCTAATGTGCTTTTTACCAAATGGCAAATAGAAATTTGGCTATATCTTCAGCGACGATGAGGATGTCGTCCAGCTTGTCAGTAGAGTAATGCCTCTAGTCGCTTCATTTCAAGTGAGTACATCTCTATGCGCAATATCTGCAAACTGAGAAGGTACCGTGAGATCGCCGACGCTCTGGCAAACTCCTGCGGTGGTGTCCTTCGCGGTCAAGGTGGGCAAGCATTTGATGTGAAATGGGAAGCTCACCCATCAGTACTTTCAGGCAAACAACACCTTGGCGCCGTGTTCAACCTTGTTGCATACTACATTCTTGCATTGCCGATCGGAATCACCCTCGCATTCAAGACTGATCTTGGCCTGCAGGGACTCTGGATCGGTGCGCATCCCGTGCCTCTTGCGAAACGACTGCTCATCCTCATTCAGGTCAAGTCATCGGCCTCTTCACAGTAGGCCTATCTGAATATGGTGTGGTATGGCTCGGAACAAACTGGGACCGAGAGATACAGAAAGGAATCAAGAGGAACACCGAAGAAGCAAAGCGAAGGGTGTTGGCTGAACGTATACGCCAGGAAGACGGTCTAACGAATTAACCTGAGAGACTTCACAGGAGGTGAAAGATTGATAAAGAACGCGTGTTGGGATACAAACTTGGAATACAAACTTCAATGGAAGTGACGAGCGCTCATCCTATATCTGCAGGAAATGGGAGTTATGCAGAATATAGAATATGAATCATAATCAAATATGTTTTCTGTCCGTTAGCACGCGCATGGCATTCCCTCCCATCAAGAAACTGGCCAGAATATGAGGATGTCGACCTCTGGCGAACACCGTGTGAGATTGATGATATGTCCGCGGGTGCCTCCAAACACGTTGGAGTAGAAGACGCTAATCACTTTACGTTGATCCAAGGAAATTACAGTTCATCCCTGACAGATTGTTCTGGTGACGTTTGGAGGATGTCTGCTGACCCATCCAATATGGACCTAAAAAACTTGGTCAACGGCTCATACTTGGTCATCCCTAAGTAGTCATATTTGTCAAGCAATCAAAGCCATGTACGTAAAACACGCACCTTCATACAAAATTGGCACGCTGGATCCTGGTGGATACACGATGACCTTTGACGTCTTGCCCTCCACAGTCGCTGGGAACCCTAACGATACCGCAAATGCGCCATTTGGGTCTGTATGATGGCCAAACGCCATCTTCTTCCGGTAGTTATTCGCAAGGACCTGCCAGAGCAGCGGAAACTTCTTGTCCTTGTTCAAGAGGATGATACGTGGGAGGTCGCTCGTCTGTGAGGGATGCGCGGGTCATGAGGCCAAGAGGCAGGATATTTGAGAATCGAACCTTGTCCAACCACGCTGGGATGTCGTGGATATGCGGGAGAGCCTTCACGTTGTTGGGTACGGAGCGCGAGGCCCAGCGGATGAACTTGCCAGAAGTACGTTCATTGGAGTCGTATGACTCAGGCGCGGTCTGGCCACCACGAGGGAAGACTTTGAGGGTTGGGAACCCTTGAACACCCTGAAAGAGTGTCTGAAACAACTGCACTGAGGCGTGATTGCGATGCGCACCTGTTCCCCGCACAACCGCTTGTTCAACTCGGCATCGCAGTCTACCGCATAAAACGGAATGAGTGGACTCAAATTCTGAGCAGCCTTGCTGTACTCGGGAGCCATCCGTTGACAGTGCTGGTGTGCTTGTTAGTCAGTTGAAACGAAACCATGGTTCTGGAACTCACCCCGCACCATGGGGCGACAAACGCAACCACACTCGTCCTCTGAAGTGGTTTGGATGAGAATATTTAATTAAGGGCAGAATCAAAGCCACCCACATTACTTTTCATAGCTTTACGAAAACCTTTTGGGTCTAACATCTTGACCTTGGTGTCAGGAGGAAATATGGCTGCAGACACTATTGTGGGCAATAACACCAGGAGCGTGGCTAGAGAAAATAAAAGCATTGCAAAACAGGCCGGTAGGGACTAGCAACTAAACAAGTAGACGGGCCAGCCAGAAGGTGTATCGAGTCGAAGTAGATCTAGTGTGGAATGAGTTACTGCTAAATATGCCATAACCGCGCTCGGAAATGCAAGACGTGCTGACGTGGCGTTCGGAATTTTGCACCCACTGTAAACGATAAGAGCCAGTTCGTCTACCAGATGTTGACGAACATTTGGCAAAACAACCTGCGCAGATTGTCGGCTTGGGCCGACGGAGATTCGGAACTTGAATATGCTATCTAGCCGCATCGTAGGTACAATGTATGCCCTTGACAATGGATGCTCTACCAGCCGTCCCTGCTCCCATGGATCTTCGATTGGATGTCCCGCTATTCATGCCCCATCGTCCTGAAGTCCAGCAACGTCTCATACGATCCACGATCCTTTTGATCAGCATCTTGATTAGCGCTACCACTAGTATATTACATTCAATCTATCCAAAAGATCCTGAGCCATACCACACGTCTGCTCTATCGGGAGAAGAGTGGGTCATAGAACTATTAACTGGTCACCCCGCGCGAATACGATGCGAGCTTGGCGTGCATGCGCATGTCTTCGGGGAGCTCATATCGGAGATGCGTACCCTTGGGCACACGGACTCCAAGTTCGTCTCGCTAGAGGAACAGCTAGCAATTTTCCTCTACACGGTAGTCACGGGCTTGCCCATCAGACACACTGGTGAAAGATTTCAACGCTCCAACGAGACTATATCTCGGTGAGGGTGATATTTTTAATTGTGCGCTATATCTCATTGTACATAGTTATTTTCGTAGGATGCTCAATATATTTTCGTCCCCCCCCTTCTATTCAAAATACGTTCACTTGCCAGATGCATCTATCCCACGCAAAATTTGCCAGAACCCCAAGTTCTGGCCGTTTTTCAAGGATACTGTTGGGGCTATTGACGGAAGCCATATTCACGCATCGCCTCGTGCGTTTGAACGCGGGCCTTATCGTAATCGCAAGGGGTTTGTATCTCAAAACTGTCTTTTTGCTTGTGACTTCGAGATGAACTTTACATACGCACTTACTGGCTGGGAAGGGTCGGCCACGGATGCCCACATCTATGAGGATGCCCGTGCTCATGACCTTCACTTACCTGCAGGAAAATATTTTCTTGCAGATGCTGGCTTTCCTCTACGGCCGGAGTTACTCGTACCATATCGTGGTGTCCGCTACCACCTTGCGGAATGGGGCCGCGCGAGCGTAAGGTGAGTTTACAAACATTTATTTTTTCAGCCACCAGAGTGTACTAATTTTTGCCTACAGACCAGCTAACAAAAAGGAACTATTCAACTTGCGTCATGCGTCAGCGCGCAATGTCATCGAATGAATCTTTGGCGTCTTGAAAAGGCGCTTCCGCATTCTCCTTCTATCGCCGTCGTATTCAATGGTGGTTCAGGCACAGATCCCCGCTGCTTTGTGCAGCATACACAACTTTATCCGTTTCCATGACCCTACCGAGGGCGCCATCCCTGTTGATGCAGACAACGACGCTGGTGATTTGCACACCGGAAACTGGGAGCAACCGGCAGTAGCAGATGACCATCAACTCGCTGATGCAGATGTTCACACATCTCGCGATCGCATCGCAGAACAGATGTGGTTAGATTATCAGCGGGTTTTGCGAGAAAGAAGTGTTCTCGAAGGTGATTCAGACAGTGATCTATCAGACCAGGCTTTATCAGAGGACGAGGATGGGCTGGGGCGGTTCTAGTCTTAGAATAGGTGACATTGAGCACATGTAACTGGCACTTGCACGAAAACGATTACATTGATATGAGAGCAGGAGTGGTATGAGAACAGTACATGATATAGTAACTACATGTTAGTATGAGTATGAGGCAAGTTACAACACAACACGAGTGGTACATGATACCTATACCTCCGCCATGAGCAAAGTGATATATAATGAACGTGTCTCAAAGTCCCCATCGAGCGAAATGTAAGCGGCAAGAGAATTCTCATTTCCCTGACGGCTGAAGATCTGCATCAACTTTGCTCTCTCCATGACCGACAGATGTCCATCTTGGATACGCATAATCTCCAAGGCGCGGGTCATGCTGTTCGTGCTGGAGTTCAAGGTAAGCGACGGCGCAGAAGGTGTAGATGGGGAAGCCGTCAATGACTTCTCCAGAACGTCAGTCAAGCGGTTGATTGCACCCTGCATACCCACGACAGCGACTGCAGGGGTGATCTTTGCTGCCCTGGCGGCACTGCTCATGAGTTCCTGAGCAGTCTGCTTGGTCACACGGGCCTTCTTTATGGCTGGCTGCGCAGACGACACCAGAGTCGCAGAAAGCGGGAGGGATGCCGGCGGTGGCGGGAGGGATGACGGCGGTGGCGGGAGGGATGACAGCGGGAGGGATGACAGCAGGGGGCTGTCATCATAGAAAGTAGTTGGTGGAGCACCCGTGGAGGTGTAAGATGTCACTTCAGCGGAATCGAGTAGAAGAGTGTCGGTGCGCAGGCGCTTGTTGCCAGAGGACTGAGAGGTTGTAGTAACACCGGTAAGAGGAGGTACACGGACTACTTGCGGGGTGATTTGCGGGGTGGTGCTGATGTTCCCCATAGGATCCATGCTGGCAGCTGTCGGAATAATAGGCCCTTCGGCCTCAAGATCTTCGTCCTCAAGTTCTTCGGCCTCGGGTGCATTGGCTGATGAGGTGGGGGGTGGACCCGCGGAGGTAGGGTGGAAGGCATAACTTCCACGAGCACTGCTGTTCGTCCCCAAGATCTCCAGCATCTTGTCGTAGAATACCCAGCCCTTGTTCCGGAAGGGACGCATTGACGAATGAGACTAATATCATCAGTCTGTATACAAGACACATACGAGCATGATAGCGTACCTGTGGCTCAACATAGGCCTTCCACACAACTCCCGCGTCTGTACCTTTGATCGATGCTCCTGTGTCCTTGTCCCAGTGACAACCTGATTGGTTGCGGTATGTCTCAATGCCACTGAATGATTTTTTGAGCTAAAAACAAACATCAGTTCATGATAGATTAAGATCAAGATAACATATTACCGAGGTCCACTTAGTCTTGACCTTCTTCCCAGTCTTCAGTGCCCCCACTGATTCGAGTGTTTCATTGGCATTCAGGAGAACTGCCGCTTTGTTGTAAGTTTCCTGTGGAAAGTTTCCTCCGTCGCCACCCTGTGCACAATTAAGGACGAGGTAGTCAAGTAGTGCGTGAATCTCGAGGTCATTCCAATGGGCCTTGTCGGCAAACTGAACTGGTTGGGCCATGAGAACACTGGTATAATGGGCACAGATGGCAGTAATAGTGACCACCCAAGCACAGATCTGTGTACGACGTTGATTGTCGAAGGAATACGAATTCATGATGATGTACAGGTGCAAGGTGAAGCAAGGTTCAAATTTCGGACTCCGACTCTCGGGACGGCCCAAGCCGACAATCTGCGCAGGTTGTTTTGCCAAATGTTCGTCAACATCTGGTAGACGAACTGGCTCTAAACGATCTGTACGTATACAACTCCTGAATTACGTCAGATTGGCACGTAGTACTAGCCTAGTGCTGTTACTGTATGCAATAATACGTATGTTCAGTGAGTGAACAAAGGTAGCGGCTCGTTCAAGTTCTCCTGATGGCAAAAATGACTTGGATGTACATCCTACTACCACCCAGTGGAGGCTTATTGTTCCAAGTTTTATCTCACTTTAGATCTTGTCATATTCAACATTCAGCTCGGTAATATCCATGAGTGACGAGCGCGCACATACGGCTAGGGTAAGGGTCATGTCATGATCATTGGCATCAAACGTACCATCATCGGCGATCTGCACATCTTTCGAAGTTCGGTGTGCGCACCACGCCCACCGGGCGGGAAGAGCGCACTTCGCAGGTCCATGAAGGGCTGATGCTCGAAGTAATATTGATGGGGAGTCGGGGATGTGCCCAGTGTGTACAAACTAGAGGCTGGTTAGAAATAGAAGCTTGTGCAGGAAATCAAGCCAAGTAGAGATGCCGCCGCGGCGAACATCCGGGTTAATGAAGTTAAGCGAATATACTAAGTACCGATCTGTCGTAGTCCTAGCACACCTCGATGACCGGCAGCCCAGCCGCTGCGAAGGACAGCAAATGTTTGATGCCATGAGGGAACACTTATAAACCCTTCGACAATTGACCAGAGTTGAATGATGGATGTCAATAACACTTTAAGCTAGATCTAAGAGGTCCAGCAGTACGTCTCCTTGAATCTACTAAATAAACCAAATCAATATCATCACGAAAGTGGGAATAAGTAAAAGCAAAATCCCCTGCTCTTTATAGGACATCAGACAGCCCTTCACTTCACCGAGAATTACACACTACTACTGATAGTCGATATATGCGTGCGCTCCTGGAAAGCGATCGAGGATATGACGGTTACTGCGTCAGAATCGGCCACAAGCTTAGCATGATATTCTCGAACGCCAAGGATCAGGCATGGTCCCAGCACAGACATCTGCACGACCATCAGAATCTGAACCAAACCAGAATAAATCTGAATTTCTAGGTAAGATAGATTCTATAGAGATGATGAACCGTGGTTGTATGCAGAGGTAGGTGAAAGATTGACATACTGTTGACAATGGTTGAGTCAAACTAGCATTTAACTGGAAGAAAAAACCACGTGACTTTTCATCAACACCTTAAAACAGTCCCCGATCATTCCTCCCGCTGAATGTCGTCGCAGTTCACGGAAGTGTTTTACCGCTACACAGACTGCGAGACACAGTGTGACGACCTCCCACACGGTGCAGAGTATCCAAGTAAGAGAAATCAGAAGTACGATATCTCTCGCAGAGTTAATCCTGCACAGATCAACGCCAAAGGCAATGAGTTCCTCTGGTATTCATCAATGAGCCCCATGCACGTTTGTTTTCATCCATAATTAAGCGTACCCCCTGAACTATGCATCGTTATCTTTGTGGCCACCACTCCATCGAAAATGTTGTTAGCCAGGAAGGTGACAATGAGAAATATAAGGATCTTTCTGGATCGTTGATACATAGCATGTAACCGAATAATGATGATGACTTGCAACATGTTTCAGTCAAATCAATATTACTGAGGTCACACAAGTGCCAAGCTCACCTGACAGCATTGCAACTACTAAAACAGCCGTCCAATTCTCTACGATGTATATAATAAAGCCTGACGAATCCAGTCAGTGACCAACCTCGAATAGCACACACACCAAACAGACTCACATCTGTAGTCATATAGCGTGGCATTAGTGAACCAAGAAGTCAGCAAAGAACCACACCCACTGCTACAAGGTATTGCGGTCAATTGAAAGGGAATAACGACATATCTGTGCAGAAGACTCACTGTGTCTGTCAGCGAGATAGTCGGAACACTATCTGTATACCGTTGGTCAGAAGACGGAAAGACAGTGGATGTACCAAGGAGACGTACTCGGGATACTCAGGCTAATTATGAGGGATAGACGATCAACACAACACTGATTGTTTAGCTTTCCGAACATACGCAGCATATAAGATTCCAAGGTAGCGCACCTAGGATGCTTTCAAGTCAGTACAACATGGCAACCGCGACAGACAAACCACGCACACTGAGATACAGAACTGTCATTAGCGACCAGCGTCGTCTCTGTAATTAATTATATTTCCATGGTTGTTCCTCGTACATGGGACCCTACTCACCCAGATCAGCTCAACCTACAGAACCATTTTAGCAAGATGGCTGTTCCGGTCATAGCATTGACATACCTCTTGTGCGAATGTAAGTGCTTGAAATACTTGTAAGATATCAGCAGTCCTTTAATATTATCATGCTCACCCCAATCATACGTCACTCCAATAAAGGCGGCAACTATACAACCGCCGTCAAGGTTAGATTGAGACTCGTCAGCCCTCAGCTTCAACATCCGACTACTCTCTACGAACCCATAAAATAACTAGCGAGACGATACGCTTTGATGATAGGCCACCAAGCGGGATCGTTAATTGAGACCGTTATGGTCATATTGGTGGAGAATGAGGCGAACTCGATAGACGCATAACAATAACATTCGCGTTATATATGCGCATACCGCTATCCAGTGCTTCAAGTCGACAATAGAAATGTGATCAAGGGGTGATCTCAGTGCACTCCAGGGCCGTAGTAGATGTTTCAGCTGCAACTAGAGAGGTTGGGTTGTGCTTAGACTGTTGACTCTCCGCAAGCAGATGAGTTCGAGATTTGGAGATACAACAACTCGACAACGCGAAGAAAGGAATGCGATTAATACACACCCAGGGAAGAGCTGTTGACATGGGACACGAGTGATAGTACGAACGGTATTAGCTAATTAATGGTACCGGAGAAGTATAATGCCGGTATTCGAGTCGTGACGCGATCAGGTGCCTCTGTGTTGAGCAACTTGCGACTGAGTCTTGTATCTATTCTTTTGCATAAGTACATGGATTATCAATATTTCAATGCTTGTCGGACACGTACGACGGGACGACAAAGAGGGTGAACGAAGGTTGTGGCTCCAGACAAGGTCTATAATACTACAAGGCGTAGAGACACGATCTATGTCAGACACGCCGTTCTGAGGCCTCGAAGCTTTTTCTCATTCGCCGTCTATCATTCCCTCGCTCAAGCACCGATAGCCTTCCTTCTCGACATAGGTTTCGTCCGCTTGCGTTTCTTCCCCTGATTGAACGCATTCGCGATTTTCAAGTCGCGTCCGAGCACATCATCCTTCTTCACTTCATAAATGCGGACCTAAAGGACAGTCAGCTAAATACCGCATTCCAATCACATCGAGACGTACGATCCAGTTTTCTGTTGTATATGCCTCCTCGAGGTAGTCCAAAGTTGGGCCCTGTATAGGCACATGCTGTCCTCGCACACGATCCACAGGCTGCTGACCACCAAACAGCTCCGCAAAGCGATAGTAGCTCATTTTGTACATCAGACTGTCGCGCATCGCCGGGGATGCCTCGCTATCTACGCGGTACTCTCCGCGATTGAAGTAATTTGGCTCTTGGATCTCATCGGGCCAGACACCTTGCGCGATACGTACCATCCAGAGGAACTTGTTGATGTCGTCGCCGCTGTACCCGATCAGCCCACCGAAGATGATGAGCACGTAGCTGACATCGTGTTTGCGCAGGATGGGGTAGGCAATATCCTCGGGCGACGACATGGCTTTGCCCACTGTCGCAATGTGTGCTATTGCACAAGTTAACATCAATTAAGGCTATTACATCATGGGAACAACTCACTATTGTTCCAGGTGTTGTTGTCCACCAACGTCGGGCGATCCGCCATTCCTGCGATCTGGTAGCCATAGTCCCACCAACTCATGACAACTGCATCCTCTGCCGTGTTCTGCCTCAGCCAGTGGTACGCCTCCCTGAAATCATCAATGAGGTTCTTGCCTCCATCGGAGCTTGTCGAGCTCAGCACGACGGATGGCGAGGAGTATGCGTTCGAAGTCACCCATGTGCAATGCACGACGAAGAAGAGAAGCAATCCGAGCGAGTTCAAAAGAACGACCAGGCGCGTGTCCATACCGAAGACGCCCCTTTCGGCGGTAGTGGCGGATTTGGCAGCAGAGGAAGTAACGTTGGAGACAAGTTCACTTAAAACACCGCCTGCGGATGCAGAAGCTTCCTTTTCCTTTTCTTTCTCCTTGTTCTTTTTCGCCTTCTTGCTGCTAGCGGGTGTAGCGGGTCTCGAGGTAGATGTTGTTCCAGTGGGGGTAGTCGAGGACTCACTCTTGTCGTCTTCAACACTGGGTTCGGCAGGGTCCAGATACGTATCCATGAGAGTCGAGAGCGCTACAGCGGCAGACACACAGACAACCGGGGTGAGGGTAAGCATCAGACGCACCATCACGCCTGCAAAGTAGCTGGCAACGACTGCGTAGATGATCACGAAGATGTGCTCGTCCCTCAGTGTACGGAAACACATCACGACGCCCGCAGGGAAAAGGAAAATCAGGAAATGCAAGTCCATGAAGAACGAAGGCCATGCGGTAGGCTGGTGCTCAGATACTGAAGCAATGATAGGGATGTACCTGTGTGTCTAGTCAGTGATGGAAGGTTGTGCACAGGTATCTTCTCATACTTCTTAGCATAGCCGGTGTCCCACAGGGAGTAGAATCGCCCAGTCCAGGGGGCAATCCAGCCCTTATAAGTAAGGCCAACGATTCCAAAGAAGCCGATCAGGCCAAGAGAGATGACCGTAGCAAAGAGTAACTCCTGGAACTGCTTTGAAGACACGTGTGCGCGAACAAGTTGCCCGAAAGCAACAATCTGCAATAGGCCGAACACACCTGCAAGGTGTTCAAAATAATGCGAGAAACGGAAATGATGAACGTACCAAGCGCAGCCATGTGTTCGCTAGTACGAACAGGCTGGAAGCCAACGAAGGGGACCTGCATACTGGACAAGGTGCCGATCGCATACCAGGACGAATACGCAACATAAAGTCGGCCCGTAAAACGACCCATCAACAATAGGACGAGCGCATGCAGAGGAATCATATTTGTGATGAATGCATACCCGCCTGTGGATTGTTGTCAGAATCAACTTGAAAGTAGATGGATGACGTCATACCCCATGCAGCCACCATGTAGAAGTAAAATACAGCAGCAATAGTGCCCCAAAATGCGCTTCCCTGCTTGAGGGCCTTGATCCATGCGAAAAAGGTAAACATAAGCAAGAATATGGCAATAGCCTCATTGTCATACGAGCCGGCGACGGAACGCGAGATGTAACCCGGCACTATGCCGATGAACGCAGCTGCAAGAAGACCAGCACTTTCATCTTTCATTTCTTTCGTAAACCTGGTAAGTGATAATCAATTGACTGCAATAATGGAGTGCAGAACGCGCGCACATGTACGTGGCCCAAGCAGTTAAGGCGCTAAATCCTGGAGCTAGGAGGACGCAAATGTTGCGAATATCGACCGGGAGATTGAGTGCATGGAGTAAGTTGTATATTACACCGCTAGTTGCCATAAGACCAGGATAGATAGTTCCACCGACTACACGTCCGAGGGGGTACCATGCCGTTGGGTCGAACCAATTCCAAAATTCCTGGAAAACGCGACTTGTGAAGTGCTAGTTGGAGAGCCTGAATGCGGTGCTTACATAGAAACCTTGCGAGGCAAGAACCTTTGTTGCTCGACTGTAAAGGAGGCACTGAGCACGCGAATAAATACACAAAATTTACGCACTAGTTAAACCATGGGTCGCTGTTAAGAGTTCATTGTGAGTCGACACATGTTCAAATACGGTTGCACGCACAATTCATGGATAATACTCTCGAAATTGATAACAGCAAATAGACGAGAGGCAATAGCAGCGCCTGATATGAGGGCAAGTGCAATGATACGGAGGAGGGACGCGGTGTTGGCAACGGTGACGGGAGACAAGTCAGAAGGGAGTGGGTAGGCAGCCGGCATGGCCGCTCGTAATTATTGTCGACTGTCGTGGACTGTCTTTTAGCAACGTTGAATGAAGAGACCGAAATATGAGCTGAAACCCTCCAAGCAATATGGAAATGCGAAACCTTGGCGTTAACCGAAAGTCGACGTGTCCAATGAATGTAGACTTTGACCCCTCTGTGGAGGGTCACACGCACCTTGCTAGTAGTACTGCCGTAACTATCTACTACTCATCGTTGCCAATGACAGCTATTCATATGCTACTAGTACTGGTCACGGTGACCTGTGGCTTATACGCTGGTCACATTAGCTCGAGGTATTCTCGGTAGAAATTCAACATGGATATAAGGTGACGGACGAGTCGGCGTAACCGACTTCTGATACCAGCACTGCTTTTCCAATGACCGCCGCGGTCCAAGGAGTTCCGAGTCATCGTGGTATCCGCCGTGTTGTTTATCTGCAGGAGAGACGCTGATATATAGGCCCTAAATCTATTACCAGTAAAGTGGTGCCTGCAATGACCGGTGCCGCGAACCTAATAGTGCAGAGGCAATCACCTCGAGATACGGCATACTCGTTGAGTCAGGCTGGATTATGCCTGCTGGATCAAACGCTGGGGCAACGCGCTGGGAAACGCGCCCGGATCCAGTATTCACACCCGGGTCAAAGCATCTTGGCATTTTGCTCTTGCCGGAGTTTAGTAATCCAGTATCACAAAACTACCCTCCACCTCGATAACGAACCACTGCCCTAATCAGCTTCGGTGCGTCATAAGGCAGTGACGATACCATTAGAACGCGCCATGTAAGTATTGATGGAATTTCTACAACAGTGCTAGTTCAACACGTGTCTCATCAACCTTCCATCTACGGCAGGCGTGCGGAAGCCTCGAGGCGCAGCATGCAGCCCTCATAAGCGGCTCCAGATGCAACGGCATTCTGCACTTTTCTTCCAGCTCTCTTCATCTTGTAGCTCTTCAATAGCAGAGCCACTATATTCACGTCCTGGTGACTGAATACATACCAAGCAATAACCACAGTTGTCTAGCCTTACGGGTATATTCGTACCCTAATCCATTTCAGGTTACTCGCAGATCTATCAAATCATGCTCCCCATTACCGAATTCCAGTTTGCGTTCTGTGGGATCGCGACCTTTGCGGCCACCTTCGGCTACGCATGTGCTCGTAGGGCCTCCTCCCTGGGCGCTCAACCAAGGCACGTCGATGTCGAACCGTGAGTCACGCAACCCAGCCGAGTAGTAGTAATCCATAACGCGGACTCAGCGAGGAGAAGTCTCTCAAGCGTAAGCTCGATGAATCTGATGCCGAATCCGAGGAAGAACAGGAGAGACCCGTCAAAAGGAGCAGAACACCTCCCAACGACCACGAGGAGGAAGTAAGTTTTAATCGAAGACGATGATATTGTCTTCATTTGTTGAGCAAATTCTGCTAGGAGTGGGAAGTTGTCATCCCACCTCCTTCATATCAAGAGGCCCAGAATGCGGCACCCCATCCTGAACCAGCTGTCCAACAAGAAGTGTCCACAGTTGCTCAAGTTGGGGCCGCGCAAGTCGAAGACGTCGCCCCAAGCGCTAATGAGGTAAAGTTAAGATTCAATTTGATCGTGCACCAGGTGACTCAAATTAATCTTCTGCAGCCCGCTCCAGAAGCACACACACCACCGGCTATCATTGCTAACGAAAATACTCAGCCAGCCGAACCACAGACAGAGGAGGCCGAGTTACAGCATAAGCATCCCGAGAGTCAGTCTCAATCAGTGGGGACCAATGAGCCCAGTGAGCCTCGCCCCGTTACACCGCCACCACCGTCAGCTCCCAGGCCAGTTACTCCTGGTCCGAATGTCACTGCATTCTCATCTTTCGCAAACACTAAATCCCCCTTCACCAAGTATTCCAACACTCCCTTCCCGTCATCTACGTCGGCGTTCACACCTGCTTGGCGATGCGGCGAATCTCGTACTCGAAACTTTCCTGTTGATAACGCACCTGTGCTGTGTCCGAACGATAATGCGATCTCGCCGTCTCCAAATGAAGTTGCTGAGACGTCTTCGGCCGGTGCTCTAGGTGACCGTACACAGGCATCCACATCATCAAAAGTATCATCACGTGGGTCACCGCCTACAACGACCTGACCACTTCATTAATCTATGGTATCCCTAGTTGTAACCGGTGAAGAAGACGAATCCGTATCTTCCGAGCTCAAAGGTGTCAAAATCTTCATAAAGCGCGGACGCAAAGAATTCACAAATGGTAACTTTGGACATATCAAAGTCCTTACGCAGGACGAACGAACGCGCTTGCGTAAGTATATATTCCTTGCAAACTGTTGATATTGATCACGTGCGGTGTATCAGTATTCAGACGGGACCCCCTGGGCCAGGTGTCGATGAACGTAGCCTTGCGGTCTGCAGTGCGGTGCCATTATGATGCAGGTGAAAGTATTCTTCGAGTCGTGCTGATGGAGCAGGTCGCTGCTGAGGGGAAGGAACCCAAAGATGAGGTTGTGATCTATGCCCTCAAGGTAGGTAACATAACTTTGATCCAAGAACAATTTGGTTAATCGATCGACATGCAGCCGGGGCGCGCACCGAAGGCCGATTTCAAGGTTTTTGCTGAAACACTCTGCGCAAACGAGTCTCTCAAAGTGGCGTCATAATCCCTCCTTCCCCTTGGAGGTCATGACAGATGTCATGTGCCATGCCGCAAGACGCCGGTCGTCTTCATTAGAACGCAATATGCGTTCAGGCAGTAAGTTGTATGACAGTATGTCGACAACTTCGCCGCATGTGCAAAATTGGTTTGGTTGGTGAAAGACCTCAGCACGTCCAAACCACTGAACAGTTACGGATATCCCGACACTGTATATTGAACACACTAAAGATTGTACGAATTTTCGCTCGTGTTGCGTTCGCAATACGTATTCTAGGCAAGTTTGTACATCTACTCTATAGAAACATGATTCCAGTGCTAAGTTGTCGGGGACTCGAGAAGATCACAACTGCGATATAGTCAGAATAGTGGCAGATCACAAACTTTTGCGCTCTCAGGGAAGGTACTATGTGAATCTCATGGAAAATGTGCCGGTCAATTAGCCCACTTCGATAAAGAAAATCTACGTTTCGAGTGCTTAGTTGCAATGCGTTGTGAGAGGTACTAGCGAGTGCCAGTCATTTCAATATTCTGAGCTTCCTAGCCATGTTATGTTCTGCTGTCCTGAAAGACCACTTCAGAAGTATGGAAACTGAGTTTGTAAAACACATCTGGAACACTTATTCCGCAGCTACACTTCCGAGATCGATCGAGGCCGTGTAAGGCAGGCTCTTATCTTATTCTACTCATCAGACCTTTCATATTTTGCTAAGAACGCATACTTGAAGGCGGGCCGTGGGCGGGCGGGGCCGCCGATCATTATTAAACCGGCGAGCGACCGATATTTCCACTCCATCAGCCTGGGGCCCCATCGGAGTCAATATTTAGTGCTTTGAATGTTGTACAAAACACTTGGGTGGTCATATACATATCTCATATATATTTCAGCTTGAATAAGTCACATACATAAAAATTACATTCGAAATCGGCGCAAATTTTAGCTATACTTGAACATCACATTTTGTATAGCACATTCAAATTCAGCTTGAACTGCTTAAGTTCAGCCATTTGCGATTTCGCATGCGATTTTATATTTGATTTTATACTTATCCAAGGTTGATCCAAGGTGTTGAAAGTGTCTGCCGCCAAAGCCGTACACAGAGGTCACATGATGTGTTAGGTCACGGTTACGACTCTTGGGCTAACTTGAAAGCTGCCGCATCAGCATTTGAATGAGTTTCTTGCTGTTTCTTTTTGGCTTGCCTAGTGAGCGACTCGAAACCTAGTACGCAAGCTTTGAGCGGTGGCTCAGAAGTCTCTCCAGACTCTTCACTTTGCTTTCTTCGTTTGCCACACCATGGCTCGCGGCTTCAAATCCCCTGCTGCTCAAGTACCACTGCCTAAAGTGTCATTTATTATCGTCCAGGATGATGATATCAACCAACCTGCTGGAGTGCACGACCTACAAGCTAGATCTTATGGATGTATGTAGTCTACGCTTTGTCAAACTACTCGAGCCAATTCCTTTGCAGACAACGACTTCACTGAATTCCTGAGACCGGATCATTACATTCGGTACATCGGTGAGCATGTTCACGTGTAATAAACGATTCATTTGACACAAAATAGAGCCTCTTGAGAAAGACCTTGCCATTCAGGTAGAATATGACATGGACGACCAAGGTGGGCACTCTCTTACCCTCCTTCACTTTACCAATATATTAGAGCAGATCAGGAATGGCTTGACGCAGCGAACGTTGAAAGGAAGAAAGATCAACTGAATGCGGTCACGTACGAGACTTTTGAGATTATCATGGATCGCCTGGAGAAAGAGTACTTTGATTTGGTACGCCCCTCTGTACCATGTATAGACTCTTCTCACTTTGCCACTATGCAGACCAAGAATATACCCAAATCTGATTATGCCATGCCTTCTGAAGATTCGACTTGCGCCATTTGTGACGATTCCGAGGGAGAAAACAGTAATGCTATCGTATTTTGTGACGGCTGTAACCTCGCTGTTCATCAGGGTATTTCCCTCGAACTTTTGAACATATCATTTCACTCATGTACCAACAGACTGCTATGGAGTCCCGTACATACCCGAAGGCCAGTGGTTATGTCGCAAGTGCACCGTCTCCCCTGAGAATCTAGTGGTGAGGAGATTTTGAAAGGGCATGCATATTTCACTAACGGACATTCAGTCATGCATACTTTGCCCCAACGAGGGGGGAGCGTTCAAACAAACAGTATTTGGTGACTGGGCCCATCTTCTGTGTGCTATTTGGATACCCGAGACGCGGGTGGCAAATGAGGTATTCATGGAGCCTATCACTGGATCTGACAAAATTCCGAAGCAGCGCTGGAAATTAGTAAGTTTTTGTTTCGTCTTATGCTTCTTTCGTCCATTGACACTCTATCCAGAAATGCTCAATATGTGGCATTCGCCAGGGTGCATGCATCCAATGTACAAAGAACTCATGCTTCCTGGCCTTCCACACAACCTGCGCTCGCAAGGAAAGGTTACTCATGCCAATGAAGAGCTCGCAGGGATCTGAACCTGGTACGCTGGCATGCTATTGCGAGAAGCACCTTCCTGTATGCAATGTCGTCTCCCTTACATTGGAAACCACTCATCTTACTTTTTTTATATAGAAAGAGCAGCAAGACGTTCGCCTAAAAGCTCTTGCACAAGACGGCCAGATGACTAGCCCCAGTTCCAAGCTGTCCAAATCTGCTCGTGCATATGCCAAAACTTACAAGACCGGCCCACCGCTTGTGCCACACATCATTGTTGAACGCATTCTGAATTATATCACTAAGGTGAATGTGCGCAAGAAAAACGAATTTGTATATATGGTTTGTAAATATTGGAGCTTGAAGCGTGAAGCGAGGCGGGGGGCGCCAGCTGTTGAAGAGACTGCATCTCGAACCATGGACAGCGTCAAACTCGGGGAAAGTACAGACCGAAGAGGAAAAGACTATGAAACTAGAGGTCCATTTTTCTTTCTGTTTCTTCTGCAATGGCTAATGTTCGTGCAGTACTTGAAAAATCTGCGCAGAGATCTGGAGTCTGTTCGTGAATTGACGCTACAAACTCGCAGACGGGAGAGCCGGAAGCTTGCACAGACTGAGAGCATCCAGAAAGTGCTCGAGATTGCACTCTTCCCTCACGAGGCACTACTCCGGCTTGCGTTTGAGAAGGTTCTTGCGTACGCGGTGCTCCAAGTCTTGAGATTGAAACGCTGACACTTCATAAGTCTTGACCGTCACAGTCTCTTCAAGCATCCGGTATCAAGGACGGAGGTCCCCGACTACTATGATGTCGTGAAAACGCCCATGACCTGGGATGCGATCGATGGGAAGCTTGATCGTCACGAGTACTGGGACCTAGAGGGTTTCAAGGTGAGCCATGCTTAGGCTAGTTTTACGCTTTCGTTTTTAACATCTCTCAGAGTGACATCGAGTTGGTACTGTCTAATGCAATCCTGTACAACAAGCCTGGTACATCTTTCTACAAGACCGCACAAAGAATACAAATAAGCAGTCAACCCATCCTTCAGGAACTCAATTCCCTGGCCTACAATCACTCACCCCTTACTCCCCCTGATCCTTCCGACTCCTCCGTTCTCTCCCAGGTGTCAATCGGAGACCTAGAACCTTTGATGGAAACACTCCAGCTACTGACGTCGACTCAAGACATTCAAGATAACACTAATCTTCTTCTTCATACCGATCCCATCTCATCACTATTCAGCTTCGAACTTCCGCTCGTGAAGCCCCCACCGCCTCCTGCCCCAGCTCCATCTCCTCCACCGCCTCCGAAATCCAAGGTATCCAAAAAGAAGCGCATACCCAAAACTGTTGAACCTGGTCCTCTGGACACCTCCCCAGGCTTCCGTGCCCCGCGAACTCGCCGAGCTCATGCGGCAGCCGCAGCTTTCGAGGCTGAGGCTGGCTTTGAACCCGAACCTCAATCCACTGCCGAACCTGAGCTGGGAATAATCGAGGGTGATCAGAAAGTAGCTTCTGAACCACCAAAGAAACGACGCCGGCAGAGTGCAATGCCTGGGCAAGCAGAAACGCCACCCATGGTCACAGATGTAGACAGTCAGGGATTATTCAAAATGTTTGATGCCGGATGGATTTTACCGTCGGGACAACGGAGGGGCGGACGCCAGCCCGTAGAGAGGGCTCCACTTCCACCTAAGAAAAAGAAGATGGGTAAGTCGATATCTTCTTTGCTGTTTTCTTAAACTGATCGTCGTAATGAAGATCGTGGGATGTCGAGGTTGTCTGTATTCAGCACAAACGCATCAGATAATCAGACTCTGGACGAGATTTCTGGGCCTTCTGGCTTGTCTGTAGAAGAGAAAGTGGAGATGGATGTCAAATCTGGAGTAATGTCCGAGGCGAGTGCTGCTGCCCCTGACATGGATGCGCAGGCAGAGTTAGACCATGTCATCAATGAAGAGATGGAGGCACCCATGGCTCTTGATATTCCAGAGAAGCACCAGGAGGAAGAATTGGAGAGGCAGCTACTAACAGAACCCGAACCTCAACCGGAAGTTCAACCGGAGAGGCAACTACTACCAGAACCTGAACGTCAACTGGAAGTTCAACCGGAAGTTCAACCGGAGAGGCGACTACTTACTGCCAGAACCCGAACCTCAACCAGAAGTTCAACCGCAGGTAATAATCCAGCTAAAGGTCACAGAGTTAGAAAAGGATAGGGAGGAGACACGATCAGAGTTAGAAGCGCGTATAGCCAAGATCCCCGTACGACCAAACACGAAGATCAATGTCGAAAACGGGAAGATTGTCGTGGAGGAGTTAGACACGCCCAAACTTCGGCGGGAAAAAGCAAGGCAGCGGAAAGCAGAAAAGGCGGCTGCGGCGGCAGCTGCAGCTGCAGCTACCCAAGGCCTTCCGCAAGCCAACGCTGAGATCCCGAAAACCAACGTCGGGACCACTCAAGATGACGTATCCGATTTATCTTCTCTGAGCGAGCTGGACAGTGATACTGATGAGAAGCCTGTGACACGGGGCGAGGCGACTACATCCAATACCATACCCGACGTAAAGCTCGCTGGAACGCGTCAACTGCAACGCGCGCCAGCCAATCTCGTTACCACAGGGAAAGCGCTTGTTGTCCTTGAACCGGGAAAACAGTTAGAGTGTGGCACTCTTGGTATGTCGGCCGATATCTTCACAGATTTCTCATCTGACGATGGTTCCTTATCAGTTTGGGCTAAAGCAGGTCAGACCTCGATAAATGGAATTCGGCAGTCTACAGACTCTTACTGATATCGCTTCATTAGATACGTATCCATGGTGGCCTGCAGTCGTTTGGGAGCCAGATGACCCATCGATTCCAGAAGACGTCAAGAAGAAGAAACCTCAAGATCATTCTCGTCATATCGTACAATTCTATGATCCCACAAGTTCATGGTACATCTGAAAATGAACAGTTGGATTTTGCTGATCATCTGAACAGGACATGGGTCACCACTGGCCATATGTTGTTACTGGGTGAAGATAATGGTAAGTGCCAGTAGTGTTGTGTGTGTCACTGCTGATTCTCTTATTAGCGGTCGATGCTTCTCTACTTTCGCCAACTTCGGTGGTCCAAAAGTGGAAAACCCCCAGGATTAAGAAACAATGCCGGGAAGCTTTCCAGTGAGTCCTCTTCTCATTCTTCATATATTTCACGAGAACACGTTGCTTTCAGGCGCGCCCTGGCAGAGATGGAAACGGATGCAGATTTACTTGCTCATGAAACGGAGGATGTTGCGACTGAGGTTACAAGCGCTGGTTCTATGAAAGAGCCAGGTTCCACTGATGTTCATATGGCTATGCCAGTCGAGCAATCCGCTTCATGAGTGGGGGCTTCTTTCTGTACTTTTGCGCAAACAAGTAACAGACTGGTCGTCAGACATGAATATACTACAGAGACTGTACCAAGTCTCAACCCGTGATCCGGGCTCCACATTTTCTCAAAAGACCGCTAGGAAACACGTTGCTTTATGAGATGGCCAAGATTTTTTCTGGTGATCACGGTCGCACTGTTGGTAAAGCATAGTGAGACAGACACAAGAGATAGACGTGTAGGTACTTGCATAAACAGCTGTTTTGCACCTGTGGCGTGGTGAGATCCAGATGAACTAAAGAACGAAAATATGATCATACCGAGAGCATTGCAAGAGCTTCGAAGTTCCGGACTTTCCACAGCCATCAAGGCCGCATTCATTGAGAGAGCTTTCACAGTGTTGTTTCAGACCACCTGCCAGGATCGTTGTCTCCCTTGTTTGGGGTTTGTCACTACCTTTCTCGGCGACGAACGGGTAACTCACGGATCATCCTCCAGTTGCTTGAGGCAACGCGTAATCTGTTGCTTTTGGTATTTCCTATTCCACTCACGCAGTTTTGGGAGAAGCGCTTGTTTGTCTTCCTCGCTGACGGAATTCGTGCCCTGCAGGGCTAAGAGGGTCGAGAGAAACTGGCACATTTCTACGATGTGCACAGGATCTGCTGGAGCTGAAGACGCAGTGGCCATGCGATGCGCTTGAGTCTTGCAAATAGACGTTTTGGCCGCGGTTAATAGAAACCTAGCGAAGTAGGGCCTGAAAACTGTGTGTGAATGGGGCGAGACAGGTAGTGGAAGAGGACTTACAGGTAAGCAATAGCATTGAGCATTCTCATGGGTACATTGAATGCCGCATCTTGCGCATCGTAGGCGCCTACGAGGGCAGAGAGATACTTGGCGCAAAATTCACTGACAGAAGCAAGGCTTAGGGTTCAGCCAAGGAAAGGGGACAACCTTGGCTGCTAAACGCACGAATTGATCACGTTTTGGGATGAATTTCTTTGCAGTAAACCAAGCTGATGTGCAGATGAGAAACGGTGAGAACGATGGTGTTACCAGTAGGATACGAACCTGTGATTCGAGAAACACTGAATTTGCCTGGTGATCGCCAGTCAATCCGCAGTACTCAGCCAGCGAATCTGCCGTGACGTTCAATAGCCCTTGCATACCAGCTTGCGTGCCAGACATCCAGCTCATCGTTATGATACCACTACGAAAATTGGAGTAGGGTGGATCCGTTCAAACCCAGGAACAACGTGTGCAATGAGGGCATAAGCAGGCCGCAATCATTACATATGTTGATCAGTTAGCGCTGATCATGAGTAGTAAATCGGGACCTTGCTGGGGAAATAAGGTTTAGTAATAGCCTGTTTCCAACTTCACGTTATACGGCTTCTGATCAAATCACCATAGGAAACGAACGTTTTGCAAGCAAGCCGTTTTTTTTCTTGCCATCAGATATCTATCACGTTAGAATTTTGAAAAGACGATGCAAGAGACCGGCTCATTATATACAACTCCCAAGGCGGCGCTCGATTGAATAGACATGCGTGAAGGCACCTGAGAAACCATTACACAATTAACAATAACAGGTCACATGTCACATGTCACTCGACAACTTTTCACTGCTTGCCACTTTACAGTAATAACGACGCATGAGAGTACATGTAAGCTCTGATACTGAGCAACAACGTGATGATGGGCCAGTCGTTGAGCGTGGCAGCTGTGGGGTCAAACGATCTCACTCGACCTGACTCCCGAATAGGAACCCTTGGTGACTTAGTAGAAAGGTGACCGACCCCTGGGAAAGCACGAAGTTGACCCTTTGCTTTCGCCGAGCTCTTCTTACATGATGTCACGCAAACTGTCGGGGCCTGGGACAGGTACTACGTCAAGCACTTAACATCTCAGAGACATAGTAAAGACTGATTACGGGGACAGCTCTGTCAAAAACTTGACCCTGGCCCGGGTTCACATTCCGACAACACGTGGTGAGTTGAAAGTACTCATTACATTCCGCCAGAAATTTGACAACTTCTTGCAAGTATATGTCAGAACGACGCTTGAGGATCGTGCATGTTGGGCTTCGCGAATCGCCACCACAGCATGAGAACTCGCGCATATGATTTTTGAATGCCGGTAGGTTCAAGCCAAGACCAAGGTAGAGCAAGGTGTGCACTCACGCTTCAAGTGTTCAAGCGTTCAAATTCAAATCCCAGCCTCGGCAGATTTGGCTAACCTCGAGTAAGCAAGTCTGGACCGATTCTGTATGCTTGTGCTCTATCTGATAGTCTGATGCCTTCCACAGGGCCGAATATACTCATGGCTCCATCTTCTCCCTTTTAATAAATGTCAAATGGGGTACTTACCCGATAGCGCTTGCCTTCACGAAGGCATTGTGACTATGTCTATCCAAAATATCACTCTACCACGGACGTTAACATGTCAAAGGCCTACAAACGCTTCGCTTACTCTGAGGTTCGATCTTAAATCATACACTCGCTTGTCACGGTTATATGAATGGTGGTGGGACTTCCTTTGATGTTTTCCGGCAGGGGCAGATAAGCACCGCCCTTGCTACCGAATCTAACCTAAGAAGCAGTTACAGCCACCGGTGACGCAGGGTCACCCTTCAAGTTGTCAGTCGTGTGATCATCGACCTTTGGGCCTTTCCGTTGGTAGCGAATTATTGAGGACAGACTCGTCCGATAGAGTGCGGCACCGCAAGCTCCGCTGTCGTACAGTTTTCATTAAAACGTCACAAGTTCACAACCCTTGCAAGTTAACGGGATTCCGATAGCCTGCCCTATAAGTGTGGTACGTTAGTGATTAGCAACCCATCCCTTACTCTTTGAAACTGCCATTTGACCTGCACAGTTTTATGCCGGAACTAGATGAATATCTGTATGCTCTTGCCTGGAATAACAACACATCAGGTTCGTTAGCCTTATCGGAAATGATTCATTGTGCTAAACTTCATCCTTTTTCAGTTGTAGTCATTACCCTGATATTCTATGAGTACGGTCAGTAGCTCTCATGAACCTTGCAGTGCAGCTGAACGTAATGTTATCTAGTGCTTCAGTTCGAGAAAGAGGTACCAAAGAGCTCGTTTTGTCTTGGTCGATTACTCATGATCATATTATCGCAGGTCACGTTTGTTTGGGTTAGAAATCAACCTCGACGTTATCAAGATCCGGAACTGACTGGATATGCAGGAAAGACAGTGGTCGGTGATGACGTATCTATATCTTGCTGTGAGTTCCAGCCTGCCAAAGTGCTTAATAGTTTCCCTTTGTTACTATTTTCAGGTACGATATTTCGGTATGTTGATTGCAATGTACGTCGCGGTGTTGTATCATTCAGATGGATATTGTATGTTGACGCTGGCTTTTAGAATCTCCGCCTGCTGTACGTGAAGTATACCAACTGAGCTGTCATTAACTGACTAGCGCTAGGGGGAGGTCTATTTTATATGCCTGAAGCAGTGAGTCTATCAATTCTTTCTTCAGAGAATTCCAGGTTGACTAAGATTTCAGCCGTACGTCAGAAGTTCCAAATTTAAGCATGATCTATTGACCTCTTGTTTAGTTGTCAGTATATCAGATTCAACTGAAACTAGGTTTGCTCATCGTGAAAATGAATAGGTTATGGTATGTTTCTGTTTATCCAATGGAGTCTTTCTGTATATTTTTGCTTGGGAGAAGGTAAGCCAAGGTCGTATACATACATTCTCGCATACCCATTTCGCATTTGCAGTCATCCTCATCTGGCGTCTATACGCCTTGTACAACCAATCCAAGCCTGTCCTTTATGTTCTACTGGTGTTGTTTATACCTATCGTCGCGCTCTATATAGCGGTGGATATATATTTATGGAGTCGACCCTCAGCGATCTCAAGTAAATTTCTATTTTGGTCGAATTTTGTGCAAGCTGATGCCTTGGTGTGTAGTACAAGAAGTAATAATAACCCCAAACATCAAGTACTGCGCGGCTTTCTTCCACATCGGACCCATGCCAGCGATATATACTTCCATCCCTGTCATATGCTATGATATCTTCTTAGTTGTCCTCGCCATTGCCGCCCTCGGGAAGCACTTGAAAGAACGGAAGGAACTTCGAATGAAACCTAACACCTATGTGGTCGTGATCGTCCAATATCATGTCATATACTTTGTCCTGTAAGTTCCCCTTCGTTTGTTGCGTTCTCTCAAAGCATTCATCGAGTCACGCTAGGAATTTGGCAAATCAAATCTTCATGGCGATATTATGGGCCAACCTTTCGGTATGATCTCTCTTGATTCCAGAAAGATGTGCTCTAATGCTGCATACCCAGACGGCAGTGATGAATCTCCTTCTAATGTTCAACGATACTGCGCCATTTATTATCGTGCCACGTCTTATCATCAGCATTTGGGAAGCGCACGCCAACGATAACTGTGTGCATGTCAGTACGACATTCGAGGATTGCCTCTGTTGGACTTCGCCACCGACGTTGGAGGATCACGAGCTGGACTCGCGCGAATGATATTTTAACTTCGAAGGAGGTAGAGTGATAACCCTTCGCCCGGACTCTTGTCATTCTCTGATACTAGTCCATAGTGTCATATCGACACTGTACATTGTCGCCACCAAGGACACATCAGTGGCTTTGGAATATCGTGGAGATGTATTGATCGGGTTCCTCCAGCATCAGGAAAATCCTTGTATGGGCATCTATGGCAACGTGCATTCACTATCAGCGACCATAGCATCGCAGTAAAGTCGCTCTCATGCAGCAGAGGCACAGCACTGTGGCGCTTTTGACTAGTCATGATGTACAAGACTCACCTTATGTGCCTGGCTAAATGCTGCTCATCAGCAAACTAGCTGTGGGTACTCGTACATTTAATATGATTTTATTTGGATGTTAAAATCAGGCACGTCATTAATTGAGTGAGCGATTGATTTGCCCTTCTATTTTCCATCAGCTCAGCATGCTGTTTGGAGGTTGATATGGGAGCGAGCTGCGGAAATGCCGACGGCGTACGTATACTCGTTGATCCGGACCGAGGGGGTAAGTTGGAGTTACTGTATTTGGTATTCTTACTAATCATTTTCGCAGTCTTTCAATAGTACAGCAAGTACGATTGTCTTCCTCAAGGCATCATGATCATGTCTATCCAAGAGATCACTTTACCGTACGGACATCGACATGCAAAGGGCCTCCAAACGCTTCGCTTGTTTCGAGGTTCGAAATTTGATCTCGGATCATGCACTTGCTTGTCAAGGTCATATGGAATCTGGATGGTGGTGGGACTTCATTTGATGTTTTTCAGCACATGCCGGGGTAGATAAGCACCGCCCTTACCACCTAAGCCAGAAGGTCGGACAACCCGAGAAGCAGTTATAGCCACCGGTGACGCAGGCGACCCTTCAAGTTGTCAGCCGTGTGATCATCAATATCGTACTTACGACCTTCCCGTTGGACCTTGGTCTTATCGCTGGTGGTGAATTATCGAGTACAATGAATCGCGACATCAAATGGAAAAGTGCGGCGCCACAAGCTCGACACGATGTCATACTATTTTCATTAGGACACAGCAAGTCACCAACCCTGAGGAGTTGACGAGATTTAGTCTGCCCTATAAGTATTGTACATTGGCGACCATCAGCCCATCCCTCAAGACCTCATTCTTTGAATTTGTAATCCGATCTTTACAGTTTCATGTCGGAACTGGAAGAATCTCTCTATGCTCTTCAATGGAATAACAACATGTCAGGTTCGTTAGTTTTGTCGGAAATGAATCGCCGTGCTGAACTTTCTCGTTTTCCAGTTGCTGTCATTACCATGGTATCCTATGAATACAGTCAGTAGCTTTCATGAATCTTGCAGTGCTGTTGACCGTAATGTCATCTAGTACTTCAACTCGAGAAAGAGGTACCGAGAAGCTCGTTTTGTCTTCGTCGAGTACTCATGATCATATTATCATAGGTCAAATTTGTTTGGGTTAGAGCTGAACCTCGATGATATCAAGATCCGGAACTGACTGGATATGCAGGAAAGACAGTGGTCGGTGATGACGTATCTATATCTTGCTGTGAGCTCCACCCTGCCAAAGTGCTTCATGGTCTTTCATTTTTGTTGCTATGTTAGGTTCGATACTTCGGTATTCTGGTTGCAATGTACGTCGCGGTATTGTATCATTCAGATGGATATTGTATGTTGACTCTGGTTTTTTAGAATCTCCGCCTCCTGTACGTGAGGTATACCGACTGAGCTGTCATTAACTGACTGGCGCTAGGGGGAGGTCCAGTTTATATACCTGCGGCAGTGAGTCTGTCTTTCTTGAGAGAATTCTAGGTCGACTAAGATTCAGCCGTACGTCGGAATTTCGTTTGACAGCTGATCTGCTGTTGACCTCTTGTTTAGTTGTGAGTATATTGCTTCAACTGAAACTGGCTTTGCCCATGGTGAAATTGAAATAGGTGATGGCATCTTTCTGTTTATGCAATGGGGTTTCTCTGTATACTCTTGCTTGACGAAAGGTAAGTCACGTTCATATGCATACATCCTTACTTCATTACACGTACCCATTTCGCATTTCGCATTTGCAGTCATCCTCATCTGGCGTCTGTACGCCCTGTACAACCAATCCAAGCCTATACTTTATGTTCTACTGGGGTCGTTTATACCTATCGTCGCGCTCTATATAGCGGTGGATGTAATTTTGTGGAGTCGACCCTCAGCGATCTCAAGTGAATTTCTACTTCCATCGAATTCTGTCCGAGCTGATGCCTTGGTGCGTAGCGCAAGAAGTAATACTTACTCCAAACATCAAGTACTGCACGGCTTTCTTCCACATCGGACCCATGCTAGCGATATATACTTCCATCCCCGTCATATGCTATGATATCCTCTTAGTTGTCCTCGCCATTGCCGCCCTCGGGAAGCACCTGAAAGAACGGAAGGAACTTCAAATGAAACCCAACACCTATATAGTCTTGATCGTCCGATACCATGTCATATACTTTGTCCTGTAAGTCCCCCTTCGTTTGTTGCGTTCTCTCAAAGCATTCATCGAGTCGTGCTAGGAATCTAGCAGTTCAAATCTTCTCGGCGATATTGTGGGCCAATCTTTCGGTATGATGTTTCATGATTCTAAAGAGGTCTGCTCTAATGTAGGCATGCACAGACGGAAGTGATGAATATCGTACTGTTGTTCTCCGATACTGCGCCATTTATTATCGTGCCACGTCTTATCATCGACATTTGGGAAACGCATGCCAACGACAGCTGTGTGCATGTCAGTACGACATTCCAGGATTGCGTCTGTTGGACTTCGCCACCGCCGTTGGAGGAGCACGATCTGGAAGTCTGTATAGAATCTATAGATGCTGACAACATTTCTTGATACTTCGTAGTCCAGGGCTCAATGTTTTCGTGCAACTATGTACTATCTTTCATTCTATATTTATTTATGTCCGTACCACCTACGATGGGTTACCGGCAATCAATCTGGCGCCGGTAGCCTGAGCGCTTTTAGTCAGCTTGATCCACAGGCCGGTGCTGGCGCTGCAGTCCCAACTTGACCAGTAACTATCACCAGACAGCCGAAGGAAATCATGTCCCATGAAGATATCATGCTGACCGTTACCTTTCGCGGGAAATCACACACTGTTTTCCTCCCGAATGACGCCCCTCTCTCTGCTCTCCACTCCCGTCTCGAGCTCCTCACTTCTGTTCCGCCATCATTACAGAAACTCATTTATAGAGGAAAGAAATTCCAGCATCGACAGGATGACTCAGATCCAGAACCCACCATCGCCCAAGCAGGTCTTCGCGATGGTATCAAAGTGCAAATGCTTGGCTCGACAGTAGAAGAACTCGGACAACTGAATGCAGCTGACTCGGCACACCAGAAGAAGGAGCAAATTCTCAGAGAGAGGGCGCTAAAGCCACAGGTCAAGGTATGTCCTGACATTTGTTCTTATCATCAAGATTATCAATCATGATGAGAGGCAATTAGCTTCGTTCGACCGGGTCATCGTCTACTTCGTCACACCAGTACCGCTTTCACCGTATAGAAGCGCTCACTCATCTGCCGCGACCTGAAACAGCGACGGAGTGTCTCACAACTCTTTCCAAGGACCCTGCAGTCCTACATGTCATGCAGAAGCATCGTTTTTCTGTGGGCTTGCTTACCGAGCTTGCACCACACGAGCACCCTGGACTTCTGGGTCTTAACGTCGGGAGTGGAGGTACCATCAAGCTGCGAATTCGGCTCGATACGTATGATGGATTTCGTCCGTACCTGGAGGTCAGGCGCGTGTTGTGCCATGAACTGGCTCACAATGAGTGGGGCGAACATAACAATGATGTGAGTCACAACCTGTACATCAAGAATCATCTTCTAATACCCTGTTTACACCGCGGTCGTGCGCTGCTAGTTTAAAGAGCTAAATTCTCAGCTCAATCGTGAGGTTGCAGAATTTGAGGCTGCAGCAAGAGCAGGAACACATGGACTTTCTGATTTAGGAGACACATATCAGCCGTCGTCGGACGGAGAAGTAGAGGCACTTGTTCATGTTCTAGGAGGCACAGACCTTCGAGGTAACGATACCACGGACGAACATCGGATGAGGGCGCTGGAAGCTGCCACAGCGCGTCTTAGGAACGAAGAACTAGAACGGAGCTGCGGGACTTCTGGACCGCAGAAGCAATCTGGTTGATAGCTGAGTTAATGGTAACTACATATATTTCAGGCTAGTGATGGTGGTTTGAATTTATTTCTGTGCTAGTATACCAGGTCAGACAATTTGAAAGTCAGTCGCACATTGACACTCAATGAATTAAAAGGTGATCAACCATTCCTTATAGCAAACGTTGCTCGCGTGATGTATAGAAGTTGCTGACTGGGTTTGCATGTATGAGTATGTGCTCCCTCAGGAAGTTTGGTAGAACGCCCGGCGATGCAATGATGTCGTTACTCGTATACTGTGGCAAGTGCGGCCAAGACGCTTCCAACTTCCGGTGTGTCTGGATTCCCGAATCCCCACTGCAGTCAAATTCTGATTGGCACGCTTGAGTGAAGAGTAGGGGCGGGCTGACAATTTCTCGAGCGGGTGGTTCCTCTAAAAATATAAGGATAGTGCTTACTCTAGTTCGTCGTCGACAATATGTTCCGTAGAAGTTGCACTAGCAGCCGGTTTCTGGGTAGCCCAGTCTGTGAACGGGAGAGACAGTTGAACGAGCGCAAGACAATATCATGCACATGCCATACGTGCATGGGCACTTCCGTGGTCTTCAAGCCTTTAAGCTTCAGGACTTGATTCATATAAATCATACTATCATAGTGCAGAGTCATGATTCGAGTCATACCTAGTAGAAGAGTTTTCGCGAAGAGTTTTCACGGTTGTCGCCGGTCCGGGTCAGCCGCAACCTCATTGGGATCGTCGTGCTCCCTTGTTTCCTTGTCTTTACCGTTACAGGCTTCCAGCTTCTAGTTCGTCGCTTGTGCTGCATATCGACCACCTTCTGCATCGCTTCTTATTTCAGATCGAGAGCTTGCAGGTGACCGGTGACGGGGCAACTGTTGTGTCTGTACCCTTCGTATGTTTTTTTCCGCATGTCACAGTGTATGCTAATCTTCGTTCAAGAGCAATTTGTTCATCAAATCAAGCTACTGCTCTTACATGTATTTTCCCGTTATCAACCTCGTTATTTATCAAGCCGAAACCAAAATATAACTCAACGACTCAGTTACTTTCCTACTCACAATCGCGACCTCCATGGGAGCACGCCGTGATCGACACGTCCACACAAGCCAACATGTAAAGTTTGAATCTGAATTGTCAACCCTGTTAATACCTTCAAATGCCGTCTTTTCATCTCATGCCTTTATAATGCTGTCCAAAGGTGTAGTCCATACATCACTCCGATCTTTCTGCTAACGTACATTGATACTTTTTGAATGTCAATACCGTTGCTGCGGAGACTATCTTGAGCGACCGACTCTGTGGCTAGGGACATCAACTTGACATTCATGAGATAAGTATATGAAGAATAATGTGCAGGTTCTTCCGAAGATACCCATTCGTGGCCCGTCGTGCGACACTGATAAATAAATATTCAGAAGAAGTAAAACACCTGTAACAGCATGCCTTGCAGCGGTTAGCGCTTGACTAGAATGTTCGGTGCTAGGACCGCTCGCGTTCTAGACTTGGACATGCACATTTTTGCGGCATCGCATTGTTTTGATATCGTAAGTGTTATTGACCGCTCGGCAGCTGGCAGGGATGTGCGCCGACGCTTGGTGCTCAACTGTGGTTGCAGCGTGTTTTGACTGTTCCACAGCGCACATCTCCACAATCTCCCCCGTCGTGATCGACAGTGGCTAGTCGCCATGATTACCCTGTGGGTACAATTCACAAATCGACGCTCCACAACTCATTGATATTATTTAAAGCGCGTTGTGGTCCTACCAAGAAACTCTTAAATACCCTCGTTGAATCGCTTCTTGGCATTTCCGTACCCTTCGCCTCATCATTATCTGTCGGCCAAGGTCGCTGAAATGTCGATAGCTCAATCTTCTTCTTCTTCTGAACCTTCTAGCGCTACATTCAATGCGCCCGCCGTACAGTCTACCATTGTCGATGCTGGCATTGCGAATGCTCGCTCAGAGCTCCCCGATCTTCAACACCCTTCTGCCTCGGAGCCGGCCGACCCTCCAGCTGACCCTCTAGCACCTGCTCACGCTTCCACCTTCACGTACTCCGGCCCAGCAGAGGTGGTCCAAACTACACCAGTGTCATGCACGTATGGCCCCTTTCGTGTTTGGTGCACATTGGGCCAGGGCGCGTACGGCGTGGCGATCGGAGCTGAAGACGTAGCGTCGAATCGCTTGTTGTGTCTCAAGGTCTTTCCAAAGCACCATCTTGAGCACAAATCCAGGAAAGATGTTCTTCTGAACGAACTCGAAGCGTACAAGCGTATTTCATGCGCGTTACCGTGCCCCGCGGCTATATTTCTCATGGGCCTCGAGATGTCGTTCCAGACCAGGGATAAAATATGTTTTGCAATGGTGCGTCCTCCTCCCCTGCAACCCGTTTCAGTCATCTGACTCCATTGGGTGTCTCTAGGACCTGATGGCAAGCGATCTGTATAGCTATCTGCAACGTTATCCTGCGTACTGCGTCCAAAATTCTGGTAGGTGGGCTGCGCAAATGGTAAGCGGTCGTCTTTCCTGGTCTTCGACATCTCACGTCTCATGCCTCCTCCGACTTCGAAGACCCTTGGGATCAACGCTCTTCACGAGATGGGGATCATCCACCGGGACATCAAAGCCGCTAACATCCTGATCGATGCTCGAGAGAATGTGCGCATCACCGACTTTGGCTTGAGTTATGTGAACAAAAACGAAGGACCCTTGGACCGACGGCGGAATTATTGTTCGCAAGAGGCGGGAACGACGCACACCATGGCACCTGAGGTCCTGCCCAACATACCCGGCCCCCGTCTGTTCAAGTACGGAGCACCCGCAGACTGGTGGTCGTTAGGCTGCGTCATCTACGAGCTCGTTTCGAAGAAGCACAAGGCACGTTTTGAGTCTTCCTTCGCTGCTATCTTACTGATATCATCTCGTCAGTCACTCTTTGTTACAAAGGACGACATACTTTTTTACTTTTCTTGGTGCAACCATAACCGCGACAGACCATCCACACAGTTCCCTGCCTTTAAAGAATTACATGAAGCTCTTGCGGATTTGATCTCTGGGGTAAGCTTTTGTCTTATTCGTTTTACGGCACCATCACTCATCTTTACCACGGTAGCTGCTGCGACCCGTCCCGTCATCGCGGTTTGGGTTCGCTGAAGTCGTAAATCATAGATCGTTTTTGTTGAAACCCAACATGTCAGAATTCTCCGACGCATACTCTCTCGGTGAGTTAAATCTGATTTGTCTGCGAAAATCATGCTAAAACCATATTGCAGCGCTTGGGCGCAGAGAATTTCCATCTATGCTGCCAGACTTACGATGTGGTCGAGAGACCAACGCAGCGGAGATCTGGTTTTGCCAACCTTCCTGGGAGACATCGCGCGTTCCGGGTGTGGACTGGGTCAAGCCGGCGCTTTTTTATCCGTCCCTATGATGGCCCTTCAGTCCAGTCGGTGCTCATTTCGTTTCGATAGCTTCATTTTTCACTGTCACTACGTCTCCCTTCCTTCTTCAAGTTGTTACAAATAATCTTGTGTAAAATACATCTGTCTCTTGGTTCACATACATCTTTCAGTATCAATCTACTGTTTGTTCCATATCTCCCGGGACCCAGGCGGTAGTGGAATTGGCATGGGTATTCAAAGGTTTGTTGTAGCTGATTTCAGCAGATCGAGTACGCCACGTTGCTACTCAAAGCGCGCCATCCGACCATAGACAGAGTACTAAAGGAAGGTCTCCGTACCAACATTCTCTCCTTCTCTTCGAACCCAAATGTCTATGGACACGAAGCGAGGTTCCCCCAACATAATCGACCCGACGCGAAGACTGCACTTGGGTTCAAAGCGCTCAGGTTGATTGATTGCTGGTAACCCGTCGTGGGTGGTACCAAGACGTGGCCGAGGACATAGTAAACAAATATAGAATGGAAAATAGTACATAGTTACACGCAAGAAATATTGTCAGGATCTATACAGAATTCCATCTCGTGCTGCTCCAATGGCGGTGGCGAAGTCCAACAGACGCAATCCTCGAATGTTGTACTGACATGCACACAGCTATCGTTGGCATGCGTTTCCCAAATGCTGATGATAAGACGTGGCACGATAATAAATGGCGCAGTATTCGAGAACAACAGTATGACATTCATCACTTCCGTCTGTGCATGCCTGCATTAGAGCAGACCTCTTTAGAATCATGGGAGACCATACCGAAAGGTTGGCCCACAATATCGCCGAGAAGATTTGAACTGCCAGATTCCTAGCACGACTCGATGAATCAGAGAACGCAACAAACGAAGGGGGACTTACAGGACAAAGTATATGACATGGTATCGGACGATCAAGACTATATAGGTGTTTGGTTTCATTCGAAGCTCCTTCCGTTCTTTCAAATGCTTCACCAGGAGGGTAATGGCGAGAACAACCAGCAAAACATCATAGCATAAGACGGGGATGGAAGTATATATCGCTAGCATGGGTCCGACGTGGAAGAAAGCCGTGCAGTACTTGATGTTTGAGGTTATTGCTATTTCTTGTACTACGCACCAAAAAATCAGCTTGCAGAGAATTCGATTGAAGTAGAGACTCACTTGAGATCGCTGAGGGTCGACTCCACAAAAATACATCCACCGCTATATAGAGCGCGACGATAGGTATAAGCAAGCCCATTAGAACATACAGTATGGGCTTGGATTGGTTGTATAGGGCATATAGACGCCAGATGAGAATGACTGCAAATGCGAAATGGGTACGTGTAATGAAGTAAGAAGGATGTATGCATATGTCCGTGACTTACCTTTCGTCAAGCAAGAGTATGCAGAGAAACCCCATTGCATGAACAGAAACACACCATAACCTATTTCAATTTCACCATGAGCAAAGCTAGTTTCAGTTGAATGCGATATACTCACAACTAAACAAGCGGTCAACAACAGATCAGCTGTCAAACGAAATTCTGCGTACGGCTGAATCTTAGTCAACCTAGAATTCTCTAAAGAAAGACAGACTCACTGCCTCAGGTATATAAACTAGACCTCCCCCTAGCGCTAGTCAGTTAATTACGGTGCAGTCGGCACTACGTCACGTACAGGTGGCGGAAAACCTAGAAGTCAGCGTCAACATACAATGTATCAACCGGAGGATACAACAACCGCGACGTACATTACAACCGAAATACCGAAATATCGAACCTGACATAGCAACAAAAATGGGAAACCATGAAGCACTTTGGCAGGGTGGAGCTCACAGCAAGGTATAGATACGTCATCACTGACCGCTGTCTTTCCTGCGTATCTAGTCAGTTCCGGATCTTGGTATCATTAAGGATCAACTCTAACCCAAACAAACTTGACCTATGATGATATGATCATGAGTACTCGACGAAGACAAAACGAGCTTCTCGGTACCTCTTTCTCGAGTTGAAGTACTAGATAACATTACGGTCAACAGCACTGCAAGATTCATGGAAGCTACTGACTGTATTCATAGGATATCATGGTGATGACAGCAACTGGAAAACAACGGAATTCAGCGCAATGGTTCATTTCCGACAAAATTAACGAACCTGATATGTTGTTATTCCAGTAAAGAGCATAGAGAGATGCTTCTAGTTCTGACATGTGGCAAACTGTGAAGATCAAATTGGAAATTCAAAGAATGAGGGAATGGGCTGATGGGCTGATGGTCACCAACGTATAATACTTATAGGGCAGGCTAAATCTCGTTAACTCCTAAGGGTTGGTGACTTGCTGTGTCCTAATGAAAATAGTACGACATCGTGTCGAGCTTGTGACGCCGCACTTTCCATTTGATGTCACGAATCACTGTACTGGATAATTCACCACCAGCGACAAGGTCCAATGGGAAGGTCGTCAATATATCGATGATCACACGGCTGACAACTGAAAGGGTCACCCTGCGTCACCGGAGGTTATTACTGTTGATTGGATTGTCCGACCCTCCAAGTTGCTTAGGTGCCAAGGACGGTGCTTATCTACCCCAACATGTGCTGGAAATTATTGAGTGCACGATCCGAGATCAAACCTAGCAGCAAGTGAAGCGTTTGCAGGCACTTTAGATGTTGATGTCCGTATGGTAAAGTGAGGAGTCCGATGTCTTGAATAAAATAACTTGAGGCAATCACGTGAGAAAGTCATACAATTTCGGTAGCAATATGACGTTGAGGACTCAGACAAGAACATACACTTGGCCAAGGTGGAGAAAAGTGCATTGCTCTCTTGTGATCACGCTCCCCTACAGTCTCGCCACAAACTTCGATCATACTCCTATACTTCATATGTATCCAGTGCGATAACCAGATTATGCTTGATTATGGCTAGGACTCACTGATGCATGTCCGATGCATCACAACACAGAATGGTGCTCATGCAATCATCAATTCAATAGTGCGTCATCCGAGTTATGTGCATAATGGTGAAACAATGCAGGTGTGATAGCAAAAGAATACAATCGAAAGCAGACGTGACTTACAGTAACAGCAACGAGGAGATAAGAGCGAGAGCAGATGAATTGTAGCATTTAAGTGGTAGGACTACCGGCTGCGGAATCTGTCACGGACGATGGACTGGACCAGTAACCTCAGCAACAATCTGTTTGACTTCATATAGAAAACTCGTCAGGGTTGAAACTGCAGTGCCGAGAATAGTACATAACATGTGGAGGAGGCATCGGAAACAACTACACCGCTCAGGAGTTAGAGCTGGCGTGTTTGGTATAGTACACAACACGAGCGCATAGCAAGAGGAAAGACGCATCAAAAAACAGGAAGCTTGGCCCGAACATCATCTACTTCTTTTCTGTCAAGTCCTTCGCTGCAGGCTTTTGGTAAACTTCGACTTCCAGGTTCACAACGAGAAGAGGGACGTACACAAGCGATTTTCAAGGATGAACTCAAGAACCTTCTTTCCCAGTTCCTCTCCGTGGTAGCCTTGACGACAGATCTCTTTCGCTCCTTTCTCCACTGCGACAGCCGTCGGAGAATTCAAATAGTAGTCCACGGCAGACTCGACGAGCTCCGAGCCCTCCAACTTGTTCAGGAGAAATGCAGAGTACTCGAGGACGATAATGGTGGCTGCTTCCTGTCATTAGGACTACAACCGGTCGTGTGGGGAGGAACTAACCGATGCCAGTCTGAATCATTCTGTTCGCAGTAGAAGTGAACAGTGAACTTTTCACAGCCTATTGCACACTCGTATAGTGCCGGGAATCAATGCGGAGGGAAACCAACCTACCAAGGGCTGGAGGACGCGGATAATACCATCTCGGCGGGTTGCGGCCTAGCGACAGGTTGAAAGTATGGGTATCAGAATCGACTCCACAGAGGAAAGTACTTGCCCCCTGCAGGAAAGGAATGTCAGAATTATGAGGCGGAAAATTGGCATTTGATTAATAACAGGGACGCACATTCTATTTGATTGACGTGACAGTCGTGAATAATCAATCACCAGATTGTAGACAATGACTGCTATGCTCAGGTAACTTACAAACTGTCAGGGGTTGGAACCAGATGAGCATCACTATATATTGGCGAATACCATTCATGGACGTACGAGCTAGATAAGATTGTCTGTCAGTGGAGTAATATGATGTAAGACAGATATGATCAACGCACATTCTGCGAACACGTGATGAAGACAAGAGATTATCTGGCTAAAATCACTGACAATTGAAATACACTTACACCCTACAGATCGACAGAGTCAGTCGAAATGATTGAGACATTGAATGCTTCGCATTATGAAGGTCAAACGACTCACATTCTGCACAGGACACGAAAATATGCAAGATGAATGAACATGGAAAATAAGTCATCAGGGAGGGATACTCAACGAACTAAGCATTATATGAGCAATGATGATTCGACTCATCTGACGGAATAGAGCGCGCTTACATTAGGCTATGAAAACGAGTGAACATCATTACATTATTCGGCACCATCTCAATACAAGATATGATCAAGACACGCACCACCTGCCAAAAAAATAGTAAGATGTAAGACGTGTCCACATGAGTTGCAGACAGAAAACTATCAAGGCACTTACTTCCTGTCAACAGGTAAGGAGCAGCGATTGTCAGCATGGGTTGAGGATGAGAAACCATCAAAAGTACACACATTCTGTCAACAGGCAAGCAGCAGCGAGGGATGGGGATCATGAGCATGGGTCGAGGACTACAAACCATCAAGGCACTTACATTCTGTCAACAGGCGAGCAGCAGCGAGGGATGGGGATCATGAGCATGGGTCGAGGACTACAAACCATCAAGGCACTTACCCGCTGTCAACAGGCGAGCAGCAGCGAGGGATGGGGATCATGAGCATGGGTCGAGGACTACAAACCATCAAGGCACTTACGTCCTGTCAACAGGCGAGCAGCAGCGAGGGATGGGGATCATGAGCATGGGTCGAGGACTACAAACCATCAAGGCACTTACCCACTGTCAACAGGCGAGCAGCAGCGAGGGATGGGGATCATGAGCATGGGTCGAGGACTACAAACCATCAAGGCACTTACCCGCTGTCAACAGGCGAGCAGCAGCGAGGGATGGGGATCATGAGCATGGGTCGAGGACTACAAACCATCAAGGCACTTACATTCTGTCAACAGGCGAGCAGCAGCGAGGGATGGGGATCATGAGCATGGGTCGAGGACTACAAACCATCAAGGCACTTACCCACTGTCAACAGGCGAGCAGCAGCGAGGGATGGGGATCATGAGCATGGGTCGAGGACTACAAACCATCAAGGCACTTACCCGCTGTCAACAGGCGAGCAGCAGCGAGGGATGGGGATCATGAGCATGGGTCGAGGACTACAAACCATCAAGGCACTTACGTCCTGTCAACAGGCGAGCAGCAGCGAGGGATGGGGATCATGAGCATGGGTCGAGGACTACAAACCATCAAGGCACTTACCCACTGTCAACAGGCGAGCAGCAGCGAGGGATGGGGATCATGAGCATGGGTCGAGGACTACAAACCATCAAGGCACTTACCCGCTGTCAACAGGCGAGCAGCAGCGAGGGATGGGGATCATGAGCATGGGTCGAGGACTACAAACCATCAAGGCACTTACGTCCTGTCAACAGGCGAGCAGCAGCGAGGGATGGGGATCATGAGCATGGGTCGAGGACTACAAACCATCAAGGCACTTACCCACTGTCAACAGGCGAGCAGCAGTAAGGCATCAGCATTGTTCTCGCGTAGCTTCGTAAGCCATGATCTTACCAGCTGTCATCAATAAACAACTACAATCAAGGAAAACATATCAGAATTGTCAACAGTTTCAGCGCCTCGATATTTACCATCCGTGAGCATCATTACCAGGGAATCGTCAGATTGAATCAATCTTTGTCTTACTTTGAGATGTGGAAACCACTTAGCAATGCTATACTGACAACTTTTATCATCGATTTGCTTGTGTGCGCGATCAACGGTTGTTCTAGATGATGTTGAAACAAAAATACGTGACTTGCAAATATGAGACTCACGCGATGGCGCACTTGATGCAAAGCTCCATGTTCGATTTTTGTGTCGAAAACAAGCACAGCCGCAATTCTTCATTATCCAGTGCGAGAGTGGTGCTTTCCAGTAGAGTGTCGCAGTTTGTATTCGTTTTGTTCATATCTAGGACGGTTGCTAATGTCAACTTTGACATGGGACAAATCAATCTAAACCACTCACTCTGCAAGCGTACATGGGACTTGGGACGCGCACGGTTTTCAGGGTTGTATAACCGATCCAAGACACCTGTCTTGGCGAACAGTTCCTCAACACGTTCGGCAATCCTCTTTGAGCGCTCTTCGCCCGACACCCCTTGTAGTTGCTTCTTGATTTCACCATACGCGACTGGACGCAGAGCTTCGAACTTGGTGAACACCGCGATAACAGGAACTAAAGATCAATCATTCAGTCCCAGCACGGCAATTGACGATGAAGTTGCAAGCTCACCGTGCCCGGTTTCGCACTCCTGGAAAAACTTCTCTTCTGACCGCTGGAATGTTCGCCAATGGTCGTCCATCGGAATACAATACCTGATGGCAATCAAAAAGCGCGGAACGTCGGAAGGGGGCTGCTTACCATATAGCGTGAATTCGGTCCTCTAATTTCGTCGCATGTGCGCGTTCTGATATAAATTTCTTCATGCTTTCAAACTCTTCTTCAGACCCCGCTTCGAAACCGCGAGAGTCATGAAAGACAAAATCGGGACTACTTTTGAATACCATCTCATTCGTGATGTCGTGATTTCCACGCTGAACATCCGTCAGCGCATGTATGCCCACAGGGCAAATGATACACACACCTTGATCGAGGAATTCACGATGGTAGTATCGATCTACCCACAATCGATCAGCGATACACGAGTCCATGGCATAGATCATCACCCGCACCTTGTTTCCTTTCGTATCATAAATTTCTGGTTGATCCGTGGTGTTGCAGACCTTCTGAAGGATGGTCGTTTTGCCTGCGTTTGCTCTCCCCATGATCAGAACTCGAAAGCGCCCGATTCTTTCTCTGAGGTCCTGGGCTTCGATGGTTGCCATTGGGAGATCTTGATGTGCGTCCTGAGGAAGAGGTAATTTGGTTTATCGCGAAAGCTGTACTGCGGTACAGAACGAGGTCGTGGCGAAATATGGCAGTGAACGAACACGAAGCAAGGGTTCTTATGGCTTGTGGTACAACAGCTACACACGGCGTCTATCTCTTATCTATCTCCCTGCAAAAGACCACTGATTATACCGGCACCGGTACCGTTACCCTCGTATAGACAACGAAGTTGCAACTGTTCAATCGTTCGTACGATAAGTTGAAAGCACGATGATTACACAACAAATGACGCCAAATAATGAGAACATTGATAGGGATATGAACTATGATGAATGATCAGAATACGACGGACATGACAGAATTTCGCTCTTCCCTATACCCGTCTAGCTGAGAGCAGTGATATCAGAAATCTGGTAGGTGAGCTCGATCTTCTAAATGGTTGATCGATGATCCTTGAGACGTCTGAGAGCAAACGAGAGCATGTCGGTATGTGAGACAGCCTTTGGAATGGGTGACATCCCGTGCTGCTCGACAGGGTCTGCACGTATGGAGTTTTCCCGGAAGATGGTGGTTCTGGGTATGAACTGAGGGGCAATTAGGTGCCGTGTGTGTTGGCTGAACTCCAATGTTCGTTGGTACTGAGGGAAAGGCAGACATAGCGAGCCGCAGGAGCTTATGTGTTCATAGATAGCTCGGGGCAGGTTTGATACACGTTCGCGGATGAGTCCGGCTGTCCATCATACTTTTATAAATTGGCGCATATATTGTCGGGTATCAAAGAAGACGTACCGGTCATCATACACAAAGACTCTCAGGGCTGGCGTGCATATCACTGGATTATGATGAAATCCGCCCCAAAAACCCTTGGATATCCACTGATGAGCACAATATTTACGGACAAACTTCTTGCAGCCTCAAGAGTACTTCGTAGTGTGCGCCACCGTTTGACTCAGCCCTCCTTCTACTCTTCCCCCATTGCTGGTCCCTACTGTGATGAGTGATGTCGTTTAGGCTGGCTCCTTATCGGTTCATAGCGAGCTCCCTGGTGTCTTTTAATGGTATTGAGATCGCATTGAGAGCATATAGCTCCAACTGTCGTGATGTAAGTGATGAAGTACGTGACCCTGCATCTCGAACATACAAAACAGCATGCTTTGGCAAGAACACGATCAGTATAAGGACTCGCGGTGCAAGCCAAGACTCACTAGTTTGAAAGATATGTATGACTGTATGCCTTGGATCCAGCCATTTCGAAAAACGTCGACAACATTGCGAGACATAGCGCTGAATGCCGGCACATAGCCGTGAAGCTCGAAGATCATATTGCGCATCCTTTTCTAGAGCTGGACGTGAAAGGTAGAGCTCGACAGCGGGGAATGTGGATACCCTCAAGCGAAGGTGTGAACTGCAGTAGGAATCTGGGTTGTGCGACTGCTTCTGTGCTGAGCTCGGTGTCTTCGTCATATGGACCGGCTGTTTGCGTCCACAAGACAAACGTAAGGGAGTGACGAAGATCATTATGCTTCACGTGCGTAAAAAAAAATCATCCGTAAGGACACACTCATCCACTAGGGATGCGAGAACACCGTTGTCATTAGGGTGTGGTAGCGGTAGATCTGGGGATGGAGATCGTTGGGGAATCACATGTTGGGGAAGTGAGATGGGAGGGCGGACCATCTATCGCTGTGCCGGGAATGTCTTCAGGGGTGTCGCAATCTGCAAAATGGTTCTCCTGTATGGATAAATTGAAATCATAAGTTATTGTAGTTAAAAGCACACGAACAGCAAAACGAACCTCTATACCAGGATCATGATCCGGTTCATCCTGCTGGACAGGTTGTGGGTCCCGATACCATGCTAGCATGTATCCTTTTCTCTTTCAGAGAACACGTCCCCTTCGTATTGGGACCTCTACATGCCGTCTCCATATTTAATGAGGTACTTGGTGCAGTTGGCACTTGTACGATCTCTCGCAATCGCAGTGATATTTTTTGATGTTACTGAGTCTGTAAAACAGTGTGGAGTCATGGTGTGTCGACAAAGGTATGTCTTGCCGACACGAGACGCTGACAGAACGCAGGTCACAGATAACTGAGATAAGTTCTGTGCAACATGTGCTCTGCCTGCGTTTCGCGTGGTGGAGTAATGATAGAGACGATAAATGAGATGACAAAATTCAAACATCGAGTCACATGACAAGTATTCAATCATCCTCAATTTCAATTTCGTCACTCGACCCCCTGAACAAATACCTCCACCGAAATCTCCAACATCAATGTAACGCCCGAGGAGAAACAGTTTATAGTCTACTTTTTGTTGACATGCATCAAGTAGGCCAGACAAGGAGCAGCCCTTCTTGCGGAAATCGGAACCCGGCGCCTCCTCAAGCCTCAGCAACCGTCACTGTACCAAGCCCTGTTCAAATATATGTAGCGCACACCAAGAGACTTGAATGATAGTCATTTGGAGATGTCACCCGAACCAAGAGAGGAATAAGTAACACTCGCTCATTTGTAATTCCTTATCATTCTCACTCGGCGTCTCCGTTCTCGCACTCTTGGTTGAACTCAGAGCAGTCACCCACCACGTACAAAGTAGAAATCAATAGACACAGTACATACTGTAGACAGATAATAAGCAAGAAAAAATGATAAACAAACAACCAAAAATCGCATCTCGTGAACTTGTGTCAAGGTAGAGGTAGCCTATGCTGCCCCAGGATCTTCAACTCGATCCATTCACTTTACAACAGCTGACTATTGGTTTCACTGATAAACCCGTATGAAGCGCTGTAACCTTGGTCACCAATGTCGTGAGGGTCATTCCCAGGTTCACATTTCAGGTTCACTCCCGCTTTCGCAGTACAGATCTCGGTGGGGCCAGCTGCGAGAGCCCAATCCTGGCATTTCAGTGAGTGTGCATGCACTGCTGCAATAGACAGTTACTTACGGCCGATGCACTATATGAGCAGCTATTCCACGTTCCCGGATTCGCAACAGAAGGGTAATAGCACGCGAAAGTATCGCCTGAGCACGTCCAGTAGTTAAGACATGCATTCTCTTGCTCAATACTGATTTACTCGTAATCGCAATTAGGACAGACCTCGCAATTTGCACTAATTCCAGTGCCAAGCGCGCGGAGCAAGGAAACGGCCAGTACAAAGTTGCACTGGAATGTTAATTGTTAGATCTAGCAGCGAAGGGATAGGGCAATGAAAACGTACACGGTGTAGTTGTTTCAATTTCCTAGTAAATTTTTGGCTGGACAGTCGCTCTTATATGCAAGCTGCTTCAGGCACGACTGGAGATGCGGTGAGATCCCATAAATCTCGCGTTCGATGTCATATGATCTGCGATGTGGGCCTGCTCAAAAGACATCAGTGAGGTTATTTCCAAAGCAATCTATTACCCATACTTGCTCACCTACAAAGTTTTATCACACCGTTTCACATAAATTTCCGATGTCCACAAGGCAGATATGCAGCAACTACACAACCGGCACCGACAAGGCCAGCGAACCGGTGGCCACCAACTTGAGCGATGGCACCCACAAAGTTTTGCCTCGCCGTTTCACATGCATTTCCAGTGTCCGAAAAGCAACTACACAGCCAACAAGACCAACCTGCCGGTGACGGTTAACTTGAACATGGAATATGATTTAGAAATACTCACATGGACTAGAATTTGCAAGTCAAGTCACCGAAACAGTCGTTTGCTCATAAGCGTGATCAGACTGACGAAGTTTTTTTTCCAGGAAGAGAGAAGTCGTCTTCGTCGTCCTGCTCGCCCTCGTCAACTGAACGGTCCTTGAACTCCAAGTTGGAGGCTGAGAGTTCGATAATCTCAGAAAATGCGGGATTTAATCTGTCTGTGTGAAGTCTATGCAAACTAGATGCAGACTTGCGTCCTGTTAATGTATTGCTCGGATTCAGAAAGTGGCAGCGCCGAGTCAGTGAAAATACTCACCACAAAAGATGGGCAGACATCACCGTACGTAGGCCATGAAAATTCGACGGGAGAGCAGGGCAAGCCGCGGTAAATGGTGATCGTGTTTTCTTACGCTGGACCGCGACTCACGGTGGAGACACTGGAAGTGGAGAGCCATGCTTCCCGAAGTTCCCGTACCTAATAGCAAAAGGTTTCACGGTTTTCGCCGGCCCGGGTCAGCCGCAACCTCTTGTCTTTATCGTTACAGCTTCTGGTTCGTCGCTCGCTGCATCTCGACCACCTCCCGCATCACTTGTGATTTCAGATCGAGAGCTTGCAGGTGAACCGTGACGGGGCGCCTGTTGTGTCAGTATCCTTCGTATGTTTGTTTTTTCTCGCGTGTCACGGTGTATGCTAATCTTAGTTCAAAAGCATTTTGAACCTACTGCTCTACATGTATCAACCTTGTTGTGTATCAGCCGAAACCGAAATATAACTCACTGACTTGGTCACTTTCATACTCGCAATCGCGACCTCCCTGGGACCACACGGTGATCGACATGTCCGCACAAGCCCCAACATGTAAACTTTGAATCTGAATCATCAACCTTTCAAACGCTGTCTTTTCATTCCATGACTCTGTCATGCTGTCGTCCAAAGGTGTAGTTCATGCATCACTCCGATCTTTCTGCTAACATACATTTATACTTTTAAATGTCAATACCGCTGCCGCGCAGACTATCTTGAGCGACCGACTCCACGGCTAGGGACATCAACTTTACATTCATGAGATAAGTATATGGAGAATAATGTACAGGTTCTTCCGAAGATACCCATTCGTGGTCCACGCTAATAAATGAATATTCAGAAGAAGTAAAGCACCTACAACAGCATGCCTTACAGCGGTTAGCGCTTGACCAGAATGTTCGGTGCTAGGACCGTTCACGCTCTAGACTTGGACATGCACATTTCTGCGGCATTGCATTGTTTTGATATCGTGAATGTTATTGACCACTCGGCAGCTGGCAGGGATGTGCACCGACGCTTGGTGCTCAACTGTGGCCACAACTTACCTTCTAATTGTTCCAAAGCGCACATATCCATGACCTCCCCCATTTTGATTGAAAGTGTCATTATCTGGTCGTCATGATTACCCTGTGGGTGTTTTCAGACAATTCACAAATCGACGCTCCACCACTCATTGATATTATTTAAAGCGTACTGTGGTCCTACCAAGGGAACTCTTAAATACGCTCGTCGAATTGCTCCTTGACGTTTCCGTACCCTTCTCCTCATTGTTATATGTCAGGCAAGGTCACTGAAATGTCGATAGCTCAATCTTCTTCTTCTTCTCAACCTTATTTTACCGCTGTATCCAACGCGTCCGCTATACAGTCTATCGTTGCAGATGCTGGAATCGCGAATCCTCGCTCAGAGCCCCCCGATCTTCAAACCCCTTTTGCTTCGGAGCCGGCCGACCTTCCAGCCGACCCTCCAGCGCCTGCTCACGTCTCCACGCACTCCGGCCCAACAGAGGTGGTCCAAACTACGCCGGTGTCATGCACGTATGGCGCCTTTCGTGTTTGGTGCACGTTGGGAGAGGGCGCGTACGGCGTGGCGATGGGAGCTCAAGACGTAGCGTCTAATCGCTTGTTGTGTCTCAAAGTCTTTCCAAAGCACCATCTTGAGCGCAAAGCCAGGAAAGATGTTCTTCTGAACGAACTCGAAGCGTACAAGCGTCTTTCACGCGCTTTGCCGTATCCCGCGGCTAGTTTTCTCATGGGCCTCGAGATGTCGTTCCAGACCAGGGATAAAATATGTTTTGCAATGGTGCGTCCTCCTCCCCTGCAACCCGTTTCAGTCATCTGACTCCATCGGATGTCTCTAGGACCTGATGGCGAGCGACCTTTATAGTTATTTGCAACGTCATCCTACGTACTGCATCCGCAATTCTGGTAGGTGGGCTGCGCAAATGGTAAGCGGTCGTCTGTCCTGGTCTTTGACATCTCACGTCTTATGCCTCCTCCGACTTCAAAGACCCTTGGGATAAATGCTCTGCACGAGATGGGGATCATCCACCGGGACATCAAAGCCGCGAACATCCTGATCGATGCTCGAGAGAACGTACGCATCACCGACTTTGGCGTGAGTTATGTAGACAGAAACGAAGGACCCTTGGACCGACAGCGGAATTATTGTTCGCGAGAGGCGGGAACGACGCACACCATGGCACCGGAGGTTTTGTACAACGGATCCGACTACCGTCTTTTGAAGTACGGAGCACCCGCAGACTGGTGGTCGTTAGGCTGCGTCATCTACGAGCTTATTTCGAAGAAGCACAAGGCACGTTTTGAGTCTTTTTCGTTGCTATCTTACTGAATCATCTTGTCAGTCACTCTTTGTTACAAAGGACGACATACTTTCCTACGTTTCTTGGTGCTCCAGCCGCGACAGACCATCCAAACGGTTCCCTGCCTTTGAAGGATTACATGAAGCTCTTGTGGATTTGATCTCTGGGGTAAGCTTTTGTCTTGTTCGTTTTCCGGCACCGTCACTCACCTTCACCGTGGTAGCTGCTGCAACCCAACTCGTCATCGCGGTTTGGGTTCGCTGAGGTCGTGAATCATAGATCGTTTTTGTCCAAAGACGGCACGTCAGAATTCTTAGACGCATACTCTCGCGGTGAGTTAAACCTGATTTGTCTGCGAACATCATGCTAAAAACGGATTGCAGCGCTTGATCGCAAAGCATTTCCATCTTCGCTGCCAGACTTACGATGTGGTCGAGAGACCAACGCAGCAGAAATCTGGTTTCGCCAACCTTCCTGGGAGAAACCACGCGTTCCGAATGTGGACTGGGTCAAGCCGGCGCTTCTTTCTCCGTTCTTATGATGGCCCTTCAGTCCAGTCGGTGTTTATTTAGTTTCGATAGCTTCACTGTTCACTATCACTATGTCTCCCTTCATTCTTCACCTTGTTACAAATAACTCTATGTAAAATGCACCGGTCTATTGGTTTCCTTTTTGGTTCACATAATACATCTTTTATTCACTGTTTGTTCCATATCTCCTAGGACCCAGGCGGTAGCTACTATCCCTTCCACTGCAATCGGCACCCCACAGAAGTCGGCAGTCACGCTTTTTCGCAGGGTTTGGTGTAACGGAATGTGACTACTTGTAACAAAAGCGTAACGTTTTCCTGCCAAAATGTGTGACCTGCCGACTTCCCTGGGGTGCCGATTGCACCGGAAGGGATAGTATAGTGGAATTGGCATGGGTATTCAAAGGTCTGAGTTTATAGTTGTAGCTGATTTCAGCAGATTGAGTACGCCACAAGTTGCTACTCAAAGCGCGCTATCCGAACGTTGACAAAGTACTAAAGGAAGGGGTCTCCGCACCAACATTTTTTTCCTCTTCGAACCCAAATTTCTACGATCACGAAGCGAGGCTCCTTCCACAGAATCGACCCGACGCGAAGACTGTACTTGGGTTCATGGCCCTCTTGATCAGTACAAGGAGTCGAATGAATTCTAGCTTTCCGAGCGTAGTTCAGCTTGAAGTGGTCGATCTGTATGTACAGACTTGTCGCAGGTTTCTGCATGGTAAGTGGGTGCATGAATGCTACCAGGTTAACGTATGTAGCCGGCCGTTCCAAAGTTTTTGCCGAATCCCGATGCTAGTACACCTCAACATTTTTGAAAGCGTTCAAATAGTAAGCACTGTATCAGACTGATAACCATCTCACCACTGGCCAGTTATGCTAATCTGCAAACTGCAATCCGGCCTTAACCCGGACAGCCTTCAACATTCAATATGAGCCCCATACTCTACGTCCTGAAGGTATCAACGCACAATTCAGCCCCAATCTCTCAAATGTCATCCACACGCCCGAGCCCTCGATCTTCTCGTCGCTGATATTGACACTGGTTGAGATCTTCGACAGTGGCAGTATTTAAGTGAGGACAGTTGGCCCTCCAGTTAACGCTGGATATCACCTGATCAATTTATCTGACTATGACGGTCCTGACGGTATGGTTATCACTATAAATGTATGTCTGAGCCTTTGGCAACGTAGTCTCGCATACACATATATGCAATAAGCAACACTTCGTAGTCGATGAGGGCGTGTCCAGATTTTGGAACTGCAAGACTGTGGCACTTGGAGGACAAATGGTGGTCGACTAAAGCTCAAGCAGCAGCTAGAGCCTAGAGCCTGAGGAGGTTGTTGTATCATGCATTTCAAGTATTTGTGACTATTTGTCATGTGCCACGTAAGGAGTTTCGGTTTGCATTAAGTCCTGCCAAATCACAAACTTCTTCTTCACTTGTCCGCTCCTGGACTTTAAGCTACGATGAGCGGTTGTAAGCCTCAAACAGAGCGTCTGTTAGTTGACTGTTACTGACTTTAGTTGCATACAGTTCGGTTTCTGAATCTCGTCCGACCATTCCTTCCACTCCTGCCAGAGGTTTCTTCACCTGATCGCAAAGTATGTCCCATACATGCGTCTGTAGGTCATAACATGCAAAACTCACCAGCTTCCTTCATTTTTAGGTTCCTTTCAACCAAAAACTGCTATGGACCGCTGTTACACTCCTCATTTTCTTGGTCTGCTCTCAAGTACCATTATATGGCATCATGTCTTCAGATTCGTCTGATCCTCTCTACTGGATGCGTGTCATCCTCGCTTCCAACCGTGGAACCCTCATGGAGCTCGGTATAAGTCCTATTGTTACATCCGGAATGATCATGCAACTATTGGCTGGCGCAAATTTGATCGAAGTCGACTTCAGCTTGAAGGAAGACCGGGCACTGTTTAGCGGTGCACAAAAATGTACGTGTCACTTGGCAACTTGCAAACCTTACTGACGGATGTTTGTTTCAGTGTTCGCTTTGATCATTTCACTTGGTCACGCTACCGTATACGTCTTGACGGGTCTTTACGGGCAACCAAGTGATCTCGGTGCCGGTGTTTGTCTTCTGCTCATCATTCAGCTTGTCGCTGCCGCCCTCATCGTTATTCTCCTCGATGAGCTTCTCCAGAAGGGCTACGGTCTTGGGTCCGGTATCTCCCTTTTCATCGCGACCAACATCTGCGAATCCATCATCTGGAAGGCCTTCTCACCTACAACTGTAAACACCGGTCGTGGCCCTGAGTTTGAAGGTGCCATCGTCGCGCTCTTCCACCTACTCTTCACGTGGAATGACAAGGGACGTGCTCTCCGCGAGGCGTTCTGGCGTGACAGACTCCCGAACATTATGAATCTCCTTGCGACTGTCATCGTGTTTGCCGCTGTCATCTATATGCAAGGCTTCCGCATTGAGATCCCCGTCAAGAGCAACAGATTCCGCGGTCAGCGCGGCAGCTACCCCGTCAAGCTGTTCTACACTAGCAACATGCCCATCATGCTCCAGAGCGCACTTGTATCAAACGTGTTCATTGTGTCACAAATGCTCGCAACGCGCTTCCCCTCTAACATCTTGGTCAAGATTCTTGGCATCTGGGAGGTTGGTTATTCCATGACTTGATGGTTTTAATTGTCACTAAAAGTATATCACAGCCTCTGGAGGACTCTCCCCAACTTCGCGCCGTAGGTGGTCTTGCATACTATATGTCACCCCCACACACCATCAAAGAAGCTTTCCTGGACCCAATCCACACATCCCTCTACATCACATTCGTAGTTTCTGCTTGCGCACTCTTCTCAAAAACCTGGATCGAAGTGTCTGGCAGTGGCCCACGCGAGATCGCTAAACAGCTCAAGGACCAACAAATGGTCATGGCTGGTCATCGTGAGGGTTCAATGTACAAGGAACTGAAGCGCGTTATTCCTACCGCTGCTGCATTCGGAGGCGCTATTCTGGGCTTGCTTTCTGTTGCTGCTGATCTCATGGGCGCTATCGGCAGTGGAACGGGTATTCTGATGGCTGTTACAATCATCTACAGTTGTGAGTACTTTTATCCTCCCCGAAAAGAACGTTCGCACTGACTGACGTACGCCTTGCGTTTCAGACTGGGAGATTGGTATCAAGGAGAGTGGAGGATCCGAAATGGCAGCGCTGAGCGACCTTATGTAGATACTGGAAGTGTAGCCGTTGTTGAGTCTACTTGAATACATGGACCTGATTCAGAACCTCACTGAGTGATGTTCATTGTCTCGACGACTCATTCCACAGCTGGAACATGGTATTGATGGAGCAGAAGCACCTGCGCCCACCGCACTCAAGTCTGCATGTCTGGTTTGGTACAAAGTAAATCACACCACGGGTTTGAGTGAATTGTCGAAACGAAGTAAGGCCGCCTTCCTGCCTGGAATCCATTAATAAAACAGTGACGCTCGATCAGAGCGGTTGAATTTGTCCCTTAGAAAACCAGAATCGATGTCAATGAGAGCCCTCTCTATTTCAAGTCTATATCGCAACTCCCTCGTGCGAGATCTCTGGTGTGGCCATTTTCTTCCGTTTGACTCTTGGGCACGGTAAGTCGGACCAAGAGGACCATAAACTAAAGTGCAATCTTCACGTCGGGTCGGTTCTGCGGGATACAACTATAAACTCAATCCTTTGAATACCTATGGCGATTTTATTACCGCCTGGGAGATATGGAACAAATAATGAATTGATACTGAGAGATGTATGCGAACCAAAAAAGGGAACGAAGGGACAGGTGCATTTTACATGAGATTATTTGTAAGAAGGAAGGGAGACGTAGTGACAGTGAACGGTGAGGCTATCGAAACGAAATGAGCACCGACTGGACTGAAGAGCCATCATAAGGAAGAAAAAAGCGTCGGATTGACCCAGTCCACATCCGGAACGCGCGATTCCTCCCAGGAAGGTTGGGGAAACCAGATCTCTGCTGTGCTGGTGTCTTGACCACGTTGTAAGTCTAGCAGCAAAGATCGAACTTCTTTGCGCTCAAGCGCTGCAATTCGTTTTTAGCATGATGTTCGCAAACGAATCAGGTTTAACTCACCGCGAGAGTATGCGTCTAAGAATTCTGACGTGCCGTCTTTGGACAAAAACGATCTATGATTCACAACCTCAGCAAATCCAAACCGCGATGACGGGATGGGTTGCAGCAGCTACCGCGGTGAAGGTGAGTGTGAGTACTGGTGCCGGAAAACGAACAAGACAAAAGCTTACCCCAGAGATCAAATCCGTAGTGTTTGGACCCAAATCTTCGAAGGCAGGGAATTGCTTGGATGGTTCGTCGCGGCTGGAGCACCAAGAAACATAGGAAAATATGTCGTCCTCTGTAACAAAGAGTGACTGACGAGATGATATCAGTAAGATAGCAGCAAAGGAAGACTCGAACGTGCCTTGTGCTTCTTCGAAACGAGCTCATAGATGACGCAGCCTAACGACCACCAGTCTACGGGTGCTCCGTACTCCGAAGGACGGGGGTCGGTTAAGTTGCGCAAAACCTCCGGTGCTATGGTGTGCGTCGTTCCCATCGCATCAGCAGAATAATTTCGCTGTCGGTCCAAGGGTCCTTCATCTTTGTTCACATAACTTAAGCCAAAGTCGGTGATGCGCACGTTCTCTCGAACGTCGATCAGGATGTTTCCAGCTTTGATGTCTCTGTGGATGATCCCTATCTCATGCAGAGCGTTGATCCCGAGAGTCTTCGAAGTCGGAGGAGACGTGAGACGTGACATGTCGAAGACCAGGAAAGACGACTGCTTACCATTTGCACAGCCCACCTGAGAGCATTGCGGGAGCAGTACGAAGGACGACGTTTCAGATAAATACACAGGTCGTTCGCCATCAGGTCCTAGAGACATCCGATGGAGTCAGATGACTGAAACGGGTCGCAGGGGAGGAGGACGCACCATTGCAAAACATATTTTATCTTTTGTCTGGAACGACATCTCGAACCCCATGAGAAATCTAGCCGCGGGACACGGCAACGCGCATGAAAGGCGCTTGTACGCTTCGAGTTCGTCCAGAATAATCTCTTTCGTGTGTTTGTGCTCAAGACGGTCCTTTGAAAAGACCTTGAGACACAACAAGCGATTCGGCGTTACGTCTTCAGCTCCCATCGCCACAGCGTACGCGCCCTGGCCCAACTTGCGCCAAACACGAAAGGGGCCATACGTGCATGACACCGGTGTAGGTTGGACCACCTCTGCTGGGCTGAGGTGCGTGAAGGTGAAACCGTGAGCTGCTGGAGGGTCGGCTGGAGGGTCGGCCGGCTCCGAGGCAGAAGGGTGTTGAAGATCGGGGAGCTCTGAGCGAGGATTCGCACTGCCAGCATCGACAATGGTAGACTGTACGGCGGGTGCGTTGAATGCAGCGCTAGAAGGTTCAGAAGAAGAAGATTGAGCTATCGACATTTCAGCGACCTTGGCCGACAGATAATGATGAGGAGAAGGGTACGGAAATGCGAAGAAGCGATTCAACGAGGGTATTTAAGAGTTTCTTGGTAGGACCACAACGCGCTTTAAATATTATCAATGAGTTGTAGAGCGTCGATTTGTGAATTGTCTGGAAACAACCACAGGGTAATCATGGCGACGAGCCACTATCGATCACGACGGGGGAGATCATTGAGATGTACGCTGTGGAACAATCAAAACACGTTGCGACCACAGTTGAGCACCAAGCATCGGCGCACATCCCTGCCAACTGCCGAGTGGTCAATAACACTCGCGATATCAAAACAATGCGATGCCGCAGAAATTCCAAGTCTAGAATGCGAGCGGTCTTAGCACCGAACATTCTAGTCAAACGCTGACCGCTGCGAAGCATACTGTTACAGGTGTTTTACTTCTTCTGAATATTTATTAATCAGCGTCGCAGGTCATCCAGAATGGATACTCTTGTCATGTCGGCCAGAGAGTGATAAGATGATCTAAAACGACTCTTGATCTGCGTCTGCGTACGAAATCGCCTCATGGTTTGAGGCGTGGTCGTGACTTCTGCCGCTGCTGTCTGTGTAGGAACCTGTGCAAAATTCTCGATGTGCAGAATAAACAATTCAATAAATTGGAAACAAACTTATTGAATTGTTTTGTTTGTCGTCTTCAGGTTGTTCAGATTTTCTTCCGCCTAAGTATGCATCATCATCATTCCTGTTCAACTGTCTGCTTGTTTTACAGGCATACACAGTGATGAGGGGGACAAGGATAAGCGGCGCTGGACTCACCAACTTTCTCTTATTGTGAATGTCAGAGATCTGGCCAGTCTGGGGCCAGTCTGGGGTCAAAAGTCTGGGGCGGAGTCTGGGGCCACAGTCTGGGGCGTTCGGCAAACGCGGCTGACCCGGGCTGACCCGAGCTGAGTTTGAATTGTTTTTGTCACGTGTTTGCTTTGTGACAATTCCAAAGCTGCCCGCCATCGCGCCTGCTGTCAGCAGTAGTGTGCCCGTCGTAGATGGCTGCCGACGCACCCGCCACTCTACCCACCACATGCAGTTGGCATGCTGTGTTCATTCTCTGACCAAAATGGACTATATCATGGTCGCTCATCGCCCATCTCTCCCGCCTGTCCTTCCTCCTTGCCCAACTTGTCTCTTATCCGCCCCCGCCCACATATTCTCCTCTCACTTCCTCTGCACTGCTCATTATCATGTCTTCCTTGCAACAGGCAGATGTTGCGTTTCTGGCCAGATTGTCTCTGCGCGAATCTGCAGTTGGCCTTGTCACCGATTGCACGAACTGTGGGGGTACAGTTCCAATCACCATATGTCAGAGCGATGTAAATGGGAACTCGGGGAAGCCCATGGCCAGGGTGCGTTATCCGCATGACTTATTGACCTTCATTAACCTTTCTTCCCAGCATCAATCATGTTCCTTCTTTCGCTGGTTCCCTCAACTTTTATTGCATCCAAACGTCATGGCCCTCCTCCCATCATCAAGTCGTTCCCCGAGTCTCACCAGTTCTCAGCTGGCACCTTCTACGTTTACGGGCGGCACTAGTGCTACTTCCGCCACTCAGTTCCCTTCGACGCAACCTCTTGGCTCAACTGGCAACGGCAAGAAGTCACGCAAGTGAGGCATCAAATGCAATGGTGCCTTTTGCCAACGAGTGAGTGCGTTGCGTTGCCCGCATGGGAAGTGCCTCACCCATTGTATCGAGGAGGCGGGAGGATGTCCAGTGCATCTCACTGAGACAGATAACCAGCAGCAGCCCCCCATCGCGCAGCAGGAGTGGAACTGGGACTATGATCAGGAGGACACTCTTACGCTCCCTGCTGAGGATGCTCTCACACTATCTGCTGAGCCCTACTGGCATGATGATGGAGTTCAGACGAACGACGGGCTGAGAGCACTTCAACGTGCACTTCAGTCCGTTGGCGCTGGACGCCCTGCTGTATTCCCATCATTTCATGATATTTTGATAGCTCCTGCACCATTGCAACCACCCGCGCTGACACCACAACCACCCGCGCCCACCACACAACCACCCGCGCCCACCACACAACCGCCCACGCTCACCACACAACCACCCGCGCCATCCCAGCGGTCTCATCTGTTCCCACACGCCTTCCCGGTCCATAAGCTGTTGAAGCCTCCGTGTGTAACTGATCAACTTGACCCAATGTGGACAGGTGACCTCAATGCGCATGCACGAGAGGAAATTGAGAGCAAGAGGGTGTCAGAACGTCGCAAGGAGATGGAACGAGCTTCCAGGCAGCACTTTGTCTTGTACTGGTTTGATGCTGTGAGTTGCTGCTTGGTTTCCCTCTCGCCACAATACTTACTGCTGATGTGTAGGACAACACGCCAGTATCGATGCAGTGGGCTGTTCACTGCCCATACACTTGTTTTATGTAGCACTTACTATTCATTGCTTTGTCTATATCCCACTGGCCATCACAGATTCCTCGCAGTTCAGGCAGTTAAAGAATTTCTTCAAGGGCATTTCTATCACGCTCGTCCACCGGTGAGTTCGAGAACATGACAGTCATAGTGCTGCCGCAGTCCGGTTCCGAACCTCGGTTCGAACCTGAACCTTTCCGAACCGGACGCATGGTCCGGTCCAAGGTTCGGCCAAGACTCAGAACCGAACCTTTCCAGAGGTTCGGGGTTCGGGCTGGTAGTGAATAGGTTCGAACGGGTTCGAACCTCTCAATTTTTGTAGGCTTTACACTTTTTTAAATGCTGATACAAGTCGTTGCCCACCGTTCGCAGTTCGTGAGTCTGTCGGTCTTCGTTCGAGCTCAAGCTATGCCGCAAGTTACCGTGTTCATCCTCGAGGGTCTCAGGTGGAGACCTGTCACTATTGGAGGTACGTCTTATTTCAGTTGTGATGATGCGATAATGGACGACCACCTTTCACTACAGGCTTTGCGCATCGCGCGACGATGCAGGTCGTGTGCGCGGTGATCACTGATCTCAAGTTTTTCACTTTTGGTTTTGGCCGCCGGTGAGTGGTATCGTTCATCTTTCCACCTTTTCTCATGCCTTACTTGAAAATACTAGAGTGTGTCCTGGTCAACATGTCGCGAATCGGTCCATCTTCATCAATACGGCTATTATTCTCTGGGCTTTCCGCCTTTCAGAGAATCCTGCAGCGAAGATTGACACGCTTGCAATCTCGAATACTGCAACCGTACATGCTGCTGCGTTTGAGATATGTTTAGAGAAGAGGATCGATGAGAATGTGATCAGGGAACTATGTGCACCGGGCAAATAAAATGTGTTTATTTTAGAAACTTGAATTCAATCTTTGTACAAAGAAGTTCTCCTTGCATTAGAGTCTTTTCGTTGTCTGTCCGACTCGAATTACATGACAACTCATGGTCTCGAGCCTATACAACCACAGATGGTCCAAGCTTAGTCGAACCTGGTTCGAACGCGAACCGGACCCTCCCGAACGCGTTCGGTGACGTTCGGTCCAGGGTTCGACCAAATGGCTGAACCGAACCATAGGTTCGGTTCAGCGTTCGGAAAATTTGCCCCAAGAACCGAACCGAACCGGACTTCGGCAGCACTAGACAGTCAAGGTAGGTATTCATATGAATCACATCCATAACAGCTTCTCTCAATGTGAGTGCAGAGCTACTTCAAGAAAGCTTAGTTTTCTCCTCTATCCAACTTGAATGCCGATGATGTTCGGATAGTTTAGTGGGCAAAGGATTGGATCAGTGCGCCTTCAAAACCACACCGATCCAATCCTTTGCCCACTAAACTATCTGAACATCATCTTCTATCTAACTTGAATGCCGATGATGTTTGGATAGTTTAGTGGGCACTTCACCCACTGAACTATCTGAACATCATCGGCATTCAAGAGCTAGCCACACCTATACTGTAGGGTATTAAAGATGTTTTCTTCGGTCAACAAAGAAAACATCTTTAATACCCTACAGTATAGGTGTCAAAACCACACTGATCCAAAGTTGTTTACTCCAAAAAGGGGTCGTAAACAACTTTGGATCAGTGTGGTTTTGAAGGCGCTTGAAGACCTGCTACACCTATACCGCAGGGTATTAAAGATGTTTTCTTCGGTCAACAAAGAAAACATCTTTAATACCCTACAGTATAGGTGTAGCTAGCTCTTGAATGTCGATGATGTTCAGATAGTTCAGTGGGTGAAGTGCCCACTAAACTATCCAAACATCATCACCCTACAGTATAGGATAGGTGTAGCTAGCTACATTTTCTTTGTTAACGCGAAGTAGCTATTATGAATGTGATTCGTATGAAAACCTACCTTGACCGTTGTGTTCTCAAACTCAAAGTTTCCAGCATTGGTACTAACAAAAACATCATATATTGGGAGGTAACTAAACAGGTGGATGGTGAGGAAGTTTGCCTTGTATGCGAAGGGTAGCAACAGTCATACGGTTTCGACGGAGGATCATTTCATCGAGAAAAAAGTCATACTTAACTGGTGTCATCTCTCGACAAATATTATGAAAACTGCCAAACCAAACATTTGTTTGCTCTGCAATTGATGAGTTGAAATAATACTTCCCATCGTCGTCGAGAAGTTCAGGGTAGGCCTTCATGTCACAGCGCTCGCGGCAGAACACATCACTGGCCTTGTGCTTTGTCTTGTGATGGAAGGCGTCCAAACACATTCCCATTCCCTCGAAGAATGCGATCTTGCGACTCTCAACCTCCTGCAACGCGTTGCAATTGGAGTCATAGATTAAGTGCTGCGGCTTACGTGCGTGTGGGAGGGAGAACATTTTCTCGACCATAATCTTGAGGAAATAAGTTAGCATAGTCCTTCCGACAGAAAAAAAAACTTACCAGCACATTCGAGACAGCCTCATGGTGGTACATTGTACCACAACCAGAGATAATGCCACAGGGACGAACAATGAGCTGTTCATTGTTAGTACGCTGACGCCGGAATGTAGCCTTGATCTTGGACGGGATATCCTTAGCACTGCACCCATTGACGTCCGAGACTCCAGTAGATGTAGTTGTAGGCGCCTGACGGAAACGCACAGCACCAGACGCCTTGTCGTACTCATACCATTCTTCGACATCTTGAAGGGGGACATCTTCTTCTGCGTAAGTCACGATCGGGGGTGAAACGTTATGTGTAGCGACAGAATCATTCAACTTTGCGAGTCTCTGGCGCTGTGTCCTGCTCTTGCCGCTACGCAAGGATTCAACATTGGCGGCCTCCATTCGAAGATGAACCGGATCATCACAAGATTTGTGCGTCTTCCCATCAGCACCAACCGGCATCACTGGCTGACTACAGCCGTCCACGGCACAGACCGACTTGAGGTGGCGATGTTCTGCTGTGCAGAAACGATGACGGTTGCTCTCGAGAGCATTTTTACACCGTGCGACAGCACAACATGGCCATCCGACTGTCACACCATCAGTCACGATGACTTCTGTGTGGCGAAGCGTTCCATCTGGCATCTCCAATATCCGCATGCATCCGAAGCAAGTGTGAGGGAGCTCCTCCTGACCCTGGAGGACGATACAAGCGTTGCGCGCATACATGGCCTCCGTAAGGCGATTTTTCTGGTTGCCGTCATGCGGCACTACCAGGCGTTCTCCTCGTAGTTGATGGTCGTCGAGTAGGGCGAGTATTACAAAGCAGTCCCAGACTTGCTCCGTCATGATCACGCTCCCAAATTGCCAGTGGTCGGCGTCATCGTGAGTGCGACGTGTCTGGGCAATACCATACAAATGACCGCAGTTCGTCGCTGAAACACTGTAACATAATATCAGTAAATAATTGCACGAGAGGCAAAAACAATAGACACTTACGCGATCTGCATGAGGTCCATCCAATGCATGGCAAGGTTGAGCTCAACAAATTGGTGATCCAAGACTTGAATGTATTGCGGGATACCGTTGTAGTAGGTTCGGAGTTGGTCCTTGACGCTGTAGTTGAAGTGGTAGTTCGTGTTGCATTCTCCATGGACATCAAGGGTCAGTGAAGCTATCATACGAGCATAAGCGCAACGAACATACCTCGACACTTCACATGCACGGTCCAGCCAGGCCTTGCACCCTCGCTATGAGTAAATACGACGACCCGGCGCTGTTCCTCTTTCTTCAGCAGTGTGCCATGCTGCCATGCGGTGCAGTCGGGATTCGTGCAAGTCTTGACTGGCAGATATAGCGTGCATTCCACTATCAGTTACATTAGTATGACAATCATGATGCGATGTGTGGGCACAGTACCAAGTCCTAGTTTATGACCATGGAGCTTGAACGCAACTTCATCCTCAGCGCTTGTCTCAGCACTCATTGGTAGTTCCCAGATGAGATCCTTCACAATGTACCATAGATTATTGACTGTATCGGATGACATGTCGAGTGACGTAGCGAGAAACATCGTAACACTGTCTGGAAGCACATCGGGTACATGGGAGACAGAGATGCGCTGAGGTTGGGGTTGAAGGATATCATTCTTGAGGAGGCTAGCACGTCGGATGAAACTGGCAAGGTCGACATAAGTAATGCAAGCGAGACTGGGTTGCTTTTTTATTGCATTGAACAGGTGCCCGACATCCATGATGGGCACTGATGTCACTGAGCGCACGGTGCGGCCTGCAAGAGGTCACAAAGGGCGGGTCACAATGGTATTGCAAACGTGACCAGATATGATTAGAACTCCGAATCAAGCTCCGCCCGTGTCAGCCGCTGTCAGCCGCAGCCCCAGACTTTGGCCCCAGACTTTGCCCCAGACTGCCCAGACTGGCCGTTTCCTGGATGTCCTCCTCTTATTAGTATGACTTTCTCAGGCTTTCCGATTAAAAGCCGCTTTCGCATCCGATAAACAATTCTAGAGATGCTCACAATTGTTTCCTCTTGTAGTTCCCACGGCTACCATGTCAAGGACTCATCGGTTCTCTGATGATGATAGTATGATTCATATGAATCAAGTCCTGAAGGCCCGAAGACCATGGAAGTGCCCATGCACGTATACGCATGATATTGTCTTGCACTCGTTCAACTGTCTACTAGTAACTGCCTCTCCTGTTCACCTGGGGTGCCTAGAAACCGGCTGCTAGTGCAACTTCTACGGAACACATTGTCGACGACGAACTAGAGTAAGCACTATCCTCATATTTTTAGAGAAACCACCATCTCGAGAAAATTCGTCAGCCCGCCCCTACTCTTCACTCAAGTGTGTGCCAAACAGAATTTGACTGTGGTATGGAATCCAGACACACCGGAAGTTGGAAGCGTCTTGGCCGCACTTGCAGTATACGAGCAACGAAATCATTTACACTACTAAGTAGTAAGTACTTTACACTAAGTACTTCCCCATGATCGCGATAGTCTTCCTCAAGGTATTTTATTCATGTCTATCCAAGACATCACTTTACCATACGGACATCAACATCTAAAGTGCCTGAAAACGCTTCACTTGCTGCGAGGTTTCATCTCGGATCATGCACTTGCTTGTCAAGGTTGTATGACTGGTGGTGGGACTTCATTTAATGATTTCCAGCACATGTCGGGCTAGATAAGCACTGCCCTTGGCACCTAAGGGTCGGACAACCCAATAAGCAGTTATAACTTCAGGTGACGTAGGGTGACCCCTCAAGTTGTCAGTCGTCTGATCATTGATATATTTACGACCTTTCCATTGGACCTTGTCGCTGGTGGTGAATTATCCAGTACAGTGATTCGCGATATCAAATGGAAAAGTGGGGCGTCACAAGCTCGACATGATGTCGTACTGGGCACAGCAAGCCACCAACCCTTAGGAGTCAACGTGACTTAGCCTGCCCTATAAGTATTGTACGTTGGCGACCATCAGCCCATCAGCCCATCCCTCATTCTTTGAATTTCCAATTCGATCTTCACAGTTTCATGTCAGAACTAGAAGCATCTCTCTATGCTCTTTACTGTAATAACAGCATGTCAGGTTCGTTAGTTTCGTCGGAAATGAACCATTGCGCTGAATTTCGTCGTTTTCCAGTTGCTGTCATCACCATGATATCTTATGAATACAGTTAGTAGCTTCCATGAATCTTGCAGTGCTGTTGACCGTAATGTTATCTAGTACTTTAATTCGAGAAAGAGGTGCCGAGAAACTCGTTTTGTCTTCGTCGAGTACTCATGATCATATCATCATAGGTCAAGTTTGTTTGGGTTAGAGTTGATCCTCAATGATATCAAGATGCTTCATGGTTTCCCATTCTTGTTGCCATGTCAGGTTCGATACTTCGGTATTTTGGTTGTAATGTACGTCGCGGTTGTTGTATCCTCCGCATGATACATTGTATGTTGACGCTGACTTCTAGGTTTTCCGCCACCTGTACGTGACGTAGTGCCAACTGCACCGTAATTAACTGACTAGCGCTAGGGGGAGGTCTAGTTTATATACCTGAGGCAGTGAGTCTGTCTTTCTTTAGAGAGTTCTAGGTCGACTAAGATTCAGCCGTACGTCAGAATTTCGTTTGACAGCTGATCTGTTGTTGACCGCTTGTTTAGTTGTGAGTATATCGCATTCAACTGAAACTAGCTTCGCTCATCGTGAAATTGAAATAGGTTATGGCATGTTTCTGTTTATGCAATGGGGTTTCTCTGCATACTCTTGCTTGACGAAAGGTAAGTCACGGTCATGTGCATACATCCTTGCTCCTTTACGCGTACCCATTTTGTATTTGCAGTCATTCTCATCTGGCGTCTATATGCCCTATACAACCAATCCAAGCCCATACTTTATGTTCTAATGGGCTTGCTTATACCTATCGTCGCGCTCTATATAGCGGTGGATGTATTTTTGTGGAGTCGACCCTCAGCTATCTCAAGTGAATTTCTACTTCAATCGAATTCTGTGCAAGCTGATGCCTTGGTGCGTAGTACAAGAAATAACAATCACCCCAAACATCAAGTACTGCACGGCTTTCTTCCACGTCGGACCCATGCTAGCGATATATACTTCCATCCTCGTCATATGCTATGATATTTTGCTGGTTGTTCTCGCCATTACCCTCCTGGTGAAGCACCTGAAAGAACGGAAGGAGCTTAAAATGAAACCAAACACCTATATAGTCTTGATCATCCGATACCATGTCATATACTTTGTCCTGTAAGTTCCCCTTCGTTTGTTGTGCTGTCTGAAAGCATTCATTGAGTCGTGCTAGGAATCTGGCAGTTCAAATCTTCTCAGCGGTATTGTGGGCCAACCTTTCGGTATGATCTCCCATGATTCTAAAGAGGTCTGCTCTAATGCAGGCATGCACAGACGGAAGTGATGAATATCATACCCTTGTTCTCCGATACTGCGCTATTTATTATCGTGCCACGTCTTATCATTAGCATTTGGGAAGGTGCCATCCCTCCACTCGTCGGTGGTACACCATCCTCGTCACCATCGTTTCGCCCTCGCTACTAGCCTCTCCATCACCAATAACCTTCACCTCATCTCCAAAGTCGAGATCATGATCGACTTCAATTTAGCAGCCTTGCCGCTGTCTTCATCTTCCTCTTTGTCACACACCTCCTCACAGTTCCCCTGGCCGGCACCTCCTTGCAGCCCCCCAGCGCTTGTTCAACGCAAACCTTCTCCTTTGAGCGAACCTCCGACGTCTCCTCCACCTGCTGGACACAAAACGAAACGAGCAGCACCGGTGCCTCGAGCTGGTGCCCACGGTCGTGAGAGTTCTAGTAGTTATTTGTAGTGTAAGATTTTTTTGCAATCATCACGGTTCGAGAGTTCGAACGCGTTCTGAACTAGGTTCGGAACTGTTCACTCAGTTGTACCTCACTGCTTTGCACTACCATTAACTCAATGCATCACATTGTTATATCCGAACGCAATTGCAATGTCTGATGAATCTGAGCGAAATTCAAATGCATTATGTACATAGCAATGTTTGATATATCGGTACACTAGCCTAATGCCAGACTATAGTCATATGGCAGTCGCAATGTCAGAATTGAGTTTCCTAACATTGCCTTACATTGAGACCTTGCGCCAGATACATATGGCAGTCATGGTGGCTCCGACATGGTAATATATGACCATCTCTGGATTTGGTAATTTTGGTGATGAAGTTATTTATCCCGTCGTCAACAAACTTTTTCGCCTGACCAGTTGAAAGTTCTAAACTGCTGTTGTCGCCGCAGAGAAAGAGCTCGCGAATGGGTAGGATCGGAAAAACCTGTATATTATTCTTGATACACGAATCTCACGAATCTCAAGCCGATGTCCCTAGCTGTGGAGTCGGTCGCTCAAGATGGTCTCCGTGAAAGTAATATTGACATTTATATAAAGCGTGTAATTTACGTTGAGCAGAAAGATTAAAGTAATGCATGAACTACATTTTTAAACGACGGCATGACAGAGACATGAAATGACAGCGTTTAAAGACAATAACAGGGTTGATGATTCCGAAATGAGCACCGACTGGACTGAAGAGCCATCATAAGGAAGAAAAAAGTGTCGGCTTGACCCAGTCCACATCCGGAACGTGCGATTCCTCCCAGGAAGGTTGGGGAAACCAGATCTCTGCTGTGCTGGTGTCTTGACCACGTTGTAAGTCTGGCAGCGAAGATGGAACTTCTTGGCGCTCAAGCGCTGCAATCCGTTTTTAGCATGATGTTCGTAGACGAATCAGGTTTAACTCACCGCGAGAGTATGCGTTGGTGAATTCTGACGTGCCGGCTTTGGACAAAAACGATCTATGATTCACGACTTCAGCGAACCCAAACCGCGATGACGGGTCGGGTTGCAGCAGCTACCACGGTGAAGATGAGTGATGGTGCCGGAAAACGAATAAGACAAAAGTTTACCCCAGAGATCAAATTCGCGATGTTATTTTTACCCAAATCTTCGAGGGCAGGGAATTGCTTGGATGGTTCGTCGCGGCTGGAGCACCAAGAAACATAGGAAAATATGTCGTCCCCTGTAACAAAGAGTGACTAACAAGATGATATCAGTAAGATAGCAACGAAAGAAGACTCGAAACGTGCCTTGTGCTTCTTCGAAACGAGCTGGTAGATGACGCAGCCTAACGACCACCAGTCTGCGGGTGCTCCGTACTCCCAAGGACGGGGGTCAGATCTGTTGCGCAGGACCTCCGGTGCCATGGTGTGTGTCGTTCCCATCGCATCCGCAGAATAATTTCGCTGTCGGTCCAAGGGTCCTTCGTCTTTGTCTACATAACTCAAGCCAAAGTCGGTGATGCGCACGTTCTCTCGAACGTCAATCAGTATGTTGGCGGCTTTGATGTCTCGGTGGATGATCCCTATCTCATGCAGAGCATTAATTCCAAGGGTCTTCGAAGTCGGAAAAGGCGTGAGACGTGAGATGTTGAAGACCAGGAAAGACGACCGCTTACCATTTGCGCCACCCACCTGCGAGAATTGAGGGAGCAGTACAAAGGACGACGTTTCAAATTAACATACAGGTCGCTCGCCATCAGGTCCTAGAGACATCCGATGGAGTCAGATGACTGAAACGGGTCGCAGGGGAGGAGGACGCACCATTGCAAAACATATTTTATCATTGGTCTGGAACGACATCTCGAGCCCCATGAGGAATCTAGCCGCGGGACACGGCAACGCGCATGAAAGGCGCTTGTACGCTTCGAGTTCGTCTAGAATAGCCTCCTTCGCGTATTTGTGCTCAAAGCGGTCCTTTGAAAACACCTTGAGACACAACAAGCGATTCGACGTTACGTCTTGAGCTCCCATCGCTACAGCGAACCCGCCCTGGCCCAACTTGCGCCAAACACGAAAGGGGCCATACGTGCATGACACCGGTGTAGGTTGGACCACCTCTGCTGGGCTGAGGTGCGTGAAGGTGAAACCGTGAGCTGCTGGAGGGTCGGCTGGAGGGTCGGCCGGCTCCGAGGCAGAAGGGTGTTGAAGATCGGGGAGCTCTGAGCGAGGATTCGCACTGCCAGCATCGACAATGGTAGAATGTACGGCGGGTGCATTTAATGCAGCGCTAGAAGGTTCAGAAGAAGAAGATTGAGTTATCGACATTTCAGCTTGCCCGACAGATAATGATGAGGAGAAGGGTACGGAAATGCGAAGAAGCGATTCAACGAGCGTATTTAAGAGTTCATTGGTAGGACCACAACGCGCTTTAAATAATATCAATGAGTTGTGGAGCGTTGATTTGTGGATTGTCTGGAAACACCCACAGGGTAATCATGGCGACTAGCCACTATCGATCACGACGGGGGAGATCATTGAGATGTACGCTGTGGAACAATCAAAACACGTTGCGACCACAGTTGAGCACCAAGCGTCGGCGCACATCCCTGCCAACTGCCGAGTGGTCAATAACACTCGCGATATCAAAACAATGCGATGCCGCAGAAATGTGGATGTCCAAGTCTAGAATGCGAGCGGTCTTAGCACCGAACATTCTAGTCAAACGCTGACCGCTGCGAAGCATACTGTTACAGGTGTTTTACTTCTTCTGAATATTTATTAATCAGCGTCGCAGGTCATCCAGAATGGATACTCTTGTCATGTCGGCCATGGAGTGATAAGATGATCTAAAACGACTCTTGATCTGCGTCTGCGTACGAAATCGCCTCATGGTTTGAGGCGTGGTCGTGACTTCTGCCGCTGCTGTCTGTGTAGGAACCTGTGCAAAATTCTCGATGTGCAGAATAAACAATTCAATAAGTTGGAAACAAACTCTCAGAGAGGCTGCTGTCGACAGCAAATAGATTCCTTCGAAGCCTCACAAGCTTGTTTGTCGTCTTCAGGTTGTTCAGATCTTCTCCCGCCTAAGTAGGCATCATCATTATTCCTGTTGAACTTTGAAATCAAGTCTGCTTGTTTTACAGGCATACACAGTGATGGGGACGAGAAGGGCAAGCGCTGCACTCACCCACTATCTCTTATTTATTCATCCTGTCATCAACAAAATTTTCCGCCTGACCAGTTGAAAGTTCTAAACTGCTGTTGTCGCCGCAGAGAAAGGGCTCGCGAATGGGTAGGATCGAAAAAACCTGTATATTATTCTCCATACACTCATCTCATGAATCTCAAGCTGATGTCCCTAGCTGTGGAGTCGGTCGCTCAAGATGGTCTCCGTGAAAGCAATATTGACATTTAAAGCGTGTAAATTTACGTTGAGCAGAAAGATCAGAGTAGTGTATGAACTACACCTTTGAACGACGGTATGACAAGCGTTTAAAGACAATAACAGGGTTGATGGTTCAAATCGTGCAAACTTGACATGTGAGGCTTGTGCGGACACGGTGCGATGGTCCCCTGGAGGTCGCGAATGCGAGTGGAGAAGTGACAGAGAGACATTAATATTGAGTTATATTTTGGTTGCGACTCGATCCAGATAGCCGGGGCCCGGAAAATACATGTGAGAGTAGTATGACACAAGTCATGTGATATGTACTGACTGAAATATGTTGTGGTGGATGCAATATCATCGGCCGACTAGCTCAGTTGGTTAGAGCGTCGTGCTAATAACGCGAAGGTCTTGGGTTCGACCCCCACGTTGGCCATACATTTTTGCTCATCTACCAAATCGAAACCAATACGAAACCAATTAATCGCTAATACACAAAATTATACCATCGTACATCGACTCCTACATCGAGTATTCAATAAATAAATCATCGTTCTTTGGGCTTAAAAGTCCAAATCTCCATAACAGTCTTCCCCGCTCTCTTACACATAACCGCACACACACCCTTCTTATAGAGCACTTTCCACACGCTCTCGCACCGCTCACTCAGATCGCGCACCCACGCCCCAGTCTGCGTCTCAAACACCCGTACGCGGCCGTCGTTGCCGCCTGTGATGAGGAAGTTCGTGTCGAACTGGAGAGAAGTGACACTGCTGTCGTGAGCGGCGAGACGTTGAAGGGCGGTGAATGAGCGAAGGGAGAAGGTAATGACTCGGCCGTCGGAGCCGCCTGTGGCGAGGAGGTTGGTGGTGGTGCTAAGTTGGAGTTGGCAGACTAGGGCGGTGTGGCCTGTGAGTTGGGCGACACAGTTTCTGTTATGGGTGAATGGGTGAATGTGAGGGTGTCAGGAAGGGAGGGGACATACCCCGTGGTTGCGTCCCATACTCTGACGATGGTGTCCATACCCCCTGAAGCGACGAAGTTGCCAGCGATTGCGATGGAGTAGATTTGATGGCTATGGCCTCGGAGGACTCGTATGCATTCACCTGTATCGACGTCCCATATCTGCAACTCGTCAAAATCATATGCACATTGCTCTGGAAATAGGACTCACTCGACATGTAGTGTCGTAACTACCACTGACGACCTGGTTCCCACAAATGTCAAGACATCTTACGCTCGCGGTGTGGCCGTGCAGTACACGGAGCATGACCCCCTTTTGGATGTTCCATACACGGAGGGTAGAGTCCCGAGAACCTGTCACTGCGATCGGGCGGTTGTGTAGTACTCGGGCGCATCTGACAGTGGCAGTATGCCCGCGAAGGACGTAAATGCAATGTCTAAGCGCCCATAAGCACATAGCCAGAACCAGACGAACGCAGGAACATACCCAGATGTGGCATCCCAAACGCGAAGCGTCTTGTCGCAACTAGCACTGACAATGATAGAGTTTGGCTGGCCCCACCCTTCGCTCGTACAGCAGATATCGCTCGGCTTAGAAGAGTCGTTTCCAACGCTCGCTGGGGATCGCATTCGCCTGCGCCTGTCGATGCCGAGCGCTATTTTCAGGGCTGCGGGTACGACTGGATCGCCTGCGTCGTCCGGGTATCCGTCTTCATCCATGTCTCCGCGACCCCAATAACCGCCGCGGCAGACGAGATGGACTGCCCATACGCCTAGTTCGTGACCCGTGAGTGTTCGGCTGAGTACGCCTGTGATTGCGCTGAATAAATGGATCTTTGAGTTTGCTAGGCCGACAACTACCCATTCGGTATCAAGGGCTACGGATGTGACTACACCACTGTCTGGTGTTGGGATTGGCATACGGTGAGCGTGAAGGATGCTACCGCCCTTTCTCAGATTGAGCACTAGATATTTGATTAGTGAGGATATGCGTGTGGCAGGAGCGACGTACTTGTACCATAAGCGCGCCTGAAATATTGCTGATGAGAAAACTGAGTTATTGGATGTAAAAGATCATCCGAGTATGGACCCCAGTGGGATACGGAAGTAAGTTCTTGCCGTTTGAGCCGATCTCGCGCTGTGAGCCATGGATCTATTGAATTGGAAGTGAATTTATCGATCTCGTCCCAAGATTCGTCGTCTTGGTATAGATTAGTAGCAGATTTGTCTTCTGTATCTGCTCTGAAGCTGTATGTATCGCATAAGACCTTCCAGAGCCAGTCATCTGCGACGAGGTCGTGCCAGCGTTTAGAGACTTGACTTGCGCGTGCGAGAGTGCATGGGTCGTCGACATAAGATAGGATGTGGAGTGCAAGTTCTGCTGGTAGTTCTGTTAGGACATCGCGTTTGAGCATGGGGGTGATTGTTTGGGAGAGGAAGCGTAGTTCTGCTGGGGAACATTCATGCAGTATTGATATGAGGTATTGTTTACGTGAGGCGGGACCTAACAGAGTTGAGAATTCGGATGAAGGGTTGTATTGGGGTATTGGACGAGGAGAAGGAGCTGGCGTTGGGGGTGATACTATTGGCATGTTACTGGTCATGGTCAAGACATAGATTTGACACGTGACTCAACACTCTCCACTTTATTCAATTTTTTATTGTAACAAGTTAACTATGACCAAAAAGAAGACTCAAGCAAAGAAAAAGCAGGCTCAGGCTGCTGCCGCCAATGCAAATGGCATAAAGTATGGTTTAATTCGCTTCATTCACTTGCAATTGACCGCCATCTCATCCTTGATTAGCAAAAATCCACCTCCTCCCGAGCCTAGTCCTTCCTCACCCTCCATCCCCAAGCCTGAGGGCCCTTGTGCAGATGACGTAAAAGAGCAAGGTAATGTAGCCTTCAAAGCAAAACAATATACAGAAGCTATCGAGCTATATACCAAAGCTATCGGTAAAATAACTACATCTCCTTCGCAACTCACATAATAACCCCCTTCCAGATATCAAACCAACAGAACCAGCATATTTCACTAATCGCGCAGCCTCCTATATGGCTTTGAAGCGTTTCCGTCCCGCACTATCAGACTGCCAACAAGCAGCTACACTCCAATCCTCAGAACCATCATCAAAGACTCTCATCCGTCTCGCACGTTGTCAATTCGCACTCGGTTTATCAGAGCCTGCATTAACAACACTACGCTCGGTCCTCGATCTTGAACCTACAAATCTTGCTGCTGCACAACTGAGGGACAAAGTCCTCGAACTAGAAGCTCACTTGCGTACCTTTACCTCTTCCCGCACACGCAAGGAATGGGGCATGGCACGCCTTGCGTTAGATAAATGTCTACAAAGCATCGAGGCTGAGGGAGGCGAGATACCAACTCAGTGGCGGCTATGGAAAGTCGAACTCGAGCTCTCTAGAGGGAACTGGGATGCTGCCAACATTGCTGCAAAGTGAGTCTGACCCTATCACCACAGATCTCTGGACATTAACAGTCTTTCAGCGATGCTCTTCGATTAGAACCCAACTCACCAGAAGTACTCACACACCGTGGTCTCGTGCTCTTCCTCAGTGGCAAGCTATCCCAAGCACTACAACACGTGGCTTCGGCGCTTCGCCTCGATCCTGGACACGAGCCTGCCCACCGCCTGCGCAAGCGCGTAAAAGACGTAGAGCGTCTTAAGGAGGAGGGAAACACTGCCTTCAAAGGTAGCAGACTCCAAGACGCAATCGCACGATACACAGAAGCGCTCGATGTACGTCCCTTCTTACTTCAATAACTCAGGCTCATACTCATACTCCATTTCAGCGAATAGGCGAAATCGAAGAAGAAGGCAAAGGCGGACAGATCCGCGCTACCCTTCTCTCAAATCGCGCTACGACTCTCGTAAAGGTATGTCCCCTCTAACGCCTCACTCATACCACATTCTCACATCATTCTCAGCTTGACAAATACGAAGAAGCACTCCTAGACACAGAAGCTTCTCTCACACTTTACTCCACCTCCTTCAAAGCCCTCCGCACGCGCGCGCGCATCAACCTCCATCTCGAGAAATATGATGCTGCAATCGCCGATTTCAGAGCGTCGATGGAACAAGCAGAGTTTGAGGGTGTAGACGCCGATGTTAGGGCGCTGAGGAGCGAACTTAAGAAAGCGGAGGCTGCACTCAAGAGGAGTAAGACGAAGGATTATTATAACATCCTCGGTGCGTCTTTTTCTTTTCAAGAAATAGGTAATATGTATCGATTGTTACTTCCCAGGCATTGCGAGAGACTGCAACGAACTCGACATCAAGAAAGCATACAGACGCGAAAGCCTCAAACATCACCCAGACAAAGGAGGCGACGAAGAGAAATTCAAACTGGTAGTAGAAGCACACGCAGTCCTCAGCGACCCCCAACGCCGCGAACGCTATGACATGGGCGAGGACGAGGATGGACAGACGGAGGGTGGGATGGGTGGCGCTGGGGCGTTTAATACGGCTGATTTGGCCGAGATATTTAGTCAGTTTCAGGGTGGGTTTAGTGGGGGGCCGTTTGGCGGCGCAGGAGGAGGAGGAGGAGGAGGGTTTGGCGGAGGGCAAGGGGCTAGTTTCCATTTTCATTCGGGGAGGCCGCATGACTTTCATTGAGTGGTTCCATTATATGAGAATGTTTTTCGTATTGTTGGATTTCGTCGGACTTAAATTTGTGAGATATATCGCGCTAGCACTGCGAGCTCCGCGGGACTGATCAGATTTCTTGGACAAAAATATCGTTTGAGTGGCAACACTGCTTAAACTTGAATCGATAATACTCAGTGAACCTCGTACATAAAATTATAGCGAACCCCTGACCAGACTTAGAGACTCTTCGAGTTTCAAAACAAGTATGTTATGTCGTGCGAGCTTTGGCAAGAGGGACAAAAATTATGGCCAACGTGGGGATCGAACCCAAGACCTTCGCGTTATTAGCACGACGCTCTAACCAACTGAGCTAGTCGGCCGTTGGAAAGTAAATATATTTAATCAATAAGACAAAGCGGCATCCTGAATGTCAAGTCAGCGGGCCCCCTGTCAACTATTCTTAAATTCGAACCAAGTCCACAATGTCCTCCACGAAGAAATCAAGCTCACGAAACAACAGTGTCCCGGCCCTTAAACAGGGGACCTTGGCCTTTTCTGTTAAGCGCACAAATTCCCACACCACTACTAAGACGAAAGGGCCTCTACCACGACGGCCATCCCCTTTGATTGACAAGCATGCAGCTGAAGACGCAATAGACTTGGAGATAAACAACGAGCAGGACAGTGACGCTGTGCTGGAGATATCTTCAGAAGAGGAGTACTCACCAGCTTCTGTGAAGCGAAGTGGAGCTCTCAATACCACGAAAGCATCGATATCCAGTCCTGCCAAAAGGCTAAAGGATAATCCTCCTGCTCTTAAACCCGTGGGGCAACGGCCGACATTAGATGTATCGGGCAAGGCCTACCGCAAACACTATGGACACGTGCGAGAAAAGATGGGCCACCTTGAACCGAGTGAGTGAGCTATATGCGTCTCTCTATTGTTCACAAGGTTAAAGCGGGAGCATATGTTCAGTTCATTCGGAAGGGCAGAATAGAATCCATCAGATACTCCGCGTGTTTGACATGTATGTAACCTTTGGATCCAGGGAATTAGATCGATCTTTAGCTTTTTTTAGGTCCTACGAGTACGGTCCGTGTGTTGGTATGTCACGTCTTGAGCGTTGGGAGAGAGCCGCTTCGATTGGTCTCAACCCACCTGATGAGGTATGTGCATGCACACCATGACGCTTTAACATAAATGCACTCTTGCTTTGTGATCAGATTCGGCATATTCTCTTGACTGAAGAAGGAGTCGAAAAAGATGAATATTCTCAATGTGTTCTCTACGGAGAAGTGTAGTTTGAAGACTTGTTCAACTTCTCGGATGTAAGTGCCTACGTGTTCACCATCCGATAACTGGCTCATGGCTATCTCCGTAAGTCTAGTTTTTCCTACGTGTCATATCCGACTCGACTCGGATGGAGTGTTTGGGGTTATCCATGCGCGCCGCGGGCGCTTCCGGACAAGCCTGTGACACACAACAACCTCGGTCTTCCACTGCTCCATCACATCGAAGAGGGTTGTGTGTTAGAGTACTTGTTCCATACTTCTCTGTTGTACTGATAACTTGTTATATTGACATTCGTTGTGCTATCCAAGTCAGGATGATTGATCTCACGGAAGGATATTGAACATCAAGTCCAATCTCTCACCGAATGCGCTGTCACTTACGGTCTTGGATGGTACCAGCCTATTAAGAGCAATACGGGGTAATATTTTTATTCGCAGGATGGTATGTTTATCCAGATTCAAAGTTCAAGTCGGCGCCTCAGAATCGGTGTGGGCCTAGTTAATGATTAATAAACGAGTAGAACACAATGTTCAATCAGGGAAGTATTTCTGACATACTAATAAGCGTATTGTGTTGTAAAATAGTTGTCGCTAATACATGCGATGTGTCTAGGTAGCTTAGTCATCACCTGTGCTCACATAAGCTTGACGTAGTCACATGGAGTCCCTTGGTGAAATTCACTGTCGCAATTGCGTTCGAGAAGATCGCCAACAATCAATTCTTGATCGATCTGATCCTTAGTGTCATATAGCAAATGCTTTTACCTCGATGCGGCAAGAATTGCACATACACTCTGGTGCGTTGGGTCAAGCTCTCCCACCGTGCTCGAGAGTCGAGAACCATTATGCTTCCCTTTCGCCGAAATACCCTCGACGTAGCTCCATTAATTAGGATAAATTTTCAAGGGGATTTCTGCACAGAACGGCCATGGCGGATTCATCTCGGTGGGTTCTTAGAGAACTTTGCGTATATCCTTCTAACACGGCTGCCGGTAATCGCAGCTAGTCCTTGTGACTCAAATTTCAATCTGTCAGTAGGTTGGCAGTGCTCGGGCACTACCAGTGGCATGCTTATTGAGAAATATACAATGTGTCAGCAGAAGAGCCTTGATACGCAAAATCATATACATCCATCATCCCTTGGATTGTATTGCCCATATTGCATGCAGCTCAGCTCACACCATGTGCATTTCAGGCTCAACCTTCTGCACGCGGATTATACACTTCTATGTATGTCACAGTGTTTCCCATAAAGTCTCACTGAAGCCGGGTCTATTTTCTGATCCCTCCGTTTGTCCGTGGCCTGTGGTGAGGTCGGCCGGGCGTATAATTGACTAGTACAGTGTTGGTGAGAACTATTTTGATCTTTATTTTTTAACAAACTGGCGAGGCATCACCCAAACTTCAGCCAAAGATTTTTTTGCCAGATCGACTGGCTCCTTTACTCGTCCCAGTAGAAACTCAGCAATCAACCACATTAGAGCTACATGCATCTAATTTATTGTGAAAAACTACACATTTGATGAACTCCTCAATAGATTCCGTATTTGCCATGTGTAGGAGGCAGAAATTTGATCGCCCACATAGTCTTATCCGGACATCTTGCAAATGTGGATTGAAGCATGAACTGTGAGATAGGCTCATATATTTATCCTGCCTCTGGTCATTTGCTCTCACGAGCACTCTGGACATTGTGGCTACGATCCTCCACAGTTACACCCTGGTATCCGGGCCTTCGGTATCAGATGACTTTGGTGAGTGCGAGTGTGATCTTAATTTGCGCAAGTAGCTGACTTGGCACTAGTAGCAGTGCTACAGTCATGTTTGATTATTGCTTACGCTCCCGAGGAGGTCCGGGCGCCAGCGCTCTGCTTCAGTTAAGGATAGGGATTCCCGCACTCGCACCCTCTGTATAAAGATGCTCTACATTTTAATTTTTTCTCCATCACAATCTATTTGCAATGCCTGTCCCCGTCGTACCCCACTCTGAAGTCGATGTTCTCATTATTGGGGCTGGCCCTGCTGGCCTCATGTGTGCGAACGCTCTGGCAAATGCGAAAGTGAATGTTCGGGTCATCGATAAAAGGTATGTGAGTTTGGTGGCTAGCATTCCCTCTTACTTGATTTTCCACCAGGGCTGCTCGAGTAGCCGCCGGTCAGGCTGATGGACTTTCACCTCGTACTATTGAAGTTTTCCAGGTGAGATCGCTTCTTTGTTCAATGCTGGTTGACTAATGATCCATAACAGAGCTATGGCATTGCAGAGCGCCTTTTGAAGGAATCTGTTCAAGTCCACCAAGCGGTATGTCCTTCAACAGGGGCTGTCCTTCAACAGGGACTCGGCCGATTAAACTTACCGTTTTCTAGGCTTTCTATAACCCTTCCCCGTCCGGCGGTATCGAGGTTCGTAACTTTTCGCGATCAACGAGGAATATTCAATGAATGACGGCCATCAGCTTACCAGCAGAACACAAGATGTAGTAGCTCCGTCTGCAAGATACCCATTCGAGGTATGTTCATTATCTAAAGCGAAATTTCATACAAGCTGAACGAAATGCAGTGTGCACTTCATCAAGGAGCCATTCAAGCTATTTTATAGATTCCATGAAACCGCTTGGTGTCGAGGTTGAGTGGTCAACGTTACCAGCTTCGATAGAGATCTGCAAGGACGAACATGTGTTGATGGACCCTGCATCGCATCCTGTTCGCGTTGTTCTCCAAAAACTGGACGCCCCTGAGGGTCAACTACAAGAAGAGATTGTCCATGCTAAATATGTTGTTGGAGCTGATGGTACGTTCCGAAGATATCCATCTGGCCGTCCTAATTGTTGTTCCCTATAGGCGCTCACTCATGGGTTCGCAAACAATTTGATATTACGATGGATGGCGAACAATCTGGTAAGCATCTGTATCAGTTAGAGTTTACAGCAAGCCTAATCTCGATTGATAGATTTCATCTGGGGTGTCATGGACATGGTGCCTGACACGGATTTCCCGGATGTTAGGAATAAGTGTCTTATGCATTCCAACAATGGCTCAATTCTTCTTGTACCTCGAGAACAAGATCGCCTCCGCGTGTATGTGCAACTAGAGAACAAGGATATCATCGATCCAGCAACAGGTAGAGTAGACAAGGATAGAATGGGTCCAGATGAAATGCTTGAAGTAAGTGATACCCGTTCGATGGATCAACAATCATCAATATCCCCCTTAGGTTGCCCGAAAATCGTTTAGCCCTTACAAAATATCCCCGACGACTGGGTTTTTGTGGTGGACACTATATATCAGTACGCATCTGACCCATTTGCCATCGAATGTTCGTTTGACACGTCGCTTAAGTCGGGCAACGAGTGGCCTCACAGTTTTCCGTCAAAAACCGAGTACTTATCGTCGGCGATGCTTGTCATACACACTCTCCGAAAGCAGGCAAGTGTCTTAAATCCGGACCTTCCCTATCAGTCTGCTTACAATGGAATTTTCAGGGCAAGGAATGAACGCAGGTGTGAGCGATGCACACAATCTAGGTGTGTTTCCTGTTTCCTGCGGCGTCGGTTGAAGCCAATGTGCTTTTACAGCATGGAAGATCGCCCTAGTGGTTCGTGGTTGGGCAGATCTATCACTTTTGTCAACGGTACGCTCTCGTATACCTATTTGACTATCTGCTCACGCATCGCCATTAGTACGAATCAGAGCGCCGTAAATTCGCATTGGACCTCATCGTATTTGATAAAATGTATTCCACCCTCTTTTCTGGGAAGCCCTTATCCCAGGAGAACAGCCATGGGGTTGCGCCCGAGCATTTCTTGAAGTAAGAATATGCTACCAACCGTGTTGCCTTGTTACTAATGCAACGGGGTTATAGGATATTTAAACAGTTCGGAGGCTTCACCAGTGGCATTGGGGTACATTATGAACCTTCGATTGCAACACTTGACAAAAACCAAGAGTTGGCCAGTGGTCTAGTGATTGGCGAACGTTTCCCTCCATACAAATTCATCCGCGCTGCAGACGCATGGCCCTTTGAAATCCAGGACCTTCTTCCTGCAGACTTCCGCTTCAAATTGCTCGTTTTCACTGGTGACTTCAGCGACCCACTTCAAAATGCGAGGGTTGAGTCGATGGTTGCTACCATGCAGAAACCCGATAGCTTCCTAAACCGTTACGCGACGTCTAGCAAGGGCGCTGAAAACTCACGATTTGACATCATCACCATCAGCAAAGGTCGAAAAGAAGGATTCAATTTCTTGCAGTTCCCAACGCTTCTTCGCTCTCACTGGTCGAAGTGAGTATTTGATTTACGATATGTGTGATGATATTGATAGGGGTATTATCAGGGTATTTATCGATGACATTGATGTCACCAATAGCTTCGGGGGGAAAGGCTACTCATATTATGGTGTAGGCCATGAGGGCGCAATAGTTGCTGTTCGCCCCGATGGCTATGTTGGAGCCATCGCGCCCCTGGATCACGTTGAAGACCTTGATGCGTATTTCACATCTTTCATGACGGCTGCCGTTTAATTTCCACGACCAATTTATTTTCCACATTGCTTCAAGATAACATATTTTCTATTCTTTATGTATAAAAGGTCCTGCTGTATTATAATAGAGTCACCATCAAATGCATTACAAACATATCTTTGCTTTGGAAATCTGCACATGTCGCCTTCAATGATGCAAATATTACTGCCGGGGTGTTTACACCGTGAGCGAGTGAACTTGTGAGGAGGGGCCAAATTTAAATTGAATCCGCGTGTGCTGTTGCTAAAAGCGTAGACTCGTGCAGTCACGAGGAGGGGTAGTGCAGCTGAGAACAACTTTTGAATACAATACGTCCGATCTTTCCTATTTTTGTATGTAAATATGGTTGATGCACCTCCGACTCATGCACGGCCGTCTCTACGCATCAAGTTCTAACTTCTATCACGAGTCCAAAAGGGCGACGCGGGAGACTCGGAACCTGCGAGTAAGAAGCTCGGCGGCGCAGGGAATGTCGTGGTCAAATTGTCTTTCAGAGACGTGTCTATAAACCTTATGGGCATATAATCGAATGGCTTTAGTTGCAGACACCGTCTGCGAATCAAATCATAGTATTAGTAATCATTATTTTCTGTGTTTACGTCATGACCTCAGGCGGGTGTGGCGCGCAGTTGCCTTTTTGAGCGGAGTCGGAGTTGGCGCCAGGCGCACCAAAGCCACATGTAAAATCCAACTTTGTACGTCTCGAGATTTCTACTGTACCTCCATTTATACTCGGATCTAGACGTCTATTGCCACATATCTTCCTCTTTGCTGTCGAATCAGTCGATTTTCAATGGGACTGCCAAGTACCGATGCATGATGACTAGAAGGCGCACAGACACGTCCGAGTCGTGGTGCGTATCCGTAGTACGTATCCACCCTGCACACTCAGGCTAGCAGGCTACCGTAACACTACAGCCCACAAGCGCAAGAGTACCTCTACTCGCACACGAGCGGGATAAAGAACAACCTGTTCTCTCCATAAACCATATAGCCGAGGCTTCGGATCCGGAAATGCTGGTGTTCGGTGACGAAGGCTGCGAAAGATAAAGGACGTTCGGAATTCGGAACAAGGTTTGCTTCATTTACAGCCTAGTACCAGTCGAAGCGTACCGTTGCTTCTTAGTGACCCGTTATCGTGCTTCGCATGCGTAACTGTGAGGAAATCGAGGTATTTGGAGTTGAGATATGAAATTTGACTTCTTTGACTTCGCTGAAGGTGAGGCCATTATTAAAAGCGAGTCTATCTCAAACTTAGTATCTTAGTATCTCTTGCAGCATAGTGTTCGAGTCTCATATACTTGCGGTTCCAACATTTCCGACCAACGTCAACTTTTGCGCCTCCACGTAACTTTGCAATCGGCTGTAACACCATCTTAGCTTCGTGGAACCCCATGGGCGTAGAACAAACTATCATTACAATTGACAAGCTGACACGTTTATGCTTATGGTGTCTAGACTCTATTGGCAATATGCTAAAAAGATATGTATGAAACGAGATGAATCGTCTCAAGAAACGTGATGCTGAACGCCAAGGCACTAAGCCTCCCGGTTCAAGGTTTTTCCTATCAGGAAAGAACCGAAGTACTTATCCATGCTCTCTAACGCCGTAGATGGTGCAATCATACCGACATAACCGTCAGGCCGAACAACCACTATCGTGATTTCTTTCTCATCGATACCGAATCTCGGATATGCGCCTCCACCCAAGCGGCCTGTCACATCCGTGTCATCAATCAAGACTCTGCAAGATCATATGTCAGTGTCGTGAGACAGGAGAAAGCACGACGACTCACTTAGACCAGTGTGTCCTCAACGTCGAAGGAATGTCCAGGAAATTCACATCATCCTTGTGACCAGCGGCTATCGAAATGATGTCGAACATAGATTGTGCCTTGCCCTGGGCAGGGAAGTTGTACTTTTGCAGGAAACTTGTGGGGAGTTCCAACTCCTCAGCGAGCCTTCGAACCTTTGCGAGCTTTTCCGATGTCAGAAGGCCAACGAAGAAGAGAAGCTTGAAGCGGGTATCTGCGGGGAGCATGTCTTGGATCTCCACAGGACGAGCATCCGCTGCACGAACGAATAATTGGGGCAGCATCCGCTCGCCGATGATGAGGTTGGATGCGCTGCCTTGATGAATAGTATGGACAATCGCTGAAGGCATGTAATGTACACCGATACCACTGCTGAAGCCACCAGAAGCCTGGAAAGCACTGAGAAGCGTAATTCAGATAAAGTTATAGAACGCTATTGAGACAACTCGACCTCAGGAATTCTTCGTGGGTAACACCCTCCTGGTTTTCCGACGTCCTCGGTTTGCCGGAAAATAGAGCGGAGAACTCACGATCGAAATCAATGAGATCTTGGGCATATTTCTGGCGCTCAAGCTCGTACTGAGGGGTGATAAGCCCTTGACATGAACGAGTGATACGCGAACGTACAGTTTTCAAAAGGGAAATGTCCGCCCTGCCCCGCAGGACTTGTGCCAGCTTCCACGCTATTTGCAAAGACTCTGAGAAATACACTTCATCTCGAGTAGGAAACCCGTACCAAGGTTATGGGTGTCGTTCATGCTCGCATTCATACCCTGTCCTGTATTGCAATGAGATATGTTTATCTTCTCGGACCATCACATGGCTCACCTGCTTTCGGAGAGTGCGTGTGGCATGCATCACCAGCGATGAAGACACGGTCATGTTTAGAGAACTTGGAGGCTACACGTTGACCAACTGGAGTGACAACTGCTCAACTCGCGATCCCAATGATAGCAGTGTAATGCCCTTACTGATGTAAATTGAACACCAGTCCACTTCTTTTGGTTCGTTAACTATATACGGGTAGAATGTTCTGCGAGCAGTCTGTTGGAAAAGGTATTAGCAATCCTTTGAGGCGATCGAGTTGTGGCATACGTTGATGAGGTTCTCGGCGGTCACTTTCTGCTTGTCGATTTTTCCTGTTTCAGGATCCATGACGTCTTTATCCGCCATCTGCAGGTAGAACCGGACTTTGTCTCCTTCGCGGGGTATGATCATACATGAGCCGTTCTCGGAGTGGATTGCAGAACGATTGCGAATGTCTGGGAAGTTGGTATCCGGAATGAAGTCGATCACGCCCCATATGTAATCTGAGATGAGCTCCAGATGTTAGAATGTCTCATGTTGAGTGAGTGCCCAAGTTGACCTGTTTGTTCCCCATCCATCGTAAAACCCAAGGTTTTGCGAACCCATGAGTGTGCACCTGAGCAATGGGCACGATCAGTTCTACAAGAGCGTTTGACAGGTCGCATGTCTCACCATCTGCACCGACGACGAACTTTGCATGAACGATCTCCTGTTCTGGAGTATCATCCGAAGAATGTATGTGGTCCAAGACCACCTGTGCCAATGTGTCAAAAGTAGCGTCTTGTTGGGATTAGAATCTTGAGCACCTTCACAGGGTATGATGACGGATCCAGAAGTTCTGCGGGATCTTGCGAAATTTCTAGGGAGGAAGGGACGATCGGACGGTCAACTGATATTCCTTGGGACTTTAAGGACTCGACGAAAAGTGCTTCAATTGATGCTTGTGCGATCGTGATCTGCTCGACAGCAAAGATCAGATATGAAGGAGACGAATGGTAAAACATACCTTGAAGGGATAACGGGCGGTTGGAGCTGTGACGTCTGCAGCCCGGCCAGTACGCTGCGGGTATTGTTTGAACAAATAGTGACACAGCGATTAACAAACATACTTCGATGCCGCCATCAGGGCCAGGGTTGTAAAAGGCCTACACAAACATCATTACTGCTTAGGATTTGAATCAACTGAAGATCTAAGACTTACACAAAGATGCATCTGGGCACCCTCCTTCAACAAAGGCTCTGCCAAACCATAACTCTGGAGAAATTGAATATTACTCCTGTTCTATTGCAAATGTTGGGACATACTTGAAGAACTTCGATCGTCCTAGGCTGTATGCCATCAGCTTGGCCAGCGGCCACACCCACCGGTCTGTGTTGACGTGAGCCATCCATCTGCGCCCAAGACTCTAAGGAACGGACCTGTTGTCTATGATTCTGAAGTTCACTCCAGCGCCAGCTAATGCATTGGCACACATGAGCCCAGACGGACCCGCACCGATGATGAGTACATCAACATGACTTTCCTTGAGCATGACGGTAGGGATGTATAGGGATGATGAAGTAACTGTGTTTTGGGATGAGGGTTTATATATACTATTTAATACGCGTGCTGTGTCAACGTTCGAAAGACCCGCCCGAACAGAAATCCCATGATATTCGGTTCGCCTTCGAAAGCTGTGTCAGTGGCAGCTGTGAGATCTGGGTACTTGTACGGTATCCGATACTTATAAATGGTACGATAACAAATATGCAGACCCGAGCAAGACTATATGGCCTGACTTGAAGAGCCCTTTGCTTCATTAATTAAAGTAGTGCTCCTATTTTGTACTTGCCAAGTCCTACATCGGCATCCGACACACGTCAAATGGCGTCCGATGAGGTGTTTGCTGCAATCGTAGGCCTGGATGTAGCCATACATTATCGCAGTACTTTGGTGCCAATTTTGTCACTCACCCAAAACATAACCATTTCCGGTCTCCTGCATCCTTCCAGCACGCCATGTCCACCTGTGTACATACATTAAAATCCCAATACAAGCCCCAGAACCTGTACATGCAGATGGAGGTGACCAGAAATGCATTCCCACAATTGTTTAGAGGTGCATGCTGAGACAGTCCGAACTCAACGGAACATCATCCCTAAGTAAGCTGAAGGGACGCCCCCTCGCGCCACTGTTACAGTCAATTCCGAAATTTACCCGCTCAATATTAATGCATGTCTCTGCCGTGACAGTTCTCTCAATAATAGGGCATGCAGGCGAGGTAGAGCGCACCGTGATCTCAGCACAACACAATCTACATGACGGTGTAATCTCTCAATTCAAAACACTTACAAAATTTGTGCAAACACAGCACCGCAAAAGCCGTCCCATCGACACGCTCATATGCGCACCCGTGAAGAGGTTGGCATCACTGGTGAGGCTGCACGAAATCTTGAAGCATTTTTCGCGTGGACACCTCCACTCTCGACCGAGCCTCGTGACGCAGATGACCCTCTTGCTGGTCTAGAAAATATCTCGTCTGACGACGTTGCTGCTGGATTCGCGGCTCTCAAAGAGTTGAAGAGGACTGAAGAAGTTTAGAGCATCAACGACGAGGTAAATGCTTTTGATTTTGATCAGGTTGAACAAGGGATAATACCATAGGTTATTCTAGATGACCAAAGTTTTCCGATTCCGCCGGTTATAACCGGAGTGGGTTCTACCTGCCAGAACTTGAACTTTTCTTCCGCTACTTGAAGTTGGATATTGAATCACTGTGCCAACCACGCGACGGCGTATTTGCAAATGCCACATATGCATGTAGCGGACTCGGTTCAAGCGCGATGTCCATGTCGACGCTTGTCAACGCGATGTGAAAATGCTGCAATGTCACTGCGTGGTGACAAGACTACTCGTGAGTACCGCAACATCACGTGCACTCCGAGTCGATTAAACGTGTCACTCGATTCTGCTTGCCATTGAGCCTTGGCCGCCTTCGTTGATGGGCTTATCGTGGGTGCTGGACCAGTAGGGGTGATGTTAACTAATAATGCACTCGCGACTGGTCACTGCTGGGATTCTTGTTAAAATCGTGTGTCTTCTTTATTACGGTACTTATGCCAACTTTATTTCAGGCTGCCAAAAGTACTATCAACAGGACGGCCGGACGATATTCAATCCAGGACGATCGAAGTTCCTCAGGTCGATTCCACCATGGCTCTGTACCACATTGTTGCGACACACTAGCCTACTACCACAGCGTCTGCTCAAGGAAGGCCGTCAAATGCACACATGTGTAAGCCAAACCATTAGAACGCGCAGTACTTGTCGTCGCAGCCCGTTGTTAATGACCATCTAAATCAAGGAGTTCTATAGCCCCGATCACGATGGTACATTCGCAGAATCGCAGTACGAGTTTTACGTCAAATTCTCATACTAGCCTCGTGCTGGACGCACTCCTGACACAACTATTCCAACAGCTCGATATCCCTTTGAGGTCCTGTTTAATCAAAAAGTCGCCGAGTCAATCTTTGTCGATTTCATGGACACGGTCTCATATCTGGCCGTCCCATGATGCCTGCTTCTATTGAACTGTCCAATCATTCGAGGCAACTTTAAACTTGCAGATCCATTTATCCATGAAAGAACTTCCAAGGTAGGAAAATGTCGATAAACGATGATATTTTATTATTTAGATGCCCCGGTCTGCAGACGGTGTATCCTTGGCATGTTTGATCTTTCCTACGTGAAATTAATGAATGATACAAGGTAGGCTTCTGTATATTTTTGTCAAAGCTGCAGATCTCGTTTATATGACATATCTGACACACGTTGGTCTGCTGATGCGCCAAGAGCACTCCACGCTCTTGCCGACCACCAGCCAGTCAGCCAATGAAAACTGTTTTTCGTTCATCCACTTTTTTCTTGGACCTACCTTGATGCCATTCGACAAATTTCTGAATAACAACGCGAGCCGTCAAAGGACAACCCGGGCCGTCTACATGAGGCCGATAGCAATATTCTGCAGGAGATAGCATTTTGACTGTCTGGCCGCCTGATGATTTAATTCATGGCCGCCCCTCGGAGAGAAGCACTCATCCCTCGCTGTAAGGCATTCATTTGACTCTGGTAATGGGCTTCTGTTTTGATACTTCCTCTTATGAAACATTATTGCATACGTAGGCACAGATGTTAATGTTTACAATGAAAACCGTAGGATATCATAATGATACGACAGGAGAAAATCACGGACGTGTGTGGGGGCAACTACAAAAAAACTATTAGTCATCACCTCTCTCATCCTCGCCATCCAGGCAAAGGAGCAGCTTCAGCACTTCCAATCAATACCCTCCTCGCACCACCCTTTCCGGAAGGCAGCTTCGGTGCAGGCTTGTTTGCAGCTGAGCTGCTAGCCTTCAACTTTGGTTGAGGAGCAAGAGGCAACGAAGGAGACGGTTTTCGGAAGACCTTGTCGCAGTTTTCTTTTTCTGGCTTCATCTTTCCAGGAATAAGCTCCGCTTTGGTCTTTCCCTTCTCTTTTGTCGAAAAGCGCTTTGATTCGGGGGGTAGCACTTTTTTGAAGGGAACCAGAGGAACAACATTTGGCTCCGTCTTCTTATCCCTCAGAGGACTATCATCTGACTCTGATTCGCTTTGGAATGTCTTCTTTGTAGCAACGGGCGGAGGAACAACAGACGTCGGAGAGTCTTCGCCCTCTTCTGATACCCCGTCCAGGCTGTCAGGAGAGTTCGCAAGCATGAGAATACGAGAGAGTGGACTTGGTTTTACAGGCGAGTAAGCATGTGACATATGTGGCGCAAGTGGCTTCGCAAGTGGGAATGGACGGAGTGCATTCGCAACATGAGCAGGTGTTTTAGGTGATGGAAGGACAATTTTCGGTATTGCGGCTCGTGCCTGAGCAGGAGGCGGCGTGTCATCTGACGAAGAAGTATCAGTGCCCGAAGCGGAGGCTGACTCGGTGTCGGTGGAATTTCCTCCTGACGTTGCCTGATGTGTGATTATCACTGGAGGAAGGAATGCCTCCACAGGGGGTAAGGACGTCCGGGGTGAACGCGGAGGAAGCACAAACGCGGAGGGTAAAATAGACTGCGCCAAGGTTGACTTTTTGCCTAGTGCCTCGAAGGCAGCCGGTGTGATAGCGATAGGAATCACCTCCGTCTCGTATGCAGGCTCTACTTTACTTGGTGGTGTGATCGAGGACGAGGAGCGCCGAGACACTCGGGTCTTTCTGCTTGCCACCTTGCCGACGACCTTGTGCTTCATAGGCGACTTTCGAGGCGACTTGATCTTATGAGGCTGAGGTGGTCGAGGTGCAGGTTGGGAAGTTGTAGAAGGTGTTGGTGGGAGATCGGAGAGCATCTGCTCGACATGCCATGAACGTTTCTCTTCGATGAACTGGATGCGTTCAGTCTGAGTGCGATCATCAGTAACGCGCTAGACCCAAGTATTGTGACTTTTACCTCCAGAGCGGCTTTCTCCTTGCCGAGTTTGACAGCAGCATCGGTAAATTTTTTCCGCTCCTCATCAAGTTCGGTCTTCATTCGCTCAAGGCGCTCAGCGGCAAGGTCTCGCTCTGGCTGTGTCATGAGCTCGACGCTTTCGTTCCTTGGATGGCGTTCTATAGATGATGATTGGGATGCAATTTGCATTAAGAGGGCCTGAGTTTCTACAACATGTCTGTCATGGAGTTTCTTAGCTCCATCTGTTCCGAACATTTGTTAGATACGCGCAAAGAAACCCGATGGCGTCTAGAGACACACCAAGTTCTGAGCGCAACTCGTCGACGATTCCTTGTAATCGTTTATTCTCCAGAGCATCCGAAGCCTTGGCGCAGTCTGGTGCTGGTGGTGCAGCAGCTCGCTGTGACAAGCGTTCTGAAATGTCATCGAAGATGCTGTGCGCCGAGGAAAAAAGAGTAGAAAGCTTGTCATTGGCAGCGTTGGGATGTGCTAAAGGGAACAATACGCTGTGTGTTATTATTGTGGGCTACAGACAGGTTAGCAGGTTGGTTTGTGCTCGAAGCTGCAGTCGTACCTCTTCATCACAAGGTGAAACTAAGCATTGCAGTTCGTGCAGTACCGACTGCAGTCGGTTTGCGACATTTACAACAAGTCGCTGTAACGCCAACGTTTCATCAGCTAGTAAAGCGCGAGCAGATTCAGCTTGCTCAAGAGCAATCTCAAGGTATCCCTTCCCCTTGCCAAGGGTTTCGGACCCGCTCACCACATCGGCATTACCGCATCGAAAAGTCAATCCTGAGGACGAAGTCGACAGCTTGGTCTGCATGTCGGAAAGCTTTGACCATTTCTCGACAATACGCTCGACGTCTTTCTCTTTCTTTTTGATTTCCGCAGAGTGAGTCGCCCGGAGAGCGATCAACGAGGAACGTGTGCGCTGAAGCTCGGCTGAAGTTTGCTTGTGGGCTGATTCCGAAGCTGCCAAAGTCTTGGAGGCCGTTCTGCCACAAAATTTAGATTAAATTTTCGATCAAAATAACCAATCGCTCACGCCATTCGTGACTTGTAAACGTTCATTTCGCGCTCTGCATTAGCTGCCTTCTCAGTGGCTGAACGATGCATCCCCAGAAGCCGCTCGTGATCATAAGAAAGAGTGCGCAAACTGGTCGATAAATCTTCAGCGCGAGACATGTCATTCTAATATTTCAAAGGAAAGTCTTGAATGAGACTGGTATCACTTGGGCTGTCACATAACTGCGTTAACGCACCACTCTTTGGCCTAACATAGCAAGCAAACACTTTGCCAGCTGATCTGTGTCAGAATTTGAGAGCCCTTCAAAGGAGATCCCGGGCGAATGAGTGAATCCATGTGCCACGAGCTGAGAGTTGATGTATTCCAGACTGGACGTTGACGCGACGGAATCGGAGGACGTTGCTTCCGAGCATGGTGATCCAAGATCAGAAATAGAGACATCAAGACCCCAGTGCACCAGCTTTCGTGGTGTGACAGCCATCATCGGTCGTGGTGCTGAGTTGTTGGTTGTGGTTGTCGTCGGCGTCGTCGATGTTGAACTATTTCTGACGCGACTCGGTCACGTGTATTCAATGTTAACTCGTGACAGCATAAAATCTGTGACAAGTCACCACATCACTGAAAACCAAGATCTATGATAAACCCTTATATACACATTATAATCCCAACAATGTCTATAATCGTATAAAATATGGCAGTGCAGAAGCCATAGTCTTGTATAGAAATATATTGTTATCCCTTGCGACCAATCTTTATCATGATTACCTGTGCCCGGCATTAGTTGAATGAATTTGGCTGTGTAAAAACTCAAACGGATTGATAAACACGCTAATTGCTGAAAACAAGATATATATGTGTAGAACGCTATCCCCTATGACCAATAATCATCAAGATGGTTTTCATTTAGCATTAGCTGCATGAATCATGTCGTGACAGTACTAAAACTGTACTGAAGTGGTGAAGCATGTTCGAAAAAGTGTCTCTCATTTAGCATTTCTAGCACAGAGGCTCTCCTGTCCAATAAGTAAAAGAGATGGAAATTCTTGCCATCTGTACCATCATATGGACAATTGTTTCATTGGCATCATGGT